ATCAAATATGAGTTAGTTTTACACCGGTATGTAACACCAAGTGTGAAGTGTGACGCGTGAACAGGAATAATACATATATCTGTAAATGCTGGAGGATTTCACAGTTGAAATATTGTGCACAGAGTTGCACAGCTGATCCCTGACAATCGATGATAAATGAATAATGTGCAGGAGCTGCTGACAGAGGTGAAATAAGCCTATTGACTGGAGTGTCTGACGCAGTGAGGGAGGAGTGAGAAGTCATCGTCCTCAGGCAGCAAAGACTTCCTCTGTGCTCCGTATGATGGATGTCAGTGTAACGAGGTCTGAAGTAGATGCGCTCCTGTACTTGACCTGTTCATCACAGAGTAGGATGAAGACGTTTTCAGACAGCTTTGAAGCATCAATATCTCTTCTATTACAAACATGTGTATTTCTCAAGTCTTTGAAATAAGAAAACATATTTTTTTCTCAAGCTCTTTAGGGGCACATTTCTTCTCTTTCCACGGGTAGATCGGTTTTCTACTCATAACAAGTAGTACAGTTCTTATTTGAGATATGTTATAAGTGGACGTTTTCGGCTTAATATGGCTCAAATTGAGCATACAAGACAAGAAATAAGACAAGAGGATTTTGAGTTTTGGGGTGGAAATATCTTGAATCTGTAATTTAACATATTTTAAACAATATAAACTCACTCACTATAACTTTCCAAAAATTATTCACCACATTGTTGTTCTCAGACAAAAGTCAAAAACTGAAACATTGCAGTATGAAATCATATTTTGCAGGAGTTTTGCACACTCCTCTGCTACACACCTGTCGGATGAAAAACCTTTTAAGCTTCCAAAGTCACAAAGAAACACAACAAGGCAGCAACATTTTAGTCCTTTCAACATTTTGAAAGGACTAAAAGTGAACATTGTTCTTTATGTCACAGCCTGCAGAAGCAAAAAGATGAAATATGCTGCAAGTAGATGTAAAAAGAGCTGCTGGTAGCCTGTTTCAACACAGTCTGAGGAGCAGATTTTTACAGAAGTCATACAGAAGTTTGAAAGGTAAAATAGTCTGTTATAGTTCAGGATTTTAACCTGGTTAAATAAATGTCAGGGAGGTGGTTGGCATAGTTACCCCATAATCCTGGATCCAGCTCTGAGTTTAGAGTATGTACAGTATGTAGTGAAAAAAGAAGTTTTCTGAAAGTCTCAGCTGTCAGGGAAGAATTGTTGATGCTGACTACAAAGACTGGCAGAAAAGGGAAAGTGACTTCTTCACGTAGTAGAATTTGAACTTTGCTTCTGCTCATAAAAAAATCTAAGTGGAGTTAAAGTGTTTGAAAAAGGAGGAAATCTCTGCCCTCTGTTTTTACCTCAGTGTTTTTTAATCTGACACTCGGCATCAGTGCTTCACTTTCATCCTTAACTCCAGAGGTGACCTCTAGCTCCAGGCTCAGGCTGAACACAAAGGTGGATTTCTGATAAAATTACACTCAGAATCTGTTTGATATGATAAAAAATATTCATTGTAACGTTTTCCTCCTGAATGGTTTGTGGATTCCTAAAGAGCCTGAAGGTCAGGCGAGTAGTCAAACTGGAATAAAGCCCTCTCAAACACCTGCGTCTGTAGAATGGATAAACTGTGAGTGACTTTAGTGTTTTACAGGCAGTTTGAACCATCTCAGCGGTGTCCTGAAATGGTCCTTTATGATGCAATAAAAGCTGCTGCTGCAGAGACAGTAGGAGCCTAAAGAAGCATTTTATGAGGCTGAATGAGACGTATGTGCATTTATAGACTGTTAAACACTGCAAAGTGCAAAGGCTCATTTTAATGCAGTGATTTAAGATGTGAGTCCAGCTGCTCACAGCAGAGGGCAGCAGTGATTAAATATTGAAGACGCCCTGCTCTCCCTCTCGCTCTCTCTGTCGTTCTCTCTCTCTCTCTCATTTATGTGGTTCTGTTGGCAGTGTGAAAAATGAATAAAGATTAATAATGAGTTACATCGACAGATCAACCCTCCTCCTCCTCCTCTTATTCATCTCATTTCATTTTTCTCTCATTATCTAAACCAACATTTTCATCTAAATTAGCCTCTCCCTCTCCTCTCTCCCCATCCTCCTCTCACCTTTGAAGGATTGCTCTCATGACCCCATCTGTGCTGTGTATATTTTGTTTTTCTGCATTTCTTAACTACACAGACTTTCTGCTTTGCATCTTCAGTCACTGCCACACACTGAGTGATGAACCCCACTGAGGTGTTTCATTTATATATTGTAAAAACATTTTAAAACTGATAATGACGGCCAAAATGCTCTGTGAACACACCTTATATGTCCAAACACTTTTTGGATGAACTGGCATAAACTGTAATGAAATTAATGTCATTTTTACCCAACAAATCCTTGATATTGTAATTAATTCTAAGTAGCAAAGTCAATGAGACATCCTGATCACACATATCATATCAAATTAATCCACGGAAATCCATCTAATGAGCTCTTTATAAGCTCAAAAACGTAAGACTTGTGGCTGACCAGTCACCATCCGTTCAGAGAAGATGAGATACAGTTAGAAACAGGATGTGTTTTTAACACACAAGCAGCGTGAAAGTGACATCATTGACAAATTGAAGAAAATAGTCACAAAGCGACCATAAACCACAATATGAGCTCCAGCAGTGTTGCAGGACTGGTTGACTTGGAGGAAAATATTTACAGAGAAGTCACAGGGAACAGAAACTTATACGTTTTATGTTTTCTGCACTGGCAACGCCCTCAACCTCATTTTCAGAGCCTTTCACAGCAGAGTTTACAACTGCTGGTTATAAAAGTTGTCACACAACCTCTTCCTCTTCTCTTAGTTCTGTAAAACCCAAATATCGAAAAATGCAAAAAAAAAAAAAAGTTCAACCATTCAGATGTTGTTGTAGGAGGCCTTTGGGGGTGAAAATGGAGTGTTTTCAAAAATGTTATGTTTCATTAAGTTTTAACGGATATCTTGTAATATTGCAACGTTGAGCTTAATGGGGAGCATAATCTCCTGTATTTCCACTCATTGTCTGAACAGCAATACAGAACTAAGGATTCATTTGCAGGGTTTTGCTGTTCCCAAACCAGTATATAACATGAATAATAATCCCAGTCATGTTGTTTTAAAGAGTAATATATTCCAACAAGAACTTTGACATTAATTTACATTATTTACGTTATAAGCAGTTCTTGTCCTCTGAAAAACAGAGGCAGATATCCAACCCAGTCTGACAGCATCACGCTTGCTTTGGTTATTAGCCTTTACTGCAATGTCTGCAGCGTCTTCTCTTTGTCTTCAGTGGAAAATGTCGAGTGAAGTCTGTGTGCACATCCACATTTACTTGCAGTGATAGTCCTTGAAGCAGTTCTTGGCATCACTATCTGATTCTTCGTCACTTGCATCAGTGTCGTTGAAATCTGAAAACCTATGAATCAGTTGATAAAAATGGTGTTATAGTTTTAGTGGCAGCTCCGGAGTATGAGGGCCACATAAAAAGAGAACATTTCTATGATGTCAAATGTTTTTGATAATCATTTTCTGACAAGAATAAAACTGTAATCAAATTATTTTAAGTTGTAAATAGTTAAGCTGTAATGTTACACTCATAGATTAAAGTCATATTGTTACAAAAATAAAGTTGAAGTAAAATATTATATTACTAAAATAAAGGAATCATTGCGTTATCAAGGTAAAGTTGTGATAAAGTCGTAATTTTTGTTTACGGTGAGCTGCTTTCCAATTCGTGAAAGTTTTTTCTTCGCTCTGGCCCCAGTACTCTGAAGCAGTAATCCAAACATTGAATGACGTATAAATGAGAGAGCTGACACTCAGGACGCTTAGCATTAAAAGCTGCATTTGTTTTGAATAGAAAATAGTGTCTGTACATAAGGGCCCTAAAATTCTGCTTCAACCTTAGCAAAGATGTGAGAGTTCACTGCTATGCTGTGAAACAGACAAACGTTAAGAGTTTGAGTTTGTTACTAGAATATTTTTAGAATTGAAGTGCTACAGATCATCAAAGTTTGGACTGTTTTTTTAGTGGTGTTAATAAATCACTTTTAAATCAAAACACACACCCACTCAGACGCGTAACTCTGATACCTTTGCACACACTCAGCTGAGGGCCCACAGAGGCCAACCAGTGCCATCACAGATGCTTCCAACTGGCTGGTCCTTGGTGTAATAACGTGTTTCAGCCAGCAGAGAGCAGCAGCATATTTGTGTGTGTTTGAGTGAGTGTGTGACAGCTACAGTGTGTATGTGTGTGGAAAGAATTCTGCTCCCCTTCGGCAATGTGTGTGTTCCTTATTCAGGAGTTTGTTCATGTGTACATCGGTGAATGAGTGTTTATGTTTCAGTCTGTCTGCGCTCTGCCTGTGAGAGAGAGAGAGAGAGAGAGAGAGAGAGAGCATGGGGCGGTATGTAAGGGACAAAACATTGCCAAGCACATGTGGTGACTGTCTGAGGAAGAAAACGAAGGACTGAAAGAAAAGTAAGGTCGAGGAAAGAGAAGAAGAGGGAGAGGAAATTAGGGGAAAAGCAAGGGGGGGAAACGGGGATAGTAGAAAAGGAATAAATGAAAACGAAGTGGACAAGGAGGGAGATAGAATCTCAAAGGGAGGAATGAAAAGGTAGTGGAAAGAGAAGACTTGAATATACGAGGTGAAAAAAGGGAAGAAAACAGGAAAAATGGGTTATTGAAGAGGAAAAAGTAAAGGCGAGAGAGAGAATTGTGGTCTTCAAGTGAATGGTGATGAGTTTAAAGAAGAAGAAAACAATGAATAAAGAGAGACCAAAAGTGTAGGATGAAGTCCGTCCATTGTGCGTTTTCATCCCTCCATAATCAGAGAAAGACAAACAGAAATGGACGGAGAGAAAGAAACAAAATGGAAAAGTAGAAACTGCTGATGAAAAATGGAGATATAAACGCAGAGAGGGATCATTAGGGGGAGGCTGGATACAGTTGCTATCCAAAACAAACCCACAAGCATTCCTTCGTTTTTTTTTTTCTTTTATTTTATACCAACAAACATTTTCTTTATTTTGTCTCCAAACGGTTCAATAAATACAAAATACAAACCAGCTTCATATCCATAAACAACGACGATAGGAAAACTCATAAAATATTACTTAATTTGAGACAGAAATAAGAACAACTGAAGCAGAGAAGCGTGTGCACAATGGAGTATTTAGATCAAACTGAAACGATTGGAGCTATTATCAGCTTTTCTTTGAGAGAAGTTGCACAAAAAATCAAAATTTTACATCCTCTTAAAAGTTGCAGACCGGCTGACGAGCTTCCTCCTGGTTTTTGCTGCTTTTTTGCTCTTTCTAAACCGTACTGTGAGACCCGGGACACGTGCTGTGTTTCTGTTTTGATGATTAGTTGTGATTCTTAAAATTTAAAGCAAAAAAAACACCCATACAAACTCACATTCACACAAACTTGAGCAATACTTCCCTCTCTCTCTTTTCAGGGAGACATACAGTATTTAAGGCTGTACTTCAAAAAGAAGCTCTGTCGCTGAAATACGACGTGCACAACCTGGACCAAGAGTGAGAAAAAAATCCCTTCAAACAAGCGGTTTCATTTTCACCTCTGTATCTTTCATCCTGATGAGCTTTTACTTTGACAAACCGAGTGGAGAAAAATATTCCAGCAGAAGCAGAAGCCAAAAAAAGAAACGGCAGTAGGTTTGTGAAGTCTGGTTGTTCCTCTTCGTCGCTTTGACAAGTCTTTAGAAAATTATCCCTTTATTATTTCTCTTGTTCATTACAATCCTGAAGCTGATAACAGGGTGGGTTTGGGGGAGGAGGTGGGGGGGACAGGCCCAGTGTGCAGCTCTGGGTTTGGGCCCATTTGGGTAGAGGAGGGTTCGGAGTTGTTAGCGTGGGTTCCTCAGATCAGTGTCCTGAGGTCCGTCTTTTGTCTGGAGCTTTCATCATCTGGTCCACTCCTTCTCTGGAATCTGCAGAAACAGGAATTTCAGAGTTAAGACACAGAGCAGAGATGAAGCAGACTTGAGTTTTAATATGATACTAATCTGTGAGAGAAGCTCCTGAATACCTGAAGTCTGCTAAAACTGTCAGCACTTTCACATCAGGGCTGAGAAACTAGAGTTTGCAGCAGATTTTCAATAAATAAGATCCGTCATGTTCAACCGCTGAGTGATTTTTCTAACACTGGGAGCAGGATGATGACTGAAACGCACTTTTTAAAACAGCTCTGTGCTAAACTGATGGACGGTAAACTGTTTCATAAATGTATTTTCTCAAAACTTTGACAAATTAAATTATGTACATTGACCAACAAAGAATAAAAACACATTTTCCCATTAATTAGTGAATTTAATCTTGCTAACATAGAGCTTTGTTCATCTAAAAGTTTTTCTTCTTCTGCCTATAAATTTGTGATTTTTTTGTGGGTTCATGCCTATAAATTTAAGACTCTTTCCTGTAATTTCACAACTTTTCTCCCATAAATGTTTGAGTTTTTTTTTTTGTAACTTTACCACTTTCCTCTCATATGACTTCATTCTGGTAAAATTAGCACTTTTATCCTAGATTTATCACTTTGTTTGTCTTTAATTATTTTTATCCTTAATGTGACCAAAATCCTCAGTTGTCATTTTGAAAAATTGGTGTAATGTTTGGTGGTTTGAGCCTCTTAATTGTTCAAGAAAAGAAAAAAACGTACATCTTGTGATTTAGTGTACCCAAGTCTAAGATTTTCTTCCATCTTTATGGATTTTAACAGACGAGAACATCTACATCAGGAACAAATACTCTGAAGATAAACTAAAGGGGAAATATTTTACAGCTTTAAAGCTCTGTTTGTTCATTTTTGTTTGATGACTCACAGTTTGAGCCTTTCTCTGGACAAATATCTAAAACCTGAACTAAATTTCATGGCAGGTTAAAAAAAGTCATCAGAGGACACATTTGTATTGTTATGCAAGTCCAGACCCCAAACTGTTTCTAATTTTTTTAGGTGATTATATAAAAGCATGAGCTTTCTGCATATTTCACTGATTGTTTTACGTCCCTGCTCAGGCAGGAGTCTAAACTATTTCAGAGGTGTAGATCCCTCCTTTCTAAAACACTCAGATATTTATGATTTGATTTTCTGCTGGTGTGTGTTTTTGTGTGTTTTTGCTTACCGAGACATTCGGGGCAGCAGGCACCGTCTCTGCGGTTGAGGTTGGTGCAGGTCAGGACTGGACACTGCTTCCTCTGACACTTGGTCACACCGTGCTGCAGAGAAAAAGACAAAAGGATGAAGAATTGGTAAAGAGCGGTAAGCAGGACATCATCCATCCATCAACATCTCATGCATTATAATTTGAAAAGTCACAACAGGAGGCTTCATATTTTTACTCTCTTTTTCTGTCTTTGGTAACAAAAACTCTTTTCTCATGTTAAAAGAATCTGATCTTGGTTTGTGTATTTGTGCAGCTGCAGTACTTACATCACACCAGCAGTTAATGCATTTCATCTCCCCGACCAGCGGTACCCAGGGATGCCAGTTGTCGCTGTTCTGGTAGTAATTTTTGCCGAACTTGCAGTGCCGCGGGCCGTCTGCCTGCATCATGTCGCTGTGCTCCAACCCAGCGGGAGTCTTTTCCTCCTCCGGACACTCTTTACAGCAGTCTGAGGGATTGCGCCTCACAGGATGACTGCAGGTCAACACCGGACACGTCACCTTCTCGCAGTGAACCTCCCCTGAAGACCCCTGTGGATGCAGAGTAGCATTAGCATCAGGTTAGCAGCTGTTTCTTTCCCTCTCCGGCACAGAATAACGCTGACTTATTGCTTTTTTTCCACATAAATAGTTGAACAGATGAGGCATTTTTCAAGCCTCTGTTTCTCTAATACAAGATAAATGACCCATTAAGGGCTTTTGGAAAGTAAATCCAGCCAGATGTGAGCGGGTTTATTGGTGTATATTTACCTTGCAAGTGCAGACAGCACATTTAATGTAGCCAAAGGGAGGTACGAAAGGGTGCCATGTGGTTCCTGGGGCGTGCATCTTCTGGTCTCCTTCAAAGTAGCACCCTGGGAGAGAGAGAGAAAAAAACAGGTTATAAAGAAACAGTCGGCAAGAAAAAGCATCAATGATTCAGGGTTAAACTTAGAGAGGGAATGTTGAAGAAAATCAAGGAGAAGCTTGTAAAGAAAAACCGGCAGAGGAGTGAGAGGCTGAATCTGAAAGAGGAGAGGCTGTACTCACCCTCAGGATGTTCTTCCACCCTCTCTGGAGCTTTCATGTCCTTGGGCTCTTTCCTCTCTGCAAAGGAAACAGGAAATGGACACATAAAAACAGAATTAGTTTCCAACTTTATGATTGTTGCGGGGATTGCGCTGGAAATTCACCCGAGAAGAATAAAAATCAACAGCACAAAGTTACACACAAATCTGATATAAAAGAAAATAAACTCCAGAGTGATTTAATATTATTGTTAGATATCATTTCTTTTTAGATAGTGAGACAAAATACTGAAAGATCTACATCACCCTGACTCATGCAATACAAATACTGAACTGCTGGTGCGAATTACAAGAGATCTTTCCCCAGCAACAGGAGATCATTATTTTATGACTAATCTGAACAGCACAAACATTATTAATCCAGCACTTAACCTACTAGAACCATTTTGTAATCTTGAGTCAATTATTTATCCAAGATGTACCATTTATGACTGTTTTGCATTATATCAATAATCTTAAACTTATGAGAATCTGGAGAAATCTCTGTGCAAAAGGGACAAGAACTAAAACCAGCACTGGGTGGCCATGATCTTTTGGCCTTTAGGCTGCTCTGCTTTAAAAGTAGACATGGCTCTATAGTGGGAGATCACTGCATGATCTCATAATGACTCAGTTTGTCACTGTCTGGCCCTCAAAGCTGTTTCAGACCTGATGAATACGTCTGATTGATAAATTTTGTCATATACAGCAACATTCGCTGTGAATCTCACCGTCACAGACGGGGCAGCACTTGCCCTCGGGCTGGATGGTCCTGGAGCAGGTCAACACTGGACAGATGACCGGGTCACAGATCACAGTTCTCTTCTGTAGGAAAAAAAAACATGAAAAAAGTTTTTCAGTGAGAAAAAATGAGATCAGATTTTCAGCAGATGGATTTTTCTGCTTCTCTTGTGATCTCTAATGCACACGTGTTGAATAATTTTGCTGCCTTTGTGTTCTAGGATCTTACCTGACAGCTGCAGGAGAAACACTTGTCATAGTTTGGGGTCCAGCTGGAGCCGTGAGCATGGTGCTGATTCTCAAAGAAGCAGGTATGAGGGTCTTTCTTCAGCTCCTCAGGATCCTTAACAAAGAGGTCATCTAGCTCAGCCTCCTCTGGAGCCCCTCTGGTCCCAAGCTCACAGTTGTTTGGCACATGAACCTGCAAAGAGAAAAGAGACAGAGGGAAAGAGAGAGAGCACATCAGAGATTTGCTGGTCACACCTGATTCAAACCTGGTGTCGAGCAGACTTGTTAGCAGCAGATGGCTGTTTTTACGTTTGACCTGTTGGCTAGTAAAACAGCTTGACCTGCCTGTTAGATGTGTGTGATCGCTTTCCAAGTTATTACCCAGAAGCCCGAAAGATCTCATGACCTTCTACACCTGTGAGGCTGCAAACGGGGTTGCGGGTGACAGGGGTCAGAGCTTGTGTGTGTTTCTGAAGCGCAATTAAACTTTTACTTCCCAGCAAAGCCCCTCGAGGCAGACAGCACCTGCCAGTGAAAGTGGGACTGTGTGGGCTGCATGAGCAGACGTATAAACACAGAAGGGCTACTTCTGAGAAAGAAGGGATGAGGACCTCTGATGAATGAATCCTACATCATTTTTAATAAGTATTTCTTCCCTGTAAAAGTTTTTATTCTTTCGTATGTTACACTTAAATTTAAAATGTCCATAAACTTTAGCAGCTGGGTTAAATTTGCTCTGGTCATGCATCTGATTACGCAGAAAGAGGTCCAGCCTCTCGAACACAAATAAACAGGACCTGACTTTCCTCTGATTGGAGCCTGTTTGTATTTCTGCATTCAAACACTTGAAGTTTGTCTCATATCAGCTTGCAAAAGCATGAATTGATCCATAAATATTATGCTCTGTTAGGTAGACCAGACTTCATGGACAGCCAATCAAAACATTCTGGACATCTGGGTCAACAGGAAAATCAGGTACTTAGTGATAAACTTTTGAGTAAATAAACCACGTTGGGAAATTTATAGATTATGTTACACATTTGCAGACAATGACAAACACTGCAGGTCTTGCTCAGGCGGTTCTTTGATATAAAGTTACTTCTGTGTATTTTAAACTGTTGGAGCAGAAATTTTCATGTAGAGTCTAAGTCCAGCAACAGACTCAAAACTGAATTCAAAAAGAAACGTGAAGTGATAAATCAGGATTTTTTCTGCACATACCCGTCCTCGTATTTCTCCACGTGGGTTCATCTTGGTGCTGACCTGGATGAAAGCTGTCCCCTGGTTCAGGTGTTGCAGTAATTCAACACTAATGTCCTTTAAAACGCCCTGAGCCTGATGGAAAGAGAGGACAGTATTCATGAGTCTGTGCACTCTGCATGCTTTCTTTCCACTGTTGAATGTTTGAATTTGTTTACGTACCTGTGAGCCGTAGAAGCCGGTGAGCAGCCTCTTGTGCGTGGTGCTGCTGTCGTCTATTTCCCCGATCTCTGCCAGTCCGTGGAGGTGGGCGTTCACAGTGAGATCCTCAGTCCTGCCAAGGCCAGCAACCACGATCTCATAGTGCAGGTGACACTGTTTGTCCACCGACACCCAGGCGTGACCAGAAGCACCTGTTCTTACAGCTGGAGCCACAAAGTGTCCGGCCAGAGGAGTGGGAAGCTCTGAAAGACGGGGAAATGTTTCAATGAGGCGTGCAACCGGGACTCAGAAACTGTGATTTCTTCGTGTAATCAGAAAGCAGCTCCATATGTTCTTTGAGCTTTATTCCTCCTCCTGCTCCTGTTAACTCTTACCATGTCTGGGTGCCTCCAGGCCGCTGTAGAGCATGGCTTTAATCTGCCCCCTTAGCTCTCCATCCTGGTTGTGCGCTGTGGCCACGTTAATGAAGAGTTCGTTCTGCAGCAGCATGTGGATGTGGCGAGCCTCCAGGCGACTCCAGCTGCCCTGAGCGCGACCGGTGGCCTTGTTGTACTCCGGGGTCAGGTCATACAGCACAGAGCGCTTGTTTCTACGCCGGGGTTTCAGCTCGATGGTGAGGCCGAGAAATTCACTGGTAAGACCTGCAACCTGAACCTGGAGCGGACATACACCAATCATTACAGTGTTACTTACTATCCAGTATATTCATCGGTTATTTCCCTAAAGCTTAGTTTTATTGTGTGCTTTGCAGGAGGTCTTTTCTTGTTGTATTAAGCGTGTTTTATCCTCCTGCAGAAAGAACGCCACATTGATCCAGTTTTATCTTGTTAATCCCACAACAGCTTTACTTAGTGGGATGATGCATGTGCAGATCTTGAAGACGAAGGCCTGTTTGAAGCAGATTTTAAATTGTTTACAAAAGCTGCTTATTTATTGGGTCTTGAAAGGAGCAGACACAGTTTTATTACATGTCTTGAGATTTAGTTTAATCTCAGATGAGCTTGACTGGATGCCAGTGCAGGTAAAAGTGCACTAATTATGAATTTAATAAGTTCTGTCTGGTTTATGACATGGTTTGTGGTTGGATTTTCCCAAGTCTGTAATTTCTTGTAAGGAGGAAACTCCATAAAACTTGAGTGTAAAAATCTGAGTGAGAGTGGTGACACTCAGCCTTTTGTAAAACAGACGAGCTTGTGAACTAATGCTTTCTGTCTGTCTGCTATTAAGCCTGTCAATTATAACATACACAGCCCAGATGGACCGGTTACACAGCCAGGCGGAGGGATGTTTGCTAATAGCCAAATACTATTTGATGGTCATTGTGAACTATTCAATAATTGATTCATTGCTCTTCTGCTGGCTGTCTCAATCTCTGTGTATAGTTGATGTAGACTTATGTAATTTGGCCTTAATTCTACAATTGAAGAGGTTGAACCCTGTGCGATGGTTGTGTCATATCATAGTCAGAAACTGGCGAAATAATTAAAACGTATCTTTGAGATACTTTTTGAACAATGAACAAGTACGTAAATATTCAAAAATCATGACCCATTCCTATTTGAGACATCCATTTAGTCATTTTTTGATACATGTAGGGGACCTAATATGCTAATCTACATTTTAATAATACATATTTAATGTCAAGATGTTGGACATCCATACTAAAACTCTGTAAAGTTTCAAACAAGAGACACACAGATGTTGGTGTAATCCCCAGATGTGTTTTCCAGGTTTTTTGAACATCTCATTTTGAGACATGGCTGTGACCTGGCATCAGGTCTTGCTATAGGTAAGACAATGAAGGAGTGGAGTTCAACCGTAAGCTAAAAAAATCTATTTTACCATCCATCTTTTTCTTTTTCTGCACTAAGTTGATTTGGTATGTCTCCAAAAGTCACTCAAAAGCATCATTCGGTTGTGAATGGAAAATCACACTCTTCCTGAAGTTTTCATGTATTTTGGGATGACCTTGTAGCTGTTTGTGCACGCCACTTTACTGATGACTTCTTTGTCAACAAAGGCCAGTACTAGCTGGATTTGCATCTCAGCTGTACCTGAATCCTGAGTCTGTTCCGTCCATAAAGACCCAGACCTACAAGCTGCAAGTAACATCAATACAGCAGGAAATGTAGCAGAGGCTAACACATGCTCACATGGCTGAATGGGCAGCTACATGGATGCTAACAGACCTTTTCTGTGAAAGCATAGTTTTTGGATTGTTTTGAGACTAAGCTGTGTAAAAGGTAACACCCTGAAGCCACTCTGTAGGTGTATAAGACTGACATGAAGGTGAAAATAAGTAATTAGAAGTTTCCTTTAAGAGAGAAAATTTGGTTTGAGCACACATTTCACAATTTCCTTTCATTTATAAAACTCTTATTTTAATTTGTCAAAAATTGCAGTTCCAAACCTCAAATTAAAGTTCTTTATCATCACAAAAACAGTCAACAAATCCATACCTGGTAGTCGAGCGTGCCGTTACCATGGAGGTTAAATATGGCAGATCCCACTCCTCCTGTCTTCCCCGGAGTCAATGCATCCCCGCTGGACATCACACTCTGTATAGCTGAGCAAAACCAGCACAGATCAACATCAAAAATCCACTTTAGAGTACACTCCTTCTCAGATTTCTTATCTTAAATAATCGCCTTTCCCCTCGGAGTTTCCCTCCCCTCAACTAAAGTAGAGCATGACAGCGAGTGAGATGAGGCAATGATTTTAAACATGTCAAAATTTACTCAGAGAGGAAGGGGTCCACGTTTTCCAAATGTTCCCCCCCACACACACTAACACACTCAAACAAGACATCCCTTCAGCAAGAGCCAGTCATTGATGGGACAGACTCAATTGGAGGTCTAATCAGGAGGTGTGTCTGCTGTGTAATTGTCTGCCTGGCCTTGGCGAGAAACATACATGTCTGTTAGGCACAAGAACAAGCGAAAAAACCCACCCAAGGTTAAGCCTTATGGTGAGGTAACTCCTGTTGAATGCAGCAGGCTTAAAAAGAGCGAGCAGGGAGGACGGGTGGGAATGACTAACAGAGGGTGATGGGAAAGAGGCAGGGGAAAAATTTGAAAATGACATGGAGACAGAAAAAAGCCAGAGAGGAGGAATGACGCCAAAGATGGGGAAGGGGGGAGACTGAAAGACTGAGAGAGAGAGAGAGAGAGAGAGAGAGAGAGAGAAGAGAGAGGGAGCGAGGGGAAAAAGAAGCCTGTTGAGTTTGAATTCTTCACGCATAACGTCAAGCTGTTAATCACCAGCATGTAGAGTCAGGTCCAGCAGACTGTGACCTTGGCAGTACCATTGTGTGTCCATGTGTAAAAACTGACCAAAAAACAGCTTCATGCATTTTTCTCTTCTTACATGCATGTCTTTAAAAGTGTCTTTCAAAGAGCTAGAGACGTCTCCCTGTTCATGATCGAGAGAGCGTCCAATGAAACGACCACGTGTGCACGCTTAAACGGACGATCAGTCTGTCCACAACATTCCTAAAACCCCTCTCCCTCTCGCTCTCTCTCTCTCACACACACACACACACACAAACACACTCACAGACAGACATGCATACACAGTGTTGGTGGGCCACCAACTCCAACAGAAGGTCTATAAACACGGTTTTCCCCCTCTGATAACACTTGAAAGGATGGAGTTCGTATTTATGGAGTAGAATGACAAAAACAGCCGCAGATGGACGAGCGCAAACAAAGCAAAACACATCGTCAAGAACCTTTGTTTGCTCCGCAGTGTTTGTCGCAAAAGAGACATGAAAAACGTTTTCGCCTTAGTGGGGGACACTTACTGTCACACGATTTCCTGCCGCTAATGGAGCCGGAGATTTGTCGTGGGTCCTGACCCTCCGTTGCCACTACGATCTCCAGCTGGCCACGAGATAACCAAAACAGTTCCCGGCTATTCAGGTCTGTCAGCACCTCAGCAAAGTCTGGATCCTGTAGGCACAGATGGAAACAGTTAGCTGTGTGCAATATATGGGCTTGAAAATGGGTAAATATATAAAACAAGATTCCTCTGTGAATAAATCCCTTTGCAGTGTCTGGATTAATGTGTCAAAATACACAGAAAACATCTTTTTGACTTGCAAAAGCAAAAACCGACACATCACCAGAGCAGCAAAACCACAACTTATGACGTTTCCAACTAAAATGTGTCTCCAGTCTTAGAAAAATAAAATCATCTGAGTAAAAATAATCCCAGAACAGCAAACTCACCGCATGATTCGGATAATAACAAAAATTAAGCATTCAACTTGGTTTCAAGAACACTTAAAAACACATGATTTCAAACCACCCCACTGGGCTGAAAATATGTCTTGCATTTGCAGCGACACTTTCCATACAGAGTGAAGTTTAATTTCAAGCAGGCAGCTGGACCCAAGGAGAGCACAGGGCAGGGGGGTTAGGGGGAATTTTCAAGTGGTTGAGAAATGTGGAATTAATAGGACAGATGTACGAGCATGTTGGAGAAATGTTACTATTTTATGACCTAAGGGCCTGAGTTCAATATAAATATACATGCACCATAAATCCACACAGCGTGGAGCCAAAACAGAGAGGGGGGCTCTGGGGAGGAGGGAAGGTGAGTTATGTGGGGAAAATTGAACGGAGATAATAGTGAGAGATGCAAAAGGATATGTGTTTGAGTTTGTGTAAATCATGCAGAGCAATAACTGTCAGGATTACTGGTGCAATGAAAAATGACACTATGCGTATAAAAATTAAATGTGTTTCCTGCTCTGTGATTGTATTTAAAGCTGGAATCATAAAGGAGAGCATCCTGAGGGTGCCGTCGTATGAACAGTGTAGTCTGAATCAGAATGAGCAGATCTTTAAAGATGTAAATACAGACATTAACATATAGATATTACTCAGCGGGAGTGAAATGTTTTCATTTGGAGTTTCATTACTCTTTTGTTTTGTGAAATCCTCTCTGCCTCTCCCCTTTCACAGGGATAAGATGAATCCTGATTTTCTGGATTGGAGGCATTTAACAAAAATTTTGATCACACATGGAAACCATAATCCAGATCAGAAACAAAACCTGTTTATGTGGTCAAATCTGAAAATCTTTCCAAAAGAAATTTTAATAAATGATCTAATCTAATGGCTTAAACCTGATCAGATTGTTTTGGTTATGCAGGTCCTGTGTTGTGTGTCTTGTACTGGTGTTCTGGTTTAGCTGATTTAGTGGTTTAGGTATAAGAACCCAGCTTGAGGACACCGTGACGGGTCATACGACTGCTGCTGAGCTACAACTTTTCATGGACAGTCACTCTCACCGCTAAGCTCGAGAGAAGCGCATCAGCCCCTGGCAGAATTTAAAACAGACCCGCCTTTCATCACTCCTCCTTCCTCCCTCCATCCACCTCAGCCCACAGACCACTAACCACTGACATGTGTGAGGAGTGTGTGCTCAGTCCATCCTCTCCCCCTCCCCTCCTTTCCTCTGTGTCTCTCATCCCTCGCTCACATCTGCCCGAGCTTCTTTCGCACACTTTCTCTCACCTCCTGTTTCTCTCCCCTCACTCTTCCTCTCCGCTCGTTTTTCTTGTCATGTCTCGTGGTAGTTTAACTGTGATTAGAGCGGCAGCAACAACAGCCTTAGGATGTGGTGACAAAACCACATCCGTCTTTGTGAGGACGGGGTGAGGGAGGGCAGGAGTGAGTGTGCTGCTGTGTCATGTGTTCCTTCACTAAAACCAGCAGCTCCTCCTCCAGTCACCCCTTAAATCCTCGTCTGTACCCAGAACACTTTTTACTTGACTTCAAAAGTTACGATGTGCTGAATACTTATAGCAGACAGTAGATATTTCTCTAATGAAGAGTTTTGCTTGACAACAGACACTTTATAATCACTACTCACGTGAGAGGTGATGTTGGCTCGGATCTCTCTTAGGATGTGCTGCCGGTACACAAGCTGGACTCGGATCGGCACCAGGATGGGCTCTGATGAAAACAGACAGCTTTGTTAGTGATGTTTGCCCTAACAGCCACTGACAAGGATGTGCTTTGCTTTAAAGCGTTCTCCATCCAGTGAGTGGGTGTATTCCTTTCAAAGGAAATACGATTCCATTTCCTCAAGAGTTGGAACACCGAGCATGATGTTTATAACATCTATCAGCTGGTGTGCAAATCATTTAAACCTTTTTCTAAGTTATGAACAGTGCATCGACACCCACCATAAAAACAAAATATATAAAGACATTAAAATTAGACAGGGCTCTATGGTGGAAATCACTGCATTGGCTCAATATCACTCCCAAATACAAATGTCTGTGCATACAGGTCGTCACTACATCCACAAATGCACAATAAAACAGATTTAACTGAGGTCAGTCAAATCAAAATCTGACATCTACTTTTGAAATCATGGATGCTGCTTCCTCATAGAGCCTGTTATCAACACACAGCTTAAAAGCCAGCAACTCTGATGGTTGGGCTCGATGAGTGAGGTGGTGTGGCGTAGCTAGTGCCACATCTAGGAAGGCAACACTAAATCTGAACAATGTATAAACATAGTGCAGCAACATGTGCTGCCATCTGCACAAGGGTTAATCTTTCGGTAATCTTTTGGAACTGCTGTCACTTTGTCTATTATGTCTTGACTTGTACTGTTGATAGTTTGTGTGTTAATGGCTGACTCACTCAGTGTAAACCAAACCTACAAATAAAATTACCTAACCTAGCGTAGAAAAATGCTGTCTTGGCGCTGATCATGGTTTTCTTTCAGATAGAGACACCAAAGTCAAACTCGCTGTTTAAAACTTGAGGCAGTGAATCACAGAGATGAATTTGGTGGAAAGTAAGTGGCAAGGGGCTTCCCAGAGGAGGATCCTTGTCTCTGTGGTTTTGTTAAACCTGTAGTTTCACTGGAGGAGTTGGTAATCACATTGTTTCAGATGGCACCATAATAGGAGGGTTGAAAGTCTAAGTTTGGAGTTTAGAAATCTTCCCCTCTTTCTTCTTTGTCTTACCACTCACCTTTGTCTTTGTGTTTGACGAGGCCCTGGAGGATAAGGATGAAGTGGAGGTTGTTTTCTGTGTCACTCAGAGTCAACATGGCAATGCCTCCCATGCCTGAGTTCTCCTCCTCCTCTGAAGTCAGCGTTGCACTGAACGTCTCTGCAGGACACATGCAGTCATACTAAGAATCAGCCTTCTTTTATTCACTTGTCTTCTACATAAATACTCCTCTGTAAACAAAGTTAGGACTTTGTTTACAGAGCTACATTAATCCTCACAAGGCTTTCTGAGATTACACAAAAGCATATACAGCCCCCCCAACTTTGTAAATACTGAGTTTTTGTGTACTTCAACACAAAGACAAAGGAATGCACATGTCTTAAGAGAATAATGAACCAATCACACACGCACCGGCAAACAGCGCTCTGTGTTTGATGATCTTGCCCTCCACTTCTTCCCGTCTGCTCGTCGATGTGGTCATGCTGATGCGCATCTGCTCAGACTGCAGCTGCCTGAGAAGAGGCTTTGGCAAGTTCTTCCATACTCCACAGACCTACATAAAAAACACTCAGACAGGTGAGCTGGGAGCAAAGATACGCCATCGTTCATACTGTAGCTGAACATTTACAGTCAAAATGAACACCTTGAAGTTTGTATAATTAGGTTCAAGAGCATAATTTTGACTTTAACTAAAAAGGTTCTGTAGTATCAACACAACACGATATGCAAGTCTGATAAAACATGTCAGTTAGGAAAAACAATAAAAATGTTAACTTATTCTCTGAAACTTAACTCATCACCTTGTCATGCTGTTATCTGGTGGTGCTTCCTTGCTTACCCCATGTTTTTATAATGTGGAGTGAGGCGGCAGTTCCCCAATCCCAAACAAATGTCTGGGAGAATTGAGGTTAACTGTATCTCATTGTACTGTACCTTATCAAATTGTATTGTATCGTATCGTATTGTATCAAATTGTTCTGTATCGTATCAAGTTGTATCTTATCATATCGCATCAAACTGAATCAAAACGTATCAAATTGTATTGTATTGTATTGTATCACATCGTATTGAATCGTATTGAATTGTATCGTATTGTATCAACTTGTATTGCATCCTGTTGTATCTTGTTATATCAGATTGCATCGTATTGCATAACATTGTATTAAATCGTATCATATTGTACCATATCGTATCATGTCAGCAGTTTTGGTCAAGGTGTGATAGTGGCTACAATTTCAACTGTCTTATTTATCTCTCATTTGTAAAAAAACAGAAAGGCACAACGACAAACAGACAACACGCACATCTGCTAATACGTTTAGTTATGTGAATTCGCTCTCTACCCGAGGCTGCAGCCTTTCTTGCTGTCAGCACAGAGAAGAAATATGGCCGAGTGCCTGCACCTCATAACTTTCAGTTCAGGGGTAATCTCAGTTTTAATTAGCTATACTCTCTGTCCTTTTGCTGGGCAGTGATGTAACATGTGAAAAATTCTCTGTCCAAAAGTTGAGCTCTGTCGACCCTCCTCCTCCTTCATTTTTCAATGCTAGAGTGTTTTCTCTCGGGTCCTCTGGTGCTTGACACTGACATTTATCTAAAAATAATAATAGGCCAATTTTCTGGGACCTGTATTTAAAGGACTCCTGGCTGGCCGTACAGGGTGTACGCAGGAGATATGTGTGTGTATCTTGGCAGGAAATGATGTGTAGTGATGGAGTCTGACCTTAGGGAGTATTGGGATACTACCGTTCCACCAGCGGATCAGTTTACTGATTTATCAGGATAAAACTGGCCTTTTAATAAACTTGCACTCACACACCTCTGACCTGGTGGTGTTTCCTCCCTCATGATACCCTCTGAGTGACTGAGTGAGTGTGTGAGGATGTTTACTGCAGTAAGGCTGAGTGTGTGATGTTTATAAAGAGGCAGAGAGGAAGTGTTTCTGTGTTTGTGTGTGTACGTGCTTATCGTTTATTATTCTAGAGTGAGTTATGGGAGAAAAAGTCAGAGTTTGAGCACAAAGTCATGAAGGGAGAGCATCAATCACACCAGTACTTCATTTTTCTGTCTTGAACAGGAAACACCAGACACACATGCACTTCATAAAAAACGACACAAACAACAGCAGCCAGATAGGATGGTCTTAGAACATGTCTTACCATGTCTGATTCTCCTTTGGGGACTCTGTACTCAAACATGGTGGTCCCGTCGGAGTCCAGGAACATGATTCTACTGGGGCGGCCCATTCTGAAAAAGAAAACATCATTCAACCAAAGAACATCCATGTATTTAAGGCACACTTCTCCATTTTTTTACCACACAGTGAAGCTACTAAAAAGCTAGTTTGAAACAAGACAGATACTGCCACCTATATTTATATTTTTTCAACTTTAAATGTTGTGTTCTTTTCAACCCTATGGATCATGTTTGTAAATTGTCATTGTTGTCATCACTATGTGCCTGCACCTTAATATGGGGATGTTTGTTTCAACAGTAATAGATTAAATCATATCATATGATAGCAATATTATATCATAATATCATATCATATCATATCTTATCGTAACATGTCATAGAATCGCATCACATTTTATGTATGGTATCATCACATATTGCATTGTATTGTATCATGTTCTATCCAATCAAAACATATCATACAGTATTCTATTGTATCAAATGGTTTGGTATGGTACTGTATTGTATCCTATCTTATCGTATCACACCTTATCCTATCTCATCCTATCATATGGTATAGTACGGAATGGCATCATGTCTTATGATATATTGTATCGTATCATTTTATACCATACCACAATAGATCAAACCATAATGTATTGCTCTACATTGCATAGTATTGAAATTTGTCAATTTGTATCATTCTCTGTTGGGTCCCATTATATTATACTATTTCACATTACATCAATGAAGGATCTTTTCATACTGTATGATGTCCTATAATGGAACAAAGAAGAATAACATTATGTGTCACATCATAACATTACCTATTCATTGTGACTACTCCATGGCACTAATAATTCTGCTTTATAAAAAATAACTTTATTCAGGAACGAATGATGTTACACTGCTCTGTGAACCCATTCTTCTAAGAACCACTGTCTATTCAGCTTTAATGCTCTGCCCCAGTGATGTGGTGTTGCAAACTATGAGTCATATGCGCCATGTTGGACAACTGTGTGGTGACTGTGGTCGCTCATTCAGCCAAAAGATTGTTGGTTTTCTTTGCTTTGGTTTTTCAGTTTAAAAAGTTTTCATATCAACACAAAATATAGGACACACTAATATTTCTCTTTTATGTACATATGGTTTGATTATATCTTGCTCCAAAACAATGAAATTATTGCAAGACCTTGAGTATTTGCTTCTCTAAACATTTTCAGTTTGTTTGTTTATAGCAAAGAGTAGCTGGAAAGGAGTAAAGGATATGCAGTGATGCTACTCAGACAGATAAGAAGAAAACCAGAGCACCACGTTCCGTGACCAAATACTACACAAAAAACAAAGAGGAGAAGAGCTTTTCTGCATTAAAACAGTGGGTTTTACCTCTGGTATGTGATAGAGAAGGTCAGGCTGGTTCTTGTCAGAGAGAAACGAGCTCTGGCGACACCGCTGGAGCTGGGCAGCCATGACTCAGTCACTCCTGTCAACACTGCAACAAAGTCTGCACAAGGAGAGTAGGACAGTCAGATATTTACCCAACAACATATGCACAATATTGTTTACACCATCTTGTGTTTTGCCTGTATTTGGGTATGTGAAGTTGATGCATGGAAATGATTCTAGTACAAGCTCTGTTGCCCCATGAACTGCACTTTACTGTAGTACTTCTACTTACCAGTGCGGCTCTCTCCAAGGCTTGTCTCCTCTGAACTCAGGTACGATCTGTCATTGTACGACTTGTGAAGGTCACCTTCTCTCTCTTTGCCTTTTTCATGGAAATACTCAAAGCTGTCCAGCACAGGGTCTGTGTGTTTCTTGTCATCATCACCTGCACAAACACAAAACCCAGTTATTCAAAGTAGGGGCACTTACAAACACCTGTTGGAAGGTTCAAATTCTGAAAATGTGAAGTTGATTTAAAGTGTACCGTTTTATGTGTGGTAACATTTTATATAAACAGCTATGATTTCTCTGTCATTCATAGTTCCAGGGTTTCTAACAATGACTATCTTTCCATCTCTTATCATTCCATCATTGGACCAAACATTTCAAAACACATCATGTTCCATCTTTCTGGGAGTCTGGTTAACAGATGAGACTTAAGCGCTGCCTGTCCTGCAATTTTTCACTTGATTGTGTTTAGAGAACAGTGTGAAATGTATGAACATGAGCAGCCAAACTGTGACAAATTTAAAGTTGAGCAAGACTTAATAAAAACAACAAAAAAGAGACCTTAGAGAATAGGGATAAAGAAGGATATAACATATGGGAGTCAGCGCCATCTCTCTGGCAGGAGCGACAAACATGGTACCAAGTGGCTAAAGGACTTGAGGGTGTGACATTGATACATGATCCCAGTAGTAACCTTTATATTCAGAACTCAGTGAAACATATATAAGTTCTAATTCCGCCAACTGCATCTCTAAAAAACACCTAAAAATTATGAGCAAAATTTGCTTTGTGAATTAGATCTCACATAGGATAAGATAGCAGGGCAAATCATGTGCAAATCATGGAGCTATTAGCCGCCCCAGTTCATTTGTAATTGAATTCCCTTGACTTTTAAGACTGTTTTATCCAAGTTCCTGAAACTTTTAGTCCATGAAACCACTTTAGAATCAGTTAAAAGGTTCCTTCACTATCACTCTGGGTCACTAGTACTCTCTATAGCTGAGGTTCGTCCCTGCAGGACCTTAAGTTTGTCTTTTGGGTCCGAATGTTGCATGGTCTCTTGAGTGTGAAATATTATGTCATAGCACTTTAGGAATAATATATCTTAAAAATGTGGTTTACAGCTGCAAACTTTGAAGAAAGGTAGAGTCAATGGATGAAATAAACAGCTCTAGTACTTGACCAATCAGTTGTACTAAGGCTTTTGGTGGTGTTCTCTGAGCTCTATTTAGACCTATTTCCCTGCCATGGAAATGCACTGAGTTCCTCTAAGGGTTCCTGGTCACTTGGGGCAGTGCCAGCAGTGGAAACATTGCCATAGCCATTTAAAGTAAATGCTGTCCTTTATCTTTCGAGGTGTCTGCTTCACACAGACACACAAACACAAACACTAGCCTTTTGGTCCACATAAGGATACCGATCATTTATAGGGGCCACAGGAGCCCATCTGAGAATTTTATTTGTGACGACTTTGCAAAATGCCACTTCAGAAAAATGTCCTCAAATGAAATGTTGTATATTGCGGGTTGGTCCTCACAAGTATGTAAAGACAAACGCAAACACACACACTCCACCAAGGAATCTGAAATCTCATCATTCCTCTGACACACACCCTTACTCCTCTGCTCCACTGGGCACACTTAGGGGCTTCTGGGTAATGTCACTCTCCCTTCTCACTGCTCATACTGTATCCTCAGGTGCACCGCATTACATGCATACATAAACACATAAACACACACACACACACACACACCATGCAGCTTCAGTGCCAAAGCTAAGACAAACACACTTGACCAAAACCCAACCACAACACACACAAACATACACACAAACAGCACAGTGTTGTCCTTTACCTTGACTTTCCATTACTGGACACAGACTAGAAAAACACACCTCAGTGCGGCATACAGGCCCACCCTGAGGATGTGTGAGTGTGAGCGTGTGCCGAGGAGCTGTAAGTCTCTAATAAGGTGGAATAGTGTTCACAGCAGTGTGTGGATGAACTTAAGTGGTAATGTGTGAAAGTGGCTGAGTTGATGGGTGGTACTTCCCGTTGTGGCTGGTTAGAGAAATTGTCTTAATTTGGTGCACCTAACAGCTGCTTTGAACACTGACTAGCTGACCCCAGGGTATGGAGAAAAGAGAGGGAGATGTAGAAAAAGAGGCTTAAGGAGAGAGAGGTAGCATATGAAATGTGTAATATCTGCAGGGAAAAAACTGTCTCTTTTGCTTTTCATGTTTTCTGCGGCAGGTCATGCATTGCTCATGTATTTTCTCAGCTGTCTGCATCATGCATTCAGTTTGTGTCAGTGAAGGAGAATTACCTTTGGGACAGGTTTTACAGCAGTGCCCGGGCAGCAGGATGGGATCATCACAGTCTGGGTCTGGACAGTCCTGCTTGATGTTCTTACAGTTCACCTTCCCAAACACCTTGTTACGACGAGTCTTTTGCTACCAGGAAAAAACAAACAAACAAACAACAAATGAGGTAGAAAATTTGACACAAGGGTCTTTTATTAAAACTCATATAAAAACATCTAATTTTTCCTCTTGTGAAACAGACAAAAAAATGGAATTCAATGGTTTCTCCTTGTAATACCCATTAAGGCCACAAGGGGTAGATTTGCAGCAATACCTCCTATTCAGGTGATGCGAAAGTATTTACATTTTCTTTAACTGAAGTTTGATTTCTCCAAGCACTTTCATGATGGCATTGTGTTTAAAAAAACACAATTTTAGCAAAATCTTTTTTGATTATGATTTTATTTAGATGTGTGGAAAAACACACAAGTTTTATGACTCGCAAACGTGCTTTTTAAGCATTTTAAAGATGGCCAAAGTCTTGATTAAAAGAAAGACTAAACTTGGAAAGGACTAAGAAAACTTTTTTACTGGCTGTCACAAGTCACAAATAGTGCTTTCACGCTCACAAAAAGTTCCTGAAAACTTTCCCAGTGTGCACTCAGGTGAGCTGCATGTGTGGACATTTCCAGACAGATTTTTTACCCAACTTCATCTAGACTATTTACTCCCACCCCCCCTTGTATAATTTTAGGGTTAAATCAGGGTGAGCTGACATGAGAAAACAGCAGGACAGACAAAGAGACAAAACTTACCGGTTCACATTGGCACTGAACACAGTGCATGACACCGAACGGCTCCCCGAGGTCTGGATGCCATGTGTCCTCTAGAGAGTAGAACCGGCCTCCGAATGAACATCCTGAAACACAAACATGTCTGATTATACACGACTGTCCTCAGGGTCAAACATGTTGTAGTCATGATCACGACTCTTCAGCTCTTTCTAAAAGACAACTCTTTTAAAGCTGATACTGCGACCGTAAGGCCTTCATTAAGTGTCAGATATTGGAGGTGACAGGCTACACAGACTGAGCCTTTGTTTCATAATTGAACGAAAAATATTGGTGTCCAGCTCACTGCCCAGACATGTTGGAGGCAACAGAAACTCACTGGATGGCTCATGAGTTTTGGGACTCGACCACTCATCCTGTCTCATCTAAATGATCCATGAGCAAGTATGGGAGGCGTACAATTTTCCACAGGAGGACAGTCAGAGATTCCCAGAAATATAATGTAGGTCAAACCCCCTTTAAAAGTCACTGCTGGTACATTTGAAAGGTATGAATGCAGTGTAAAGGTAACCAGAGGTAAGAAAAAAGGTTAAAAAAAAAAAAGGGTAGCACAATATTTCTTTAGTATGTTTACCTTATGCTATATTTTTTGAAACATAAAGGAATTAGCAAAACAACCCTTATAAATGTGGTGTGTTTTATGGACATACTGCAATTCTCCCGTCTTTCCTACAGGACAAAACTTCCCTCTAATTTTACCACTTATAGTTAAGCTATTTTCCCACAAATCTGACTTTCTGCACAAAGGATCTTAAAAGTACAATGTTGTGAGTAAAAACATTGTCCAATAGTACATTAAGAAGTGTAATAAATAAACAAATATGAAAGAGTGCACAATGGATAAAATAGCTCATAATTTCTATAGTATAGTATATATATTTTACAAATTAGCTGAGTTTGCAACATGGTTCTCATGGATCTAAGATACACCCGAAAATCCATTCTTCATCACTGAATTGTCAACAATTATTGAGATCATTCAAAATTAATCATTTGTGGTGTGTTTGTTGCCATTGTTCATATTGTAATATTGATAAATTTGCAGTTTTGTCTGCAGCTCAAACAAAAACTGTGCAACAAGCTCACCCTCACTAAGATTAAACATTACTATAACATTTATTTTAAAGGGTAAACCATACACCAGGATGTCCCAAATGGTAGTGCTGTTGTCCCTATGGGTTCTTTGGAGAACTGCATGTGGTACCTACATGTTTTTTTTTTTTCACTTAAAGCTCCTATGAGAGACTTTCATTTTGTGTTTTTTGGTGCCCTGGTGAACACAATGAATCCTTTTCTCTTTGTGCTTATCTTACTTTAAAGCAGTGTTTTATAACAAAAATTACACCTTGCTTCCTTTGAAACTCAAATGGATCACTCACTGTAAAGCACTGTGGATGAAAGAAAAGGCTTTAATACACATACCCTCTTTATGCAAATCAATTTCAGATATTGAGTGGCTGAAAACAATTACTTATTAGTGTTAATTATGTCTTAACAGCTTTATGCTTTTTGTTTAAAGTTGCAACTACCAGAAGTTTTTTGTTCACGTGCAAATCAGAGCAGAGCAAAAGAAACTCTCTAAGCTGAAAAAATACTTTAAATTGCAAAGGAAAATATATTGACACACACTCTGAGGTATACAGAGGCCTTAGAGCTTATTCGGGGCCAAATGATGTAAAACTGGGGCTCTTTATCAGACAACAGCTCCAGAGATTAAAAAATAAAAACATCCTGACCTAGAGTGGATGTGAAAACAAACACTGCTGAGCTGAAATGCAGCACATTATACATGTTTCACTTGAAATCCAGCCATAACTATAAAAACACAGTGGTTTAATACACAGGGGCTCTGCTGATGTTACAGGACATAAAAATAGCTTTCAGTGATATTATTACTATGCTACGATCATAATTGAGTGTTAGTCACGCTGTGTTACTACAGGGATATTATGTTGATCTCTGGTTAGGATAAGTGGTGTGTGTGGTGAGAGACCTTCTCATACACACATACACTAAATGTGATGTCACCTCTCGCCAGCTCTTCTCAAGCTGATGCCTTTCCTCGCGCACCGCTTCCAACCTGGTTCACATTATTCTTTCATTAAAGTGACTGCACTCCTTAAATAGTCCAGTCCCACTCTTAAGGAGCCAAACTGTGAGCCTGCCACTTGAGTCTCTGCTGAAATAAATCATCTCAGAGGAGCCAATGCTTGTAATGGAAAGTCGATTGATTATAGTTTTCCAACACAGAATTGCACGTTGCAGGCTGTGGTTAACGTGGAGTTCCCACAGTTTTGAACTCCTGAGTGGTTACCTTATAAAAACCGCAGTGAGCTTTGTACTTAGGGGCTTTCACACATGAATCGAATGGCATCCACTGCGGTTATGACTCAGATGTTTGCCACTAGTTTACACATGAAGCAATCCAGGCAGGCATTGGACTGTGTTCAAGGTGAAACATAGAAATTTGCTTAAATTTTGTTTGCAGTCTGTAATAAGAGGACAGTTCTTCACAAGCGGACAGACTGTGCATGCTGCCAGGAGTTGGTGTCTTTAAGGTCAGGGTTTGAAGGCATGATTTCATGCCAGACAAGAAAGAAATTACTGCATATGAAAAACAGCTCATTTCTTCATTGTTCCAACTTTAAACAAAAACAAGATAATAGATGTTGGAGATGTTTTTCATTTCTCGTTTTTCAATGGGAAAGGGTCAAATGAACTTCTGAAAGTATTGTTTTTGTCCACTTTATGTGTTTTAACCAACTACAGGTATGAAATAAATTAAAGCCACAGTCAGGTGACATGGAGGTCAAAGTTAGAATTTCAAAATAAGAGCCCAAGGGACAGAATGGCGCAAGAGATGATTTATATTTGTCTTTTGAGTTTGTCTGATCAGTTCCTTGACTGAATCTGATTACTTAGACAATAATAATTTCAGATGCTATGGTTTGATTCTCAGTTCTGGCAACTGGGGCACATCTAAAGCCACCCGTGCAAAGACTGTAAGATTAGTGGGTTCTATCTATCTATCTATCTATCTATCTATCTATCTATGAATGCCTTTTTCATTGTCATACAAGACAATAAGAATAAAACAGCTCTCTTATTCAACGTTGCTATTTTTTGCTTCAAATTGGAAAAACTGCTCACTTGACTCTAAAATCCTTCTATTAAAGTTCATATTCTGAACCTATAAAGGTGAGACTGGCCGTTAGAGGAGGCTGTTCAGGTCATTAAGTGCTCCCCTCTGCGCACATGCAGTGCAACACACCAATCCTCGTGGTAAAGTATTCTATCTTTAAAAAATCCTGTTTATCTATTAAAAAACTGATATTTGTTACACTCACATTGAAGGGCTACAAAAAACATCATGTATACTGCAATTCGGCTGAATAGGAACCTGAAATTGCGGCATGCTTTGAGACAAAATGACTTTTAAATCAATACTTAAATTACGCTCTCTACTGCCACCTCGGCGTATGTTGGGTCACAGCAGCACCGTCTTAGATGATGGCTGTAAAGTTTAGGGGGTCCATTTGGTGGCCGAATTAATAGTACGCTCCTTTTACATGTTGGAAATGTGTGTTCACTTTATAAACACAACGTTTCTTAAGTAAAACCAACTTAGATAAAAGTACCACACATTATGAACGTACTTTTGTCCATGCTCTTAATGCAGATTAAGCTACACTAAACGTTTGCTTATACAGCTGTAGGATGTTGAAATGAACGTGAATAAAAGTGTTGGGCTCCTTACCTGCCAAGCCTTTGGAGGGCTGCGGCTCTCTCTCTGACTGGATGGGCAGAGCGGGAGACTTGAGCCGCGAGGCCGCTCCGGTGTGCAGCCACGCGCAGCTCAGTACGCACAGCAAGGAGCGGAGCGCACGAGGAACCAGCATCCCAAAGCTCCCTCTCTGACAGCCTCTCCTCAAGATATTTCCTCAAACCTCCGATATCTCCCACTTATGAAGCCACTGTCAACGTGAGGCGATAAAACACAAACTTGAACAGAAAAAAGTTTTCGTCTTACATCCAAGGGTCCACTGTCATTGGCTTGAAAGTCCCGTGTTTTAAATCCTTCTGGTTTGAGTCAAACAGACAGGGGTTTCCAGGACAAAGCCAGCTGCACCGTGTGTTTTTCCTCAGTACCAGCAGCCTCCTCAGAGTCCCGTCCCTCTCTGTTTTATAGCCTGCTTCCCTGACAGCTAGAAGCACCGGCTGGGAGGAGGGAGTGGGGTGAAGGTGGGTGGGGGTTGGGGTGTGTGATGGAAAGGGAAATTGACGCCCCTATCAATTCACTAACGCTTAAGATATGGAAATGAGGCTGTGTCTGATTCATTTGCAACCAAAACTTCAATAATACTGTTTTAACCCGAAGTTTCCCAGAGAAAAGGTCTGGTTTAGGGGGCTAAAAACTATAAGTAAATTGCATTTAGATCTCTGACATAGGTTTTAAGAAATCTAAAGCTACTGTAAGAACATTTTAGTCAGTTATACAACAAGCTGAATTAAACAGAGATGCTTTTATATAGCCTATAAAAGGAAACAGGACCATAAGCCACAATATTGTCCATTTCTATATGTAAATTTGTACTGTCTGTAATCACAGTGGGGGGTTGGACTCAGACGAAACAATCGGCAACAAAGTTTTTGTACTCAGCTCAGCAAACTTTTACACTGAGTGACACATTTCACCATTTAAAAGAAAGCAGGGTGAGACTAACAGAGACAACTAGCAATGGACTAACAGGGCAGACATTGTCCACAGGGGCGCCAAAAGCATGAAAGCATTGCTGAGAAGATGGGTATTATACAAACTCAACAGGGAAAGAAAGGACAAAGAAAAGATATATTTTTTACAAACAAACAGTATGGAGCTGTAAAAGTCATGGTGTTTTCATCAATCAAGGTACATCCCGTTGGCCTCTTGCTAACAGGTTTTGCTGACTGTTTTGATTCACAACAGGTCAAAGGGGGTATGTTGCCACCCGCTGTAGTGGAGGCAGACAAGCTTCTGTTAATAATTTGATTCTTGCCTCCATGCTTGTAAACTTGGATTAGGACTGTGGTCCAGTAAACCCCCTAATTGTGCTTTGACTGTAGCTTGATTTAACTGTACATGTAAATATACTGACTCAAAGTAAGAACACTGTTTGATTAAGATGTGAAAATTGTTTTTTCATGCACTCCTGCTAAATGGTCACCTTATCAAGCTCAGACTGCACGTGTTGAATCAGGAGCGAGCTTTGACATTTGGGCATTAAATTTTCCTTGAGAACTCCCACACACAGAAGTTAAGGCCAAAGAATTTAACTTGGATCATGATTTTTAAAAAGTTATCATCACCTTTCTGGCATGACGAGAAAAGCTGGAACTAGAGAAGCCTAAATGGAAAAGCTGTTGTATTTGGATTTAATTAGATTGCACATAATGTTACAGCTGATTACTGTGAATCTGGGTTTGTCTTTTGTCCTCATTCTGTGTAATTTTGGATGCTGTCTCCTATTTTACACAAGCGCATTCAAGAAAATAAAGCCTTTAAAAGTTTGGGAATCAGCTTGTAGCCATCATTTTACAGTATAAAAGGATGTATGACAGGATGCTATAGGTGGATCACAACTCATGCCATGGGGCAGCTGACTGGTATATGATTGGCTCCCTTGCACTGAAAACAATGCACCATCAGGCACACAAAAAAGGGCAGAACAGTCTCAGTTTGCACTGTGTATGCCAGTATACTTTCTTGGTCTATCTGCTTGTAAAATTGTTTGCTAAATTTTTACCATAGAATGGGAGATTTATTCTTTGATTTCCCGTCTCTGTTGCAAGACTAAAACCAAGCTCAGGCTCCAGGGGCCAAACTTTCAAGTCATTTGAAACCATAGATGCTGCTGGAGCAAATGTGTGAGTCTCCAGATCATGTACAGTAAGGAATGTGTGTGAGCGTCTGCTCCTCTGGCTCTCTGCACCGTGTATTTTTTCAAGTGTGTTTGGAGCTCAGACCTAAGTGACTTAACAGAAACAAATGAAAATAGTTGGAATACCTCAACCCAAACCCATTTAAATTTGTCCTGGCCCTCTGTCCTCTTTTTAGACCCCCAAACTGTTTCCTTTGGCTCTCTTGAAAGCCCACCTGGACCAATCTATACCCACAAAAAACTCATTCATTATGGCTCAGTTAGGTTTCAAGGCCCTCACACAAGGATGCAGGTGCCAAGAGCTCTTTAACCTCCAGTCTTCTAAAACCCACTGTGACCAGAGTGGAGCTTCACAACATCAACAACAAGTGAAATTTATTAGAGCCTATTTAGATCTGGGAAAGGTTCCCATCAAACAAAGCAGAACGGTTGAGCAACAGTGCAGCTCCCCAAAGATGGTCCCTCGGGGTCCAGAACAAACGCTGGGCAGTTCAAGTTTACATTACTGGAGTAGAGCTCATGGAGGAGTAATTCAGCATAGGTCAGGCTTATTATATGGCTAAACTGTAAGGAATAAGGAAAGATTGATTCTACATAATGACCCTACATTATGATAACGTTGCATTTCTTTCAGTACATTTTGTCCTGCAGACAGAGCCCCCTCAATAATTTGCAACTTTCAATGTCACATGCTCAAAAATAGTGATCCGATTTTGGCGTCTAATTTCTAACTTAACATCCATTTTCAACGAACCCTTGAGAGAAAGCAGCGCCCTTAATCTTTATCTGACTTGATTTAAAGTCCTCCACAGCCCTCTTACTCCACCTACATGCCTCTCGGGGACCCTTAACTTTGTGTGTTTACACTAAAAGTTCGCGTAAAAAGGTGCCAAATCTGGTGGTTTTGTGCCAAAAGTGCAAACCAAGGTGTGAGCGTAAGGTGTTATTTTTATGCATGTGTCACATAACGTAGCTTGTGGGAGCCACTTCCACTCGAGTGTGGAGACTCACGCCCCCCACGACCCAACTCCCCCCACCCCCAAGCAATGGGAGTCGATGATGGTCTATTTGCACTTCATAACAGGGTGATAAGCGACACGTTTCTTCTCGTTGCACAGAGTGATTCATTAGGCAGACTGGATACTAAATTGTCTATTGGAAAGAACAAAACCCGGAGCACTTATCGGTCCTCTGGGAGCGGTTTTGTGTATTGGAGGCGTCCAGCACATGTTTAGAAACGGACTCTTTGCACGATTGCGCCAAACTCATTTCTGTGAGACCGTGCAGCCTATGATAAAAACAAATGATGACTCTCGGTCATATCGAAACATGAACCCAGTGTTTATTCAGCAATCACTCACAAAATACAGTTAGTCAGAAAACTTTGCACCGTCTCCCAAGCGCTGTTATTTAGGCAAGGATTTACTCTGGAGAAACGGTGCAACGGGACTTAAACCTGCTTTATTTCAGTGTATACCTCAGCGGAATTTTAGAATATGCTTATTTGTTCGGAACTATTCTTATGTTGTTGTTCATAATCGTTTAGAGTGTTCAGATAAGCAAAAAACACAGAATTGCCAAAATTCCAAATGAGGTTCGCACTGTGAAAAATACAACTCTCTGTGCGCACACAATAAAACCACGGCTGAGTTAATGTGATTTATTTCGGACCACGATGGGATTACTTTTAACATTTTGTGTCCAGAGATGTATTTTATTTTTTCTTTATCAGAACAAATTTTCTTCATTTTCCGTCTGGACTGCTGCATGCTTTGGGTTTGCTCACAGCCTTTTAAATCAGGCTGTTTTTCAGTATTAAGTCATTAAATTCATCTGGGTCTCATCTGTATTTATCTGTGTCTTAGTCAGGAGAAGTATGATCGCGGTGAGAGGCAAAACAGACCGACTCAACCCTGTCATCTCCAATACGCAACGAAACATTGCAGACTACCACTTAATCAATGCACAGTGTCTGGCACATTATGTCGGAGCAAGAGAAAGGCCAAAACTTATTAAAAGAGACACGGAGTTCCTATTTTTTTATAATGGCTCGTTTCAGGACAACAGGAGAGTCTGAGAAGAATGGAAGAAATAACGATTGATCACGGGAAGAAAAAGGCGGACAGGAGCAGATTTTTCTGATCCAAAAGTGAAATATTGAGAAGAACACTAGAAACATGCAGGTCTAGGCAGTGTATGTGTTTGTTAAAGAGGGAGGGGGTGGCCTCGGCTGTAAATCAACTTTAACGGTGCAGATAGATGGATACACATGGATGGACACTCTCCTGTGTATCTGTTTGCTCGTCATAGTTTGCAGAAATTCATTCAAAGGTGCACCATCCCTCTCTCTATCCCCCTTAATCTGTCTGTCTCCTGTTTGCTGCTGGGACTGTGAGGTGTGAACATTCAGTCTGTGAGCTATGATAGCCTGGCAGATGTGCCTCTCTTTCTCTCTCTCTCTCTCTCTCTCTCTCTCTCTCTCTGGTGCGCACACACACACCTGTTCCTCATCACATGGACGTTGCTGCTCTCACAAGCATGGCATGTTTTACCCCCTTGCTTTTACTATCACTCTTAAATAACCGTGTGATTAGTTTAAAAAAGAAAAAAACAAACTCAAGTGCAGTTTAATTAAGATCTTTTGCTGTTTTTCTCTCCCTGTTGGGGAGCAAATAACGTTATATATCCTGGTGCCTTTGGAGATCTTTTAAGATGCATGGCACCAAATGTGCTTCCTTATACTGCACAGGAGAAAGGCTCTGTTTTAGCAGTGTGTGAGCCCACATACTGTACTAGCTTGCTGGAAATGCACCCAGTTATTTGTGACTCATGTCAGATAAACCGTGATCCGGGATGTGGTTGTGATTGTGTGATTTCCTGCTGCATTCCTGACTTATTTGCGTAAATTCGAGTCACCCCAATTCAGACAGACTCCTGAAAGAGGCGGCTCGTTTATAGATGTTCGAGACGCCGAAACAATCAGGTAAGAGGAAATATTCTGTACCCATACACTGCTAAAGCCGTGTTTGAACGCGTCATGTCCCTCGCAGCGCGCCGTAAAAGTTGTCAGAGAAACAGAACAGGACGCGCACGACGCCTCCTCAGCCACTGTTATGTAGATGCCGCTGATAATGGTAATAAGAGGCAGCCAGCTCAGTTGTAAAGCTAATTTTGAACTGCTGCCGGCAACGGAAAGGGGCGAATGGGCCTCTCCTAATATGCAAATGTTGCGAGTCTTGCAGAGCTGATGTTTATTCATTCATACAAACGGAATCCATTTGCAGACAGTCGAAACTAAAGAAAGAAAGGTGGATCTCTCTGACCTCTGACCAGCTCTATTTCCGAATCAGAGTCCATGATGGAGAGTGTGACAATAATTACTGGAGGCAATTAGCGAGCAGATGAGAACTCCAAATGTACTGGGTTTGCCTGTTGTGCTGTGGAGGTGCTGGGTTTATTTTGACACCTCTGGGAGAAGACTGGTGTGGTTATAAGAAGCCACTGCATTAAATGAGCAACAAGTTACAGTGAGAGCATGATATTTCCTTTATAAGGAGTAAAATCCCCTCTGGCATGTTAGATTTTGAAATTTGGTTTTTAAGAATCATTGTGATCTTTTACTCAAGTAGGGTGTAGGGGAGACTGGGTATGGTTGCAACACTTCTGTAACTCACACAAGCTGGAGTTCCTAATTTTGTTCTGACAGAGCCTCCACATTTGTTCACTACAAACACCACATGCTAAGGCACTACTGTAAATTGAGTATACACAGTAGCTGGCAGTGTGATTAGACTGTATAAAGCACGGACATAGGCTCAGCAACCTCAAGAGTTAGGGGTTTATCTCATGTGAAAAGCTGACTTATCCCAACTTATATTAAACATGTATAATGACAGCATCTGCCTGAACTCATCTACATATAAATTTAGCTTATCATGATTGTGCTACTCACTGCCAGACAGTCCGGGCTGCTGCACCAAATCACTCTGCTGCACATCCTGCAGCTGCAACAAGCCTCAATATACACAAATCTGCAATTGCAATGCCCTTTAAACAACATGTAAACAAGAACTGAAGACAGATGGCATCTCAAAGCATGGTGTGGTCCAGTAGTATATTAATCTAAAATGAGGTGTTTAAGTGTTGTGCTGTGTCTTGATAAACTAGTATATATATATCCTGTCTGCTGAGAGAGGGCTGAAGGCTGGTGGTGATTACAAAACTCAAACTCAATTTGATACTGGTTACCTGCAGACTCTCTGATCCTGTATTTGAAAACAAAGAAAGAAAGGTGGATCCTTATATATCATATCTTAAAAAATATATGGAATTTCCCTCAGTGGGACTATTAAAGGCATATCTTATCTTTTATCTCTTATTCAGCTATTTAAAAAGCAAACAAACATCAATTTCTGCAACCATTTCCAGTCAATACAATCAACTTAGTCGTTATTTTGGGACATGAGATGTTAATTTTGGACTTGTCAGGTCAACATGGCTTTTATTAAGTTTGATGTGACTCTTGACTGGGAATTAGACCGAAAATCTTGGCAATAATTCCCTTTTAAGCACTGTGTTGATTAGCTTAAATACAGAGATAGTCAGGTGAGTGAGAAATTCCACCAACTTATCTTTTTTCTTCTTTAAAGGTGTAGTTTCTGCACTAAAGCTCTTTGAAGAATGATTAGTCTGAAATGTAGTGGAGTAAAAATACCAAAGCACAACGATTCACAGCATTTCAGCTTCAAAGATGATAGAAGTATCTGACAGGAGACATCAAAAGGCATTGAGACGAGACATAAAACAGCAAAAAGACACTATGGTACCTATGACAACAGAAACAAACCCAAATATATTTGAGGATTAAACAAGAGGGTAAAAACGGTGCAGTGCATGCATTAAAAATAGCAACACACAGAGGGGTATCAGAGTAAATATCAGTGACATTCCACCTCTGCACCTTGCTGCACAGCTTGTGTCCATAAAACCAGAATAAATACAGAATAAACGCACACATGGCACAACAAACAACATGTTTCAAGTCTTCTCCATCCTTCCTGGCAAACTCCCCCTCTCTCTCCTGTCGGCTCTTTGAAATCGGCATCCCGCCTCTCTCATTTCTGTTTACAAGAGTCAAATTGCTTCCACACACTTTGAGCCCTAATAGACCTGCAAGCACCAGAAGCGGTCACGGTGCTTTTTTTTTTCTTTAAGTTGCGCATAAATACCTCAACCGTTAAACATCAGCGTACAGTCATGCTGATGAGTGGTCTGAAAGGCGACAGTCTAACAGGCCTCTCTTTGACTCATCACTTATAACTGGGTCTAACTCTCTTCTTGCATGAAATGAAGGATGCCAAATGGAAAATTGGCTCCATTCCACTGTTGCTCATCCCCCAAAGTTTCCCCAGTGTAAGTTCTGATTGAAGCTTGTTTCAAATGCAAGGTTGTTTTTTTTTTTTTTTTCATCTTACAATGAGATTATCAGTTTGGGTGGTCTAAAGGAATATGTGCAGACTGCACCTTCCGAAAGGGCTAAAACAGGAAGAAAGGAGGTTTTGCAGAAAGTAGCTCTTCAATAATCATACTTAAACGTAAATCAAGTGATCACAGGGATTGTAGGAACATCAGCCAAGCCAAGAATAAATGGTTCTTGGCACCAGTGGTTTTTCAAATGGGGTTTGGAGCTCCTTTAACTGAGAACAAAAAGAGGAAACAGGCATACTTTCACTTTTTCCTTTGCCAGAAGAGCTTACATTTTCTAAAAAAAACAGAGATATATGAAGCTTAAAAAGAGACACAACTGACACACAACACTCAGATCAGATTAAAGCAGTCTTCAGTATTACTCAGTCCTGTGCACAAGAGCATGAGCAGTTTCAATAAGCAGCATGTGAGTTTACTCCAGCACCTGAAACCGTCTGCAGCAAATCATGCACAAAAAGAGACTTTGTCACCGTGAGCCTCACAGATGTGGATCAACATGCACGCTGTTCAATCTTGTGGAGCAGTGCATGAGAAATTGGGTAGAAAATAAGTCTATTTGGTAGCCTTTGTGCTAATACAGCCGACCATACACCCTAAAAGGCAGCAAATATTGCAAACCAGTCCACACACAAGTCCACGTGTCATAATGTCACCTCACTGAATACGACAGGGCTTATTGACCTCAAAGCACTGGAGGTCAGTTTTTGAGTAGCTACTGTAGAGGGTTTAGGGATGAAGACAAGGTCTACTTAACAGCCTGCTTGCTTGTAATGCCGCTTCAACCACTTTTCTCCAGAAACAACAGCTGAATGACAGGTAGGGAAACTAACAAAAAACTGCATGTTCAAAGAAGTCTGAACAAAATGGGCTGCTGAATTTTTCTAAAAGGTGTTAGTGGAAAATAAAACTTTCCCACAGACACCCACTTAACTATCATAATGATAGACTAACAAAAGAATGGATACCAAGCATACCTACTGGTCTTAAACTGCATTGGTTGAGAGAGTGGAGGGGGCAGAAGGGATTGAATAACATCCTTCTTGACCTGATTTTATTTGATATATGTCTCCTGATTCTGTTGTATGTACTTTTCAGTAACAACAGGGAAATGCTTTTGGATGAGACAATCTCTAAGGGCTTAATAAGAAGGTGTTTAATTCATACAAAATCACCAGCTGAGCAGTGAAAAGGCAGAATAAGATCACAAATGATGAAATATTTCCGTAACTGACGACTGATAGAAATGATGACTTAATGACTGCTTACTCTAGTGGTCTAATGCCAAAAATCGAATCATTCCCAAGCTGTCACGCAGCCAACATACTTCCTGCATGAAGTGCCACAATAAAGTGTAGTCAGCCATGGGAATGCAAGTAAGATCAGGATTTAGTGTTCACCATGTACCCACCTGTGGCTGCTGAACCAAATCAGACTGTGAAAGTGTTTGTGCAAAAACAGTCTCTCTTTCTGTCTTTTTTTTATACAGGGACAGTTTAGAAAAAGATCTTTACAACACCTCTGAACTTCTTTGTAACATTACACAAGCCATAATGCACTGTAGTTATAACTAAAATGCATCTTCAAGTCAAAAGCATTTCAAATACTGCTATGAAAGTACTCTAGCTGTGTAGAAACAGACATACCCAGCCTCCCATCATCCCCGGATAATAAAATCTGTCAAAATCAGCCTCTTTTAGCAGTTTATCACCCCGGACAACCACTTTGGTGTCTCTGTAACTCAACAGCAAGCCCACCACCTGTAGAGTAAAGAAAGGGCCACCTTCAAGCTAGTTTTAAGCTAGTATTCTCTGAGCCTGTAAATCTATTCATAGCCTCTTAGCATGAAAGCTGTTGGGATTCCCCTCTTGGTTCATTTCTTCATCACCTGCTGTCTTCAATTCATGCATGCTGTTTTTTTCTTTCTCCTTCTCTGTTCTCCCGCTCTCTGTCACCCCTTTTGAAGTCTTTGGGAGTCCTGCGGTTTTCAAAGGGTCAGGAAAGGGCAGCCCTACTGTCCTATCGGAAGCAGGCCGCGGGATAAACGTATGTTACCACCTGTTCCCTCTGCGCTGAGTCAACACTGCTGGTGTCACTGTACTCACACCTCGTCATCTCACCCCCTGCTGCTTACACATTGTTCACTCTTGCTCGGACACACTGGAAAGTGATGGAGCAAATGCACACACACAAACACATCAGGGTAGCACTTGTGCCCACATATACACATTCAGGAACGTGCACGCTGCTGCTACTGTAGAACCCCCTACTGTCTGACATCCGTAACACAGAGGCAAACTACGGAGTCCTGCTGCTCAAAGCCCACCCTTTCCTCACACTTCACATTACAGAGGACTACTCCTGGCCTGTTATCAAACCAGTGGGGGTTGTTTGGTTGGCAGAAAGAGTTGTGTCCTGGGGAGAGAGTCAATTGCAGGTCCGGGGTCACGCAGAGAGTGGAAACAGGCAGCCAAAAGCCCTTCAAGATGAAAAATTAGCCTTTCAAATGGTGGCCAAAGATCAAACCACTCACAGGAGCTGCTCCTATTGAAGAGGTTCAGAAGCTGTTCTTATTCAGCTGCTGTTTCCCGTCCTGTTTGCCCAGAGGGAAACGTACCAGGAACCCCCAGATCAGGAAAGAGAAGTCAAGGTGGAGCAAGACGAGCCAAAACTGGACACTAGGCCAGAGTCTGAGTCCGACACCGCCAGCTCCTCAAACTTCTGTATCACTTTTCTTACTGATTGGAAGGGAACCTCCCTCCGCCAACGACCTCCACCGGCTCCGCGAGGCCCCTTGTAGGTGGAGTACTTGCTGAGGAACACATGAGGAGGAGGGGGCAAGCCGCAGTGCAGCCTGAGTCGACCCTGACCCAGGCCCAGTGCTGGGAGCACTCCAGCAGAGCCAAAGCGGGTCGGAAGCGTGGCCAGGTGCTCCTGGGTCAGGGGGTTGTGGAAACTCAAGGCCCCACCACTGATGTTGAGGAAGACCCCGAGGGTTTTAATCTGAGGTGGGACTGTGCGGAGAGGCTCCAGACTTCCATCAAACACAGCAAAAAAAGATGAGCCGTGTCTTTCCAGCCACCAGCCGCAGGTACCGTCGGCTGAGCTCACACCTGAAGAAGAAACACATTTGACACTCAGTTCCCAAAACAGATCAACTTCACAAGATTTTTAACCTTTGACTGAAATTTCTGCAACTCAAATGTGTCATAACTGATATCTTTCAGTGCATTTACTAAAGTTGAAAAGCAATGGCCGGTGTCAAGGTTCACAAGCACAGACCAGATCAAACTATGGACTGAAGTCACCTTCCAGCTTTATTCTGACTAATGCAATAAATCATTTATGGCTTATTTGTAAAACTGTGAGATACTGTCTCATTAGTGCAACATCCTAATATATTTGTTTGTGTCTAGAAAGACTGTGTTTCAGAGATACCACGTCTCTGGAGACCATGAGGTACTTCTGAATGTCTGACATGCACAATATCAATATTAGAAAATTTTAGCTTTTATAATCAGCTTATATTAACAGTTTATTTATCTGACTGCAACTTTTTCAATCATCTATCAATCAATCAATTTTATGTATTTTTTTGAGAATAACAACTCAGAGTCGCTTTTTTTTTCAGTGAGAAAAGTTTCACCCTTATAGCAGTGAAGCTGCCATTCTTCAGAAAATACATCTCATTTCATGCCAGATTGTTCCAGTAATTTGACAAAATGGTCTGACCGGTATACCCGCTTGGTGGCACTATAAACTGAGCAGTCATGTCTGGTGACGTGTGCATGTGTCTTTACTGTGGGCTTGTGAAACAAGCACAGTCCTGCTGACTAACTGTGAGGGTTTCTGGATGATATAAACACACTAGAATCAAAACAAACACAGTAAAGATCTCACCGATCCTGTAGACGGAGCTGTTACACACATCCACTTCCCAGTAATACTGCCCCCGTCTGATGACAACATCTGCACAGACTGGGGGATTGGAAAATCTGGGGTCAGAGGTCAATGATCTGACCTTGGTCTTGTGAAGTGGGACAGGAGCACTGTCTCCTCTGTGTGTAATGGTGAGGGCGGACTTGGAAAGATGGAGGGCTGACGGAACAGTTGAGGAGTTCAGGGTAAAAAGAAGTCCTAAAAGGAGTCAGAATTGATTGTTTTGTATGATGGAAATCATTGAAAACAATTAAACAGCTGAAGCTTTAGATTTGATTCCCAACCATAGACAGACTGCTCCATCTCCTCCTCTCGCAGGTTTACGTCGCCATCCTCTGGTGCTAATGAGGAACAGGCAGCTGTGGAGTCTGCAGGGGCTGAATAAGGAGAGCGCACACTGTTCTGGAGGTTCTCGTGTTAAGTTCAGTATAAAGTTCATTTACACACACAAAAAAGCATATTCCCAGAATTTGGCCTGGCTAACACATACATCCCCCAACTTACCATGTAAACAGCTGAGCGCAGTCACATCAGGTGAACTGTGGCAGCATGTGTCCACCCTCTTTAGTTGTCAGATTGAAACACATGGAGAGGAAAATAGGTCACAGCACAAACTGATTTAAATTGTAAGGCATCTACACTTACCCTTATATACACAAAGATTTTAAATGAGTGGCATCTGTGGTTTCAAATGCAGTACATAAATGTACTCATTTTAACCCAAAATGACCGACAATCAGGTCATAGCCACAGAGGCAGGATTGTTATTCTGACTATCAGCATTATTTCATCAGTATTTAGAATGAACCTTGAGGTTAACTGCAGCACTGTATGTGCTGTGCATAGTAATTGTTTATGCAGCAAGATGGTGGGCTGCAGGTTTGTTCCATTGCATGTTTACTGTGGAGCAAGGGCAAGTAATAAATTACACTCAGTGGGGTTTGATTTGACTCTCTGTACACAGCTTGATTATCACTGATGCTCACTGAGGTGACAGACTGATTACACATTATTGCCCCCTGTTGGTCTGGCATTCTAATGTGGGTGTTTTCAACAGTTTCTACTTTGTCTGGGGACACGAATGTTCATTAATACCATAGTATGGACTGGATTTTTTTCTCGGCCATATCGCTCAAAAAAGGAAAATAAACACTGTGTTTGCTAGAATGAGACGTTTAAGAGCTGTCATCTACCCCCAAGTCACAGTGTCAGACCAAGGCGGGGTAACAGTACAGTATTAGTTTGGATAATATCTCTAAAAATCAAGATCAGTCATCAAAAACACACTGATCACATTATATTTCATTCACAAATCATTTTTACCTCTACCTGATGGAGCTGATCTCCAGCTGCTCCCTCACTGTTTCCAGTCTCTCTGAAGACACATGCAGGACTCGGGGTGGGATGAACTGGCAAACAGGAAATTGCAGATGACCAGGTCCAGCATGGCAGCTCAACGGGATGTCGACAGCATGGACAGAGCACAGAGCAGACCAGTAGACTGACGCCACGAGGCTGATCCGACCTCACCCCCTCCTGGGCTTTGATACAGGGACCACACATGGTGTGTGAGCACGGCAGGATCAGGGCGACTTCACACTCATGTTTGCAAGCTGGACAACATGAGAACTGTTGCAAGCAGTCTTCCTCCTCTTCTACATCCCTGATTCCTGCCTCCACATTCAGGATACCCTGCTCTCCGTGTCTGACTGACATCACAGACAATCAAGAATGTCCCTCAGATGCCATTTCTTCCTCAGTTTTGCTAAATCTAAAGCGGATTTGTTGTCCATATTTGTGCCTCATTTCTTAGAGAAACATGACATGCATTTTTCCGTATGAGGTGATAATAATGCAATGTACTACGCAGCTGTTATCAGGCCTCCATCAGCTCGAAAGTAGCATCAAATACCTGTTGAGGCATATCCTTTTGTACTCGTTTCATTCTAATGATGAAGAAATTAGTGGACAAAGGTACACTGTGCCAAAAATCACGAACATCAAAGTGTGAAAATCCCGGTAAAAGTAATGAAGAAATCCCCCCCGATGTGTCATACTCTCGGAGTCCAGACTGACTGATGTGGGTGAGAGAAGTAGATTGGTCTGAAAGCAGATAAAGGAGAGACACAGGGGTATGGCAAGGGAGAGAGGGGGAGCCCAGCCTTTTAAAAGGTACTCAATGCTTGGTGTCGCCATGGTAATGGCTCCTCCACAGATGCACAGCTGTGAGATAATGCACTGCACACAGCCGTGTGCACAAACACAAAGCTCATTACTGCCACACATGTGAGACACACTACACAGAAAAAAACAAAAACAAAAAAAAAAGCAAAAAAAACATGACATGAATTCATGAACAAACAAAACACACATTTAGATGCACACACTCTCTTCATGCTCAGTGATTTCCTCCTTGTAGAGGACCACTGATGAGGGCTCTGTCCTCAAAAAGATATTAGCCACATCTCATTAAGATTCACTCCGAGAGAGCAGTAGATGGATCACTGCGGTCCTGTTTTGTCTGCAACATGTGGGGTTGGCATGGGAAAAGCTTTGAAATACAATGACTGCAAAAAAAAGTACATCCTGGATGTGTCCTGTTAAAAACCTTGGCTTTGATATCAGATATTTCTTTCCATCATCAGCTCCCACAGCATGTATTTTTCCACTTCATGATAGGATTCCAGAGAACACCTGTTGCAATGAGGGCATTACTCAAACAGATACCAGTGAAATTATTCAGCCATGAGACACTTTCTCCCTTTCCTGAGTACTTTTTTTTTTGCTGCTAGAAAGCAAGCTGTGCTCCTAGTGTAGAGCAAATTATCAACATTTTCAACATCATCACACAGTGTCACTTCATGATACCGCTGAATCTCCTTTCCACTGAATTACAAAGCCAGATTTCACTAACCTTGTTCTTGTTTGGTGGCCCTTAAAGTCAACAGAACAGTTTGTGACAGGCAGAAACAGTTTACTGGATACGAAAATATTTCATGAAACACAACATTTAGTGAAATACAAAAAATGAAATGAAATGAAAAAAACAATTAAGTGCCAAAGATTTTTCACAAAATGCGCAAAAAAAAAAGGTAATAAAAAAAAGTATCAATCTACAAAACATTTCAAAGTTTCACAAACAGCAACAGGTATAAAGCATGATGTGTTTGACTGACCCAGCATTTACTCTGCATACCTGTAGCTTCTGGGGTTGGGGTCTTGCTTTCTGGACAAACCACCTAAAAACTCTGATTGTTTTAAATGACGTTACGGCAGAGTGTAGCACTTAAACTATAAACCTCAGTCAAGATCGTTTTCATCAGTCTGCCCTGTTGCTGACCTGCTTTGCTCAGATGTCCAGCATCTTTTCTTTCTGGATGAGAAGAACTTTTTGCTGTATCTAACCTGAACCAAAATTGTCTGACCGTGACGCCCACAGGTTGGTGGGCGTCACACATTTTCTGACCATATTTAGTTTGTAGCCGTTTCCTGCAGCATAAAATGAACTCAGATTGGACACATGTTAACGTCACCTTTTTGTTGTTCTGTTTGTCCTGCAGATCTATTCCACACCGTAAAACACAATGACCGTTTAGTCTAAATGTCTGTGTCATCGTGCTGAAAATGGATGAGTACTGTCTGGGTCTACATGGTGCCTCTCTTGTCTTATTTACATTGAGAATCCACAGTCAAACATTAACTTTGGGCTTAATCAAATATAAAGCTGGCCTGCTTTGAGAGCCCACACTGTAATGTCATCGTTTTCTATGAGCATTCATCACGTCTGTTTTTAAAGAGGACACAGCTAAACGAGAGGATACAGCTAAACCAGGCTCTCACTGTACAGAGGATCAGCGATTCAGAAAGGTGCCTGAGCTGTACACCCTGAAATCTGGGCCCTTTGAAGGACTACTGTGGATCTAAACTTCTTTTCTGGAGTCCATCTGATGAAAGTTTAAGTTTAACAGGCCACAGCTGGGGGACACCATGCACCGAGGAGCGGGTTATGGCTTATAGCAGTAAGTCCACAGATCAGATTTGCTTGCATTTACAGAAGAGGGCGAACTGGTGTTACTGAAGTTAAAGTCAACTTTTCTGTGAGTCCAGTCTTCACCATCTTGTAGGTACAGGAAGACTCATACTTGGCTTTCAGCTAAAAGTTGATCTTTTCTTTCAACACATCAGTTTCAGTTTTTCCCACTTAAGCCAATGATACATAACACAAAACTCCACTTGTTGGAGCGAAACCTGTGGGTGTGATTTTGGCAAGATAAGAGGACATTAAGAGGTAGCTGACAGGTGAGACTTGGAACATAGCAAAAAACTCAACAGAGCTGAAAAGGGGCAACAAACAATATAAAGCAGTGGGATTGTGGGCAATGCTTTATTGCAGTTCAAACCCTGTCTGCTGTTGTGTAACAAGAAGATTAATGGCAGCTTTTCAGTCATCTTCAATGTATGTTCCTCCAGGACTCCTGCTGCTGCTGCTGATAGGAGTGATTTCCTCAAATCTACCTGGACTCCAGGCTAGACCTATTGACTTCTGGTGCAACCGTGAGGCCAGGAAAAGTATGACGAAAACTGTTGAAGGGCTGAAGAAAGACATGGTAAGGAAATATGCTTTCAAACAACTCAATTCGACTTGACTCAACTTTATTTGTAAAGCACTTTAAAACAACCACAGCTGAACAAAGTGCTGTACATAAATAGAAAAAAACAACACAGACATAAAAAAACAATCAAAAAACAGTTAAAACAATGGATAAAATAAAAGCAGATATTAAAAACATAGAAACAGGGTTGAAAGCCAATGAATAAAAATGGGTTTTAAGATGAGTTTTAAAAATGGACAGTGTGGGGGCTTGTCTGATTTGGAGGGGTAGCTCGTTCCATAATTTTGGGGCCGCAACAGAAAGATTTATCCACTCTGAACAAATAACATTTCAATATATCTTGAGATGCTGATTGTTATCAACAACTCCAGTTTTAAAGAGCACCAACCCTTGACATGTAAAAGCGCTCTTCTTGAATTCTTCTTCTTGAAAGTGATTTTTTTGTCAGTGCATGTTTGTGACCTTGTTCATGTACTCAGGCTGACTGCGTGGGATCTCATGAGCTGCCCTCCCCTCTGCAGCTACCATGCCTTTGGGTACAACCAGCTGAATGGGTAAACAAAACTGTGAGTAATACCTAATCTCAACCAAATCACGTACACACCTGCTGTAGCCGTAAAGGGTGTAAGTGCACTACTTATCTACTACAACAGGAAATTGTGCAACTAGAGATGCCGCTTTGATTGGTGCTAAAGTGCTAAAACCTGTGAAAGGGAAACACATCATGTGACATTTTTCCTCGAGTTCTGAACTTTTTTATCTCAGATCGTAATCAGTACTGGTGAAACTTGTGACACCTCTACACCTTTGATACTTTTTACTCTGTACTTTTAATGCTTAGGTTTAGGTCAAATGATTACAATTAATAAGTGTTGGCTTAAAGCTGGTGTGAGGCCTTCATATTCCCTCCAACTGAAAGTTAAATACATCACTAATTGTGAATGTTTTCTGTTGGAAATGTATAAAAAGTACACCATATCTTGTCTGGTCTGAAACCTACCCTCAACGGCAGTTTCAGGGACTAAAAGTATGATATAGAAATAACGAATCTTATCCCTGATGATCTTGTTTGCTTTTGTGGGTCCTGGAAAAGCATCAGTCCCAATTTTAGTCTGTTTCACAACCGATTAAAAACTCTCCACAGTGGCTTTAATGACATATACATAACAATTCAGTTATTCTTCTTCTCCTTCAAAATGATGAAAATTTTAATCATAGTACCTTGCATTAATATTCATTATAATGGTGTGACTGGTGAAAGTGGCATGCTTTTGTCAGCATTTTGCTCAAGTAGTCCATGATGGCTGTGACTGATGACCCAGACTAGTATCATGAAATCTCTGTTTGTTTTTCAAGCTTCAGCAGAAGCATGCAGAGGTGCACAGCGCCCTCCATGTGTTTCAAGACGGAGTCCATGGGGCAAGGAGTCAGTCCACGCTACAATGTCAGACCTCGCTACTAGAGAGACTCGAACGTCATATTACCAATTATGTGGGTCTTGTTGACAGTCTCCCAATGCAGGTGATTCCCATGAACATGAATCCATCAAAATATGATAAAGATAAATAACATGATGAGGATTTCTATTTTACCAATAGAAATGATTATGTGACAATGTGACATTTAACTCATAGACATAAAATTGATAATACTTCTTCTGTCTCACACTTTATATTTGCTGCTACAATAGTCAGTTTCAGTGTCAAACAAGTAAAGTAACTTAGGGAAGTACCGTCAGTGTTAGTTCTCTGACAACAGCTGACTCATATGAGGAGCTTGAAGTTGACATCATACTTGTTGATCAGTCTGTTTTAGTCTGCTTTAAGATTACAGAGCTGGCAACGTACAAAGGTACAGTGTCCCTGTTTTTTAAATATCAAACTCATTATCCTTTTTTGACCTTTGCAGACTGAAATGGGGTCTCATTTAGTACAGAACTTTACCAACGAAACCACACTGGACGCAGTGCTAGACAAGTATAGGACTTTACTCAAGGGAAAACTGGAGCGTTTTGCTCGGGATCTAAAAGACAACATTTGCAACGAGCATGACACAGTAATCACCTGAGAGCTGATCTGAGACAGACAAGATACCACAGGAGGGACAGCTCAAACTGGACTAAAACACTGGGATTACACTGGTGGCAGAGGAGGCTACATAGATGGATCATCAGTCTAAGCTCATGGCCACAGTTCAGCTCCTTAACAAAGACCACTACATGTGACAGCGGGAGCTGAGATCAAGCCTGTGACTTCTTCATTGAAAAACAACCAACTGTACCACAGAGCCATCACAACCCCAGCTACTGGATCCATAAAGCCTGATAAACTCTTGCTGCAGATAATACATGTCTGCAAAGAAAGAAAGTGAAATCCATCCAGTTGTATTGAGGTATTTCCAAGACCAAAAAGGGGTCAGACTGTAGACTAACAGTTTAACACAGACTGCCATTGAAACACGCTGCTTATGTGGCTTGAAGTAACACTCTGCTGGAGTTTTCAGAAGTTGGATGAAAACTTTGTATTATCACAATGCACCTGGAGATTCAAAAGTCAAGTACAACAATGTAGAAAAAGGCAACAGTCACAAAAATGTCTTTTGGCTAACAGAGGTTCAGGGTCTTGAAGTGGAAATGATCAAACTGTACTAGGGTTTTTCCTTGTGTCACCTCTCTATGGCAGACCTCTTTCAGAACAAATCCCCTTCACTCCTTAATTTATCTGTACACACAGTTTTATTGCTCATATGAGCAAAAATAGACATTGCACTTTGCTGATAATGTTTCTCATTATGTGTTAGACAGCAGTGGTTGTAGCGCCCTCTGGGGGGGCTTGATGAAATGTATTTTATGTTGGGCTCTGCAGCAATGTGCCCAAATAGGAAGCAAAAAAGCATAAGAAAGGTTAACTGTGACTAACTGTGAATGAGACTTAGTAAAATAATTCAAACAGTGATAGCAGTAAAGCTTATAATTCTGTAAAAAAAAAAAAAAGAAAAAAAAAAAAGGACAGAACCACAAAAGTCAAGTTTTTCCTGTTCCCAGTTTGTGTTATTTAAGTCCACTTTGAAGTGCTATGTTGTACAGGCCAGAGTAAAACAGGGGGGGTGTCATGTTTTTGTTTAGAGTGGTATCATGAGAGTTCTCTCAAAGCATCAGTGTTGACAAAGAATAGTTGTGTTCTGTACATGTACATACCGAAAACATTGGTCTACAGTGCCTGTATAAACTTCTTAGATAAATGTCAATGTGCTTTTGTAAATGTATGAATCTATTCATGTAAATGTTATATGTGTATTAAAACTGCATTTATTTTTCAATGAGAAGTAATTCTTACTCAGCTGTCACGGTATTCAGAAAAGAGATCCAGACTTTCACAGTCAGACTCAGTTATGTGTTTTGATGTGTTATTTATTCACTTGAAAGGACTTTAAACTGTTTGAACATTGCACTGTTGCACTAATATTTGGATCCCATTGATCAGTAGTACTATAAAGTGAGTGTTGACTTCCAAAATAAAAGTCTCAGTGGTGAGCAAGTGCTGCATGCAAATCTGTGAAAAAAAAAGGGGAGGTGGGTTATGTTTGGTGGGGTTGAGTTTCTTTTATTTTCACGGTGCTTTGTATTTTCATACTCATTACCACTGGGGTACAATGAACAGTCCAATATTTGCTTTACTGAATTAACCCAAAGCATGTAAAAATAACTCATTCATTTATTTATTTTTATTTCCCGAATTAATGCTCAAAACAAAACAACTTGGATTAAGGTGGTTTCCATTACCAGGTGTCCAGGGAGTGCAGTGCTCTGGTTGGGCCAACCAAGTAGATCATGTGACCAAAAGCAACAGGCTGGAAATTGAGTGGCTGAAAAACACAGGAAAACATTAGTTTAGAAAGCATGGTCAAGCAAGACACAGAGAGACAAGACAAACCAGGAAGTTATGCAATTAAAAGCATTTTGGTCCTGGCTCTTGGTGCTGAATCCAAGACAGGCGACTGTGTGATAGTATTTGTTTTGCTTGCCATACTTTTGAGCAAGAGTAAATATATAGGATATAATACAGGGCTACTTACCAAATAAACCAATGAGCCTTTTTCCACAATAAATAGCCTATTGATTTGTAAATGGACAGCTAAAGTTACAATTTTGGAAATGATTTTGAGCCCATGCAGTGATTTCAACTACACTGCGAGGCTATTTTTAACAGAGTGCTATCCAGTCTTGGTTTTTCATATGGCCCCTTAGGTACAATGATTTCTCCATATTTTCTAAATATTTAGGGATTTCTAAATACAAGAAAGCTAGCTGTCTTTTCTCACACTAAATTAAAGACGTTTTTACTCAGCGGGTTTAGGCACCATCAGTCACATTAAACCAAATATTACTCAGAATGGACTTTCTTAACTGTTCAGGCTCATAAAGCAGAACTTTTCTAAGAATGAGCTGTTAGACAGAATATTTCTTCTAATAAGCTCATTAAGCTTTAAGACAATTCTTCTAACTGCACTGTTTTAACCAAGACCAGCCAATTTAGCTGTTATTGGTCACAATAAACTGAACATTTTAATGGGGTTTTGAGTAATAGGAAATTTATAGCATTTATTACAGGGATTATAGCTCACATTAAACTGACCAACTAAACTAGGCTACTTATGTGAGGCCGAACAACACCAAATAATTCCCACACTGAGCTGGCTTAGCACAATTCTGAAAACAGGTTGAAATGAGTTAGGTGTTAAATTGTACATCCCGTAAAATGACCTAAATAAGTGGCAATTTAACATAAAATTACTTTGAAATGAGCTAACTAAGCTGTCAGTACTGGCATTAAACTGGACACTCATTGTGAAGAAGGCCACCACGTCTCCCTCTCGATTCATGTTCTTGCCTCTCTTCTTGGTATGATGTCTTTATTGAAGATGTCTCAACTGCATGAACTGAAGTCTTTGTATCTTTTGACTTCTTTAGCTTTTTTGTCTCTTTTCTTGTTTTTTTTTTTCTCACTCGAAACAAACAAACTTCAAATATGCTGGGTTAAGTGCAGAGGTCTCAAAGGTGTGTCGCAAAACAAAACAGAGTAATAAACACCACCTGTAATGAGTGTTAACCAATCATGGGAGTGAAACACGTTTTTTCAGCACTCAATCCTGGTTTGTCTTATTTCCTCTCTCGGTCGATTTTTCCCATATTTCGTGCTTGTGGCGCTTATGCTTTTATACTGAAAGTCAAAACCGGAAATGATATGCCTAGTTGAGGCGCGTATAACGTCTGTGCGTCACATGACATTCTGTTAGTTAAATCTGAGAAGAAAATGAGCAGCTCCGCTGTGGCAGCGGGCACTAGGTGTGGGATTTTAACTGAAAAAATAAGACTGTTTGGGAACACTTTAAACTTTTACTCACAGTGTTTGCACGCTAGTTTATGTATGAGTTCTTTTACCCCAGCTGTAAGCACTTATTCCGTACTTTGCTAACTATGTAGCTGTTGTGATTTTAACGATCAACGGTATTGATGATTTATGAGAAAACCGTTAGACAACGCAAACTAACGTATGAAGTAAGTTATTCCGAGAGCAACGCTGGGGTGACAGAGAACTTTATGAAGTTGTGAAGCACTATGGCAGAGAAAACCCCTCTCCTCCACTACCGCCTCTCTACCAGCGTCAATGAGTCCGACCGTCGGGCACCAATGCCCGGGCAGGCACCGGAGCAGCACACGGGGACCCCCAGGCTGAAGTCCAACCAACAGCGTCAACCAAAGAAACTCTCCATCTTCTTCGGTGTGGTGATCCCCACCCTACTGTCAATGTTCAGCGTGGTTGTCTTCCTCAGAATAGGTGAGTGCTGATGAGGACATGCCGTTCATGCGACAACATGCAAACCAAACCCCATTCAAAATTCTGATAATTGACAATTGGCTTGCTTGTCACAAAAATATTCATGTACTATAACACAACGAAACCTTGTGTATATTCCACTGAAAAGCTCGGCATGCTAGACTGTCCACAAGGCTGACTATCAACTTTCAGTATCCAAGATTATTCTCTGAGGAAAAAAGAAGACATGGCCAAAAAATAGACTTTATTGAGATATTTAGCTCTACCACATTTAATGCTGTGTTAATAGGACACATCTATTAAACACTTATATCTATTTCTATATGTTCGTCTCAATGTAGTGGGTAAAAAACACAAGAAGCAAAGGAATGACAGAGGGATTGTTATGCTGTAAGAAGTCACTTGTGGTTTTACACACATGCAGTTCAGGGTCTCTTTAGCTTGATTGTGAAGCCCTCACTTTTAATGAATGGAGTGTTAAACAATAATTAAATACACATACTATGACCCTTACAAGCTTAGGACTTGTATTCAGTTCTGAAAGTACAAGCCAGGCTTTGCTCTTCTATGGTATTAATACTCAGCATTAAAAAGAAATTAAAGACCATCAACACTCCTCCACAGTTACAAACCAGCAGCCCGACTGGTTTCATGTCATGTATTATATGATAATGACAGGCAGCATCAGTGTTTCTCAGTGCAAATGTAATCTTTTTAAAATCTTTTTTAAATTTCATGGCTTAAAGTTTCAGTTACCAGTGGAAAGTGTTTGTAAAACAAGTCATCTTAAAATGTCACGCTAACCACAGTTTCACATTTCAGCTGTACAAGCATAAAATAGAGGCTTTACACAAATAATTCCCATGAAACCAACAGCTGTGCTCTCATATCTATGGTTGCCCAGAGGGTCATCTGAAACAAACATTTCATCACCTTGACAAACATTCTACTAAGCTCTGTGAAAATTATAATAATTCATAAACACAAAGGTCAAATCAAATTGGTCAAAAAAATCATACATATTTCCAAAAGAAAAATACTGTATGAAACAAATAAAAATATTAAACATTAAAAAAGAAGTTGCATAGACACAGGTGTATTGGATAAGAAATTAAAAAGAAAGGTTAAGTTTATGAAACCCCAACATATTTCACAACCACAAATGTTTCACAACAACATTCGCCTTATTACAGAGAATATTGCACTAGCACAAGTTTATCTTTCACAATCACAAATAGTGTATCACAAAACAGCAAAATAAAAACTTTCCAAAAAGGGGTAAAATCCACAAAATGCCAAAAACAACCTTACAAAACAAAACAAAAAATGCTTCATGAACTCAGAAAATATTTTTTAAAACGCAAAAATATACTTACAGTTCATGAAATTTTGTGTGAGGATTTTTTATTGATTTAATAGAATGCAAAACATTTTTGCATTTCATGAAACATGTTTGCATGTTGTGAAATAGCGGATATTGAGGTAGTTGTGTTTATGAAACGTATGCCTTTCATAAAGTCGTTTTGAGTTTTTGTAGGATCCATTTTGGTCATTTAAAATATTTTTAGAATACTTGTGTTTGTTAAGAAAAATGTTGTAATGGTGTCATGATTGTTTTCTATTATTTGGTTTAATGAAATGTTCATGTAGTTGACTTTCAGGGCCATCACACATCTCTTCCAAAGTAATTTAGGTGTCATTTTTCTATTTCTAAAACACTTTATTTTACCCCCTCCACTGATGCCTTATAATTTGACATAAAATGACACACACTCTCACACACATGAAGACTTGAATTGATGATCACAGTAGCTGCCTGTGCCAGGCTTTAAAGGACTGTTTTCATTCTGTACTATGCCAGTCTGCAGAGGAAGTAACACTGGTTTCATTGTGGATGTGAAACTGCTGTAAAAGAGCTTCAACATAGGAAGCGAAAAGAATCATATCTGTTGTTTGATAACATATCTATAACATATTCTATCATAGCCAAACATATACCAGCATTTTTCTGATATGTCACATAAAAGCTTCCGATTTTTCGCATACTTTCAAAAAGCATTTCTGAACTCTTTCTTGGTAAACGAATTACGTGCTGTGTTCTTCCTCTGGGCTTATTTTGAGAAAATGTAGTTCATGTGACAGCAGCATCAGTAAAGCAGATAAAAGCAGAGTTATATGCTGTTAATCTCAGACACTGATAGCATGAACAGCAGGATGTCACAGTCGTGCACGGTTCTGATTATGTGGAAAATTTGCGCCCAACAAAGCATGAAGTGATGCATGTGTACACTGATGCTTTTTGCTATACTTTGAGTAAATGCACATGACTTTGCACAGAAACGTTCGGATTTTCAGTTTGCCAATGATCTATTGCAAGTAACAGAACGAGTTTTGTTGCCTGACCTGTTTGCACAAGTCAGGGATGGAAAATCAAGAGTATTTTTTTAGTCTTCTTGCAAGACTCAAAACAATCAGATCCTCTCACCCTGGCTCGCAGTTCTTGAATGGACCACTTTGTACAAAGCCACTTGGAAATGGTCTTTGGTCCAGAGAGTTTAATCCAGAATTTGAGTAATAAAAATCTTGGGGATTATGGTTTAGTGTGAATTTTATAGCAAGAGGCTGAAAGTAACTTTTCCAAAGTCCAAGTGTGATCTGTTTAGATTGAAGTAATCCTTAGAGCTGTTAAACAGGGAGTTCAGCCATGCCAACCCAAAACACCCTTAAATCACTCAACCAGCCGATATCAGTCCTCCAGAGCAGGCTGGGAACCAGACTAATCTACGAGCCTGTTTTGCATTTGCTGCTGTAGATCCGTCTGACCCTGCTCCCATTTATATAGAATTCAGTTCGGCCTGGTATGAGTCAGGTCAATCACAATTATTTAACAGATATGATTTAATGCTTAATGCTTAATGGTAGAGGAGTGCAGTTGAAACATTTGTGTTGCCTCTGATTTGAAGGGTTTTGGATACTCTGTTGAGTTGGTAATACACATAGATGACACAATGTGCCACTGAAGTCTGTTGGGTCAATTAAGTGGACTTTTACTCGCCTCTTTTTACGCCTTCAACATTTAAAACTACAGTCTGTAGTTTCTTTCTTTCTTTCTTTCTTTCTTTCTTTCTTTCTTTCTTTCTTTCTTTCTTTCTTTCTTTCTTTCTTTCTTTCTTTCTTTCTTTCTTTTATTTATCTTAAACTTTAAGGACAACAACAAAAACAAAAAACTAAATACGATTAAAAGCAAACAAAAAAAAAACATTGAGCAAAATATATGTATGTACACCAAACAACTGTACATGTCAAAGATAGATGTACACTAACACATTTATGTCAAAAACAAACAGTTTGAGAGGGAACAGAATGAAGCAAAGAGCTTATTTAGTCCTGCCCTTTCCTTGCAGATCAAAGCCAATAATGAATGGAAAAAAGAAAATCTAATTGTACAAGTAATAATATTTAGTATTTAGCAGCATTTAACAGAACAGACTAAGTAATGTACCGTGACGTCAGTTTTCACAAACCAAACTCTCACATCTGTATCAAACATTCCCTGCTTCTTCTTTTAGTTTCTTTGAAGGTTACTGTAAATACACAGAGAGGAAACTGTGATCACTGTCAACAGAAGAACCCACTTTCACTTTCTGGCACAAGGCACATTAGGACCAGTCTTTTGGTGTGACTGCTGACCTTCACTTTCAGTATGATTTGTCTGAAGATCCCGGGAAAGATCTCATCAAAAACTCCCTTGTACATGGGACTGTTTCCCACAATCAACGATAGTTCCAGAGTAAAATGACTTGACTCTTGTGGCAGACTCTGTGTTCAAAGCCTCTGTGCTCTGTATCTGTGGGCGCTTTTCAGTAAAGTTTCACTTCTCCTTTCAACTGCCTCATTTTCGAGTCTGTAGTTCTGCTGTTTGACCGTCAGACCTGGTGTTTTGTCTAACTTTGTGTTTTGTCTGACTAGGATTTGCGGTGGGCCAGTCTGGACTCTACCAAGCGATTGCCATGTACCTGGTGGCTTATTTTATCATCTCTATGACTGTACTATCTGTCTGTGCCATCTCCACCAACGGGGCCCTGGATGCTGGGGGAGCATACTGTATCCTCTTTAAATCACATGGCGTCAACATGAGGTTATCACAAGCATGCATTTGTCACTGTGGAAACGGACAAACTGCCCTCTAGCAGCATGTCTGCTCAAGAATGTGTACCATTAATTTTGAGACTGAATAGTTTGATCATTAACTGAAATATTAGACTCTGTCCACATGTTTGTTCATGGGACAGTTTGTTTCTCTGCTGCTAGAACTCGGGTCAGTGATTCCAGTGAGTCACCACAGATCACCTGCATCACTTTCATCAGTTAAAACTCATACTTTAACAAGCGCCGTTCATAAACATAGATAATCACTGAGATGTTTTCATCAGACCAAGATTAGTTTAGCAATGTATTGTTACCTGAACATTTCCATGAGCCTGTAGCCAAGAAACAATGAAAGTGATTTATTCACATCAACAAACCCTATCATACTACTTCTTAGGATTGAGTTATTTTACTTTGTTCAAACTGTAAATAGGCGGATTAGCTGTTTCCTAATGTCCCGTTTCTGTGCTGAACCAAGACAAGTCTGCGTTTTCACTACAGGACTTTTCCCTGAGGACTTTTAGTAGGTTACTAGATTACTAGATCCTAATCCAATTGGGTCTGTAGACCTCAGCAGAAAAGGGGACAACAGTGGGCTGGAAAGAAACTTTTCAATCCCTTGAAAAATAGTAAAATTCTTGAGTACTTTGGGTGGAAACGTGGTTTAATTGTGCAGCCAGACCACTACTTTGCTGCAGAAGTTGGCATTGACAATAAACTGATGATAGTCTGATGGAGTTTTCTAGTCTGACTCTGATTTAAAGGGCAAGAAAGTGCATCTAGTTGCTCTCTAAAACTTTTCTTTTTGGGCACACAAATTTATTCTCAGGAACTAGGCACTGTAGATGTTTCTCTGTAAACCACAGAGACCATATACTTTATTTCCCTCCCTGGAAAGTCCCTGCAGGTGGAGTTTTACTAACTGAAAAAACAGGAAGCTTGGTGAAACTTAAACCTTTCCTGATAGTCCAGTTACAATTTTCATAATCCTCACAGATGTCTAGTCTTCATCAGAAACAAACACACGCAAAAATATTAGCGCCCTGTAAGATCCAAGGTCCTTTTTTTTCTCTTATTGACTCCTCTCTTTTCTATAATGGAACCTCTTTAGAAAAGTGACAACCACCACCCCTTTATCAGGTTCATACACCCTGACAAACACACTACATGAAGTCAGTAATGACAGAAATACAAAACACACCATTTTGTTTGCTACACACCTTTCCTTAACTTCACCAAGATATGATAAGCCGAGCGCTGGGCCCGGAGTTTGGCGGCAGTATTGGGATCATGTTCTTCTTTGCTAATGTGTGTGGCTGCGCTCTGTATGTGCTGGGTCTGGTTGAAGCCATCGTGGCCACGTTTGGAGTGCCAGAAGGTGAGTACAGTTTGAAAACATTAGATAGCGATAGTATAACGACATACTACATTTAAACATATTCTGTCAATCTTACTTTTCACTGTTTATTTAAAAAGTTTCCCTTTTCTTTTACCATCACCTCCTTTGTTGACACCTGCACTTGGACCTCCATTAGATGGGACTTTGCCCACTTCTCCCTATCAGGTCCTGCCATCTGGCTACTGGTGGTCTCTGCTCTACGGCACAGCTGTCGCCCTGCTGTGCCTGCTGGTGTGCCTGGTGGGGGCCCACATCTACGCCAAGGCCACCTTCCTGATCTTCCTGGTTGTCATGTTTGTCCTGGTCACCATCTTTGTCAGCTTCTTTGCTGTAGGACCTCGAACTGTCACCCTTCCTGGCTCCGCCGCCTTCAATGGAACTGACTTTCCCACTACAGCCAACTTCACAGGCTTCAAGCTGGACACTCTGCTCGGGAACCTAAACGGTAAGAGGGGTGAGGTTGGTGTTGGTGTCACATCCAGATGCCATAAGCTGCTATTTGTTCATGTATTAGTAAACCACTATAGCACCATCAGAATAACAAAGCAGCAGGTCTTTTCCATGTGATGCAGCTTTCAGGTGGTCTGTGTTTCGCCACTTGATCTGTTTTAGAAATTTTCAGAAAGCAGTTCATGAGATGTTGAAATCAGGCCAGCAGCAGACTCGTAGACTGGATTAATTGCATGTGTGCATGTAGGTCAGCAGCAGGATTATTTGGTAATGATATGTTCTGTAAATTGAATTAATTTCCAATCTTTGGTTTTGACTTAGTTTGGCCCCCAGTTAAGCTGACACACGGCTCCAGGCGCTGTGTTGTAAAGTTTTAAGTGGGATTGGAAATGCAGTGAGCTAAGTCTGTTGATTCATGGTTTTGTAATAGAGTACGGACGCAAGAGTTGACAGATTTCACCGTTTTAGGTTCATAGTTTTTATACTTAATTGTTGCTTAATGAAAAATCTGCGAGTGTAGTACATCTAATCTACTGTGAACAATCATATTTCAGTAAATCACATACATTGTCAAATTTTTTTGGGTTATTGAACTAAACATTCGCTCTTTGTGCTCAGTAGGGGTGGGAATCACCAGTGACGCCACGATACAATATTTTCAGGATACTTCAGACATGATACAATATTATTGCGATTTTTAATATTTTGCAACATATATATATTTGTTGTACTAACTTTCTCCTGCTCTATGATGTCACCTCTACCAACTTCACTGGACAAACAGTTGATTTTATTTTTCCATTATCATAGATTTGACTTCATATTAACAATTAATTTGAAAAATTGATACTTGGTCAATGAGATGATATGATATATCACCAGATAAAATATCGCAATACTATGCTGTATCGATTTTTTCTCCCACCCCCTAGTGCTAAGCTGCTACATGGAAGTGTTGGCTCATATTTATTCTTCAGAATTGCTCACGCAAGCAATCGCAAAACATTATGGCAAAAAGAAAGCATACCTTGCAAATTACATCGTGTATGGGTGAAGAACCGGGGCTCTTCTTCTGAGAGGAGTGCTTTACCTCTTTGGGTGCTCTCTTCTAGGTGTTGTATCCTCTCTGGATTTTGATGTCCCTGGTAATCTTACCAGTCACTGCTCTCTGTTTGTCAGGAATTTTTTCCCAAGCACATGATCCCTGAGTTAGCTGGTCTAACTGGGGCATGTATGCAGTCACATGTGACAGCTATTATACTGTCAAGCTTTCACAAATCGCAAGATCAGACTGAATGGGACACAACCACTCAGAGACGAGTAATATGATCATTTTATATTTTAATTTTTCTTCACTTACTGCTGCTTTATATTTCAGTCCGGTGCACAGGGTACATGTTAGTCAGGCTCTGTGATTATAGTTTCTAAACGCACCAAACTAGACGTTCAAGGGAGAAAAACAACTTTTCTTCTTCTCTGGTTGTTTTTGTTGTTTGCAAATTGAAACTATTTCGGTCGTTTGTGTTTGTAGAAACTCTGCTGTGTCACAATATTTTTTTATTATCAGACACAAAAAGAACACAAAGTTATCTAGTCAAGGTCAAAGTGTTTGGAAGCACCAATCATAAGTCTCATTGTAGCAAAGGTGGATCTTTCAAGTGAAAGAAAAAACACAGGAAAGTAATCTTGATCTGTTATAAGCCTTGTTTATTTAGATAAGGAATCTCAGCGAGGAGACACAGGAAGGTTTGTTTGGAAATCCCAGAACACCACTTAACTTCTGGAACATAATCCCGGCTGTCAGGAGCACCCTCCCTCCGTCACTGGAGGTGCAGATGGAGCTTAAGCTGTGTACCAACACTTGAATGGACAGAATCCCATTTTCCTCCCCAAAGTCGCCTGATTAAGTACACACAGTACAAACTGATTGTTTTATTAGCCGGACTTTGAACTTGACTTTTAAAATACACTTTTAGAGGTGTTCCTCTGTTGCTGCTCTAACCAGTCAGATTGTTTATGCTGTTACACCCGGGTGTGAAATTGTTGAACACACGATTCCAAAAGCTCAAAGGGATACTCCGGCAAAAATTTAATTGTAGTCAAGACACCCTCTCTCTCTCTCTCGAGATGAATGTTGCCAACCGCTTGCCTCTCTAGTTATACCAACTTTAGTAAAAACTGCATGATAGCAATACACAGCAGTCTATGTCTCAACGCGCAAACCTCAACCAAAAAGCCACTCTATAGCCACAAATAATGCTCAGAACAGCACCTAACTTCATCAACAGTACATTTAGGGTCCCAGCCATAGTACTAGCCACCAAACATCTTTTTAGCTTTGCCTGATTTCTTTAGCAAAGAGACTAAACACAACTCACCTACTCTCTTCCAGCAGCTGCTTGTTTGTGGGGGAGCCCTGACGAGTCAATCACCAAGTACAGCGGAGTTCTGCAGCTCAAGGAAGAAAATTTATGATCATTGCTTTGTAGAAATGCAGTCAGACCGAGATGTCAAGGCAGACTAACTACCATGTCTGCAGTGCAAAATTGTTATGATGATGATAATAACTTAAAGGAAATGATGAAGTAATGATCATAAATGTTCTTTCTTGAGCTAGGTAACCCTGTCGTACTTGGTAATGGAGCTCTACCTACAAACAAGTGGCTGCTGGAAGAGAGTGGATGAGTTGTGTTTAGTCTCTTTGCTAAAGAAATCAGGCAAAGCTAAAAAGATGTTTGGTGGCTAGTACTATGGCTGGGACCCTATATGTACTGTTGAAGTTAGGTGCTGTTCTGAGCATTATTTGTGGCTATAGAGTGGCATTTTGGTTGCGGTTTGCATGTGGAGATGTAGACCGCTGTGTATTGCTATCATGCGATCATTACTTAAGTTGGTGTAAGTAGAGAAGCAAGCAGTCGTCAACATTCATCTCTCGAGGGGGGGTCTAATTCAGTGTTATGGTGTGTTTGACTCTAACTTGATTTTACGCTGGAATACCCCTTTAAGAAAGGTCAAGACAGCAGTGGACAACCAGCTGTTAATGTCAGTGGAGTCAGGTGGATTTGACACAATCAGTGGTTTACTCATTGGAGCTGCTGTGTAGAACTTTTGAGTGTGTTGGTTTTGGCGCCCTCTATAGGCATATCTGCACCTCTTACCTGGTTTTTGATCTTGTCCTGTCTTGCTGTTTTTTTTTTACCTGTGCCACTTTGTGCCAAGGTTTGTTCTGATGACACATTCACTAACAAAACATGTCAAATAAGGAACAAAATCACAGAAATGATCCTTTAGATAACTTAGATAAGATTAGTGTTTATGTAGCTTCTGCTCTGTAGACAGAAGTCGGGGTGTAAAAAGAGTTTTTTTGTTTAAAAAAAGCTGTCAAGCATGTTGAAGTTTGCAGGCGAGCAGGTACAGGTGAAGATTGTCTGCCAACAAACTTAAATGAACTTTTCTGTTTGAGGAGCAATGATGCTGAAAATACACACAACAACAGTGACTTATCTGCTGTAATCTCTTCCTACAGCCGACTACACAGTGGATTACACAACAGGAAATATGATGACCTTTGCCACTGTCTTTGCTGTAATGTTTAATGGCTGCACCGGAATCATGGCTGGATCCAACATGTCAGGTGGGTGAAGGCATTTATCAGTGTGTGTGTGTGTGTGTGTGTGTGTATGTGTGTGTGTGTGCGTGTGTTTGTGTGTATGTGTGTGTGTGTGGGAGAGAGAGAGAGAGAGAGATTGAAAACTTTTTTTTGGACACACAGTAAATCTATCTTTCTACTAGGTGAACTGAAGAATCCCAGCTACTCCATTCCCCGTGGCACCATTACAGCCGTCATCTTCACCTTCATCACCTATAACCTGCTCAGCGTACTGGTTGCCTGCTCCTGTGACCGGTCAGTCTCACACAAACACAGATGCTCCTGCAAAAGTGCATTTCACCTCATATTCAAGTGTGAAACAACCCCAAACCTGCAAAGTTGGCAAGCTATGTAAAATCTTGATCAGGCGTCATATGTTGTTCTAAAACCTGTAAATATTGTTCAGCATTATTTGAGCCTTAACTAGGATGTTAGCCTGTTCAGTTTTACCCTGCATTTGTGGCGAACTGTGCTCACTGATGATTTTTAGCCCATGCATTGACTTCCACTGCAGAGTCATTTTTGTCAGAGTGTGTTTTTAATGCAGTGCTACCTGAGGGCTCACAGGTTGTAGTCACCCAGTAGTAGGGTACTATCCCTGCAGTACTATCGCTGCAGGATTTTGGCCAAAATTAAAATCCCAATTTTTTTCTCTAAAAACTTGATTTTCGATTTTGTTTTTCTTTATTCAGTGACAACTTCACCAAACTTCCCTTTAATAATAAGTTTTTCTATCATCTTTCAAAATTAAACCACTGAAAACGATGCAGTGCATATGCCAAGCCAGTAAGTGGTGCTGTAATGCTGTCAAGGAAATGCACAAAAGACAGAAGAAGAGTACAGAGCATGTGTATAAAGGTTGTTTCGACCGGACACGCACAGGTGCCGTGAAAGTGGTGTGTCACGTGATTGTTTTGAGAGGTGCAGATAGGCATCCACACGGAGACTAAATGGCAGTCATTTATGGATTAATGCACTCTCTGACTCATTTTCAAAAGTATCTTTTAAAAACACCTGAAACACCATTTCTGTGTGGATGAAAAAAAAAAAAAAAAATTCATTTACTCCTGAATTCATTTTCGTGTGGACGCGTTAATACCACCTTCAGACAGACTTTGCAGCAGGGAGTGGTTTGTTCTTCATCAAAAACTGTGAAGCCGTACCAATTCCACACGACTGGCTTGCTCTCGCCATATTTAGCCACAAAATTATCACCTTATTTTGCAAAGGCCACGTTTGTTTGCACTGGTGTGAACAGGACCTGGGGAGCACTCCTGCAGGAACGGGGAGCCTACGGTGGCCTGGAGGTGCGAGACATGATAGAGAGGAAAATGGATTTGACGATTTCAATTTTTTTAACATCGTCAGAATCAAACACTCTGATTACCATTTAAAATTGATTAATCGTGCAGCCCTACCCTGTACTTCTGGGAACACTCAGGAACGTTATTTGAACTATCTACTCTCACAGAGTGAAGAATTTCTTTTCATCTCTACTTCTGCTGACTTAGTCTCTATATATTTTTCATAAACAATGTTTTCCAGCTCCAACATTGACTTGTCTTTGCAACATTTAAATAAATATAGTCTAAAAATGATTTTCAAAGCGTCACAAAATCATCAACATTACACACAGCATCCCAACTCATGTGAAATTAGATTTCTACTTGCAAACAAAAAGCAAGTGGAGGATGCACCATTGACCATCAATCTACACTGATCCAAACAAGGTAATTAAACCTTAGTGTTGATAAGAGAGTGCAGTGCTGCAGTATTAGATACAGGAGATGAAATCCAATTCTTAGTGACTATCAGATAATGCAGACAGGGTTCATTTTCTGCTTCACCAATCCTGACTGAGGCGTCACTGAAGGCCAGTTTTAAAATCACCTCTCCTGGTTGTGAATGAAATCCAACACCAGCTGTCAGATAATCCATATAGACATACAAATCTGTGAAAAGTGACTAGTATAACTTAATAATTAGAATTATAAGAGTCTGTATCTTGAGCAGGATAACTTTGTAATATGTTATATAGACAGATAGTTAATTCCCCATTTACAGATCCAGCTACTAGAAATGAGATTAAAGGCTGATTAAAAAGGACCTACTCCACTTCTCAGACCGGCTTAGATTGTAAGACTTTGTTACACTCATTGAGTTTAAGCTTGCATTTTACACGAGTAGAGAGAGAGAGTCAAACTGAGAAAAACTACACGCAAATGGCGCTGTCTTTGCTAAATCTTCTTGTTGCTCAGTCGGTAAAAAGTGTCCATTTTACAAAATTTCCAAAGGTGCATTAAAATAGATGTTAAACAGACACTACTCCCCTGAGCCTGTAAGAAATGTGTAGAGGGTACCACCATTGTTCTGCTAAGTGAATGAGGCCACAGCCACAGAGTTGAAACAGTGGGAGTAACGCAGAATTTTTAAAGGGAGTTTTGAATCAGTCACTGAACTCTAACTGTTCATATAAGACCAGGAAGAGCATAAAGGTATAAAAATGTTTGATTCAGTGCAGTTTCTTGATTCCAGGTCTTGGTTCGGTACATTCTTGTGCAGTTAGGGGGACAGTATGTATGTCAAATGATGAAACACCACCATTTTTATATCTCTGTCTTGTTTGTTGGGAAATTTTGGACTTTTTACATAATTTATTCATCTGTCAGGGTTTTGTTTCCTAAAAACGCATCCGTGTTCAACCTTGGTTGTGAAGAAACTGGGGCATAACCAGAATACTTAGGCTAGTTTCAGTTTGACTGAGGCGTGCTAACATGTTTACCTGATAGTTAATGGTCCAATTTCTGTAACAGAAAACTTCAAAATAAAGTATTAAATAAGAAAACAAAAACAAATCCAGTTTCAGTTGGACTACTGTAATGGTCAGACTGCATGTAAATGCACTGACTGTTTTAGACAAGACAGGTATCAGGTGCTGTGTGTATGTTGTGCTGCTGTTTTCCAGTCCATTAAGGGACAGTGGATTTGAATTACATCTACACTGAATATAAAGTGCATTACTGAAACAGTTTGGTTCAAATACATGTCCCTTCACTTCCCTGAAGACCTCATACAGGAACAAATGCCTTATTTAGAAAGTTCAATGTACTTGAATCCCCGTTAACCACAGGGGTCATATTCAAGCTCGCTCTCATTCTCATCAAGGGTCAATATTTGCTCCTAAATTCTTTGCGGGAAATGGGAGCTTTCTTGGCTAATTTCCCAGAGAATGATTAAGCTATTAAAAATCAGATTAAAGTTATGAAGCCAATATGAAAGGGATCAGATTATGGCGCAATCTGAGTTTAGTCTGGCATACATGACTGCCCTTTGAGCTGGGGATTAGAGATGGCAAATGAAAAAAAAACAAACTGTGTGGGAATGAAATTTCTTTTTCACAAAATAAGACAGAAGTAACTGACCCATTTGGTAAATATTTGGCATGTTTGCACAGAGTAGCTAGTTTTGGGAAACCGAGTAACAGATGTCACAATAGCAAAAGGGTAAGTGCTCAAGCTTCATGTGGACAGCTGATACGCTGAACTTTTTTTTTTTTTGTTATGCTGGTTGTTCTTGTGGTTTAGAGAAACTAGATCAAACAAAAGTAGCTGTTCAACCTGAACCTGTCATCCTCAGAACAGAAAATGAAGTAAGAGAGCTGAACCACAGTTTGAAAACAGACTAGATGATCCTGTGTTAAGATGTGTGGAAGAAATTACGCTAATTTCTAAGTGTTTTTAGTGTATTTCCTCAGTTTAAAACCAGTTTGTCCATCACAAGTCATAAAGGGATACCTGAGGTAGGTTTTCTATACTACACTAGGGTGAAAAGATCTCATATGAGGGCATGTAAACAGTCCGATGAGTCAACAACCTGAAAAATATTAGAAACAGTGCTGCTGTCTGGAGAAGTGGATCTCACAGATTCATTCTGGAGTTTGTTGCTGCCCTTACTCACAGAAAACACTCAGCTATGCTCTAAACAGCATTAAGCACAACAATGTCAACAAGAGCAATGGCCCAAAAATTGACCTTTAGAAACTTTTAAAAGTACTTCTGTTCCGTCTTTAATTAAGCACTAACATGCAGCTAACTAGCTATTAAAGATCACTGAGTCTGTGTCTTCACTGCACGTGGCTCTAGAGGTTTGAAGATCTTAACCTTGATGTGTAGTTGTCTTTAATTTATTTATTTCATCTCCCTCCACCTTTCTTTCTCTCCATCTGTCTCTTTCTATCCATCTAAGCCTAGTGCCAGAGTTCAGTATTGATGCAGCTCTAAAGCGAGTGTTGCCAAGGTGCTAAACTGACATGACAGGGCTATAAAAGAGCATTGGAGATCAATACTGCTATCATTTACCCTGCCACACCATCCTCCCGGAGTCTGCAGAGGCTCTACTCCAATTTTTTCCCCAGAATAACTCAAAATATCTGGACTGAATTTTGGTGTGTGTTCAAATGGATTTTTTATTATGCAACAAATGACTCATACAGAATACGCAGCTGAAGTCAGGCACCGGCGTGAAAGTCTGAGACAGAGAGAGTGTTTTAAAGTAGGACTGTGTCACAACTGAGGCCCCGACTCACATGACCCAAGAAAGAGGCCAGAGGGGTCTCTCACATGACCTGTGTGTGTGTGTGTGTCTGTGGGGGTGTGAAAAGATTGGAGAGTGTCTTAGTTTATGTGAATTATAAGAAATTATCTTTTGACTTAAAGCTCCAGTGTGTGGCAGTGATCAGACTCTGTAGAAATAGATTCAAGTATGTTTAAATGAATGTATTATTGCCTGAAAATAGAAATCTATTTGTCCTCGCTAACCCTGGGTGAGCCATATAAATCCACATGGGAGCAAATCCTATGCTTGTACTCTTACATCGCCACATTTCTATGGCAGTGCAGAATAGACATACTAGTAACAGTCGTGTTTTTGTACAGTGAGCTACATCAGCTGGTAAACTAAGAAGAAGAAGAAGAAGAAGAAGAAGAAGAAGAAGGTGGTTTAATTGTGAGCTTAAGAACAAGTATTCAATATTTCTGATTGTAAACACTTGGAGGGGCATGCTTACAATGTCTCACAGATGTTTTTTGTCCTTGAAGGTAGGGCTGGGCGATAAACTGAAAATTTACTGATACCAAAATTTTTTACAATAACCAACGTCATTTGCCAATGTCAATATATTTGGTGTCAAAAAAAATAAATAAATGAAAGTTGGTTTTGGTTGTGTGTAGGACGCTGTCCTACGTTAGAGACGTGACTCCACCCCATCCAGTCTGTAACAAAGAGAGAAAGACAGGTGAGGAGATGAAGCATGGTTCAAAAGTTGTAGTGGCTGGAGCGGTGGCTGAAGTAGACAAAGTTAATGTGGAAGGGGGTGAGGTGAACTGCTCGATATATCGTGAGTTGATTTGAGGCCATATTGCCCAGCCCTACTTGAAGGCCGCTATCACTTCACCTGGAGAGGCAAGCAAGGGAGCGTTTTAATCTAAAATCTGACAGCTAGATATCACCAATTATTCCTGTTATCACAAACTGCACTTTTGGTTAAAAAACAAAATATTATGTCAGCTGTACAATTACACACTGATTTTTTTAAAACCTGACCATCAGGATAGATGCTAGTGTTTCTACACACTAGCTCCACAAAGACCACAAAGCCACTAAAATTGGTGACAAACTACACTTTCAGTTTCCTGCATTTAAAAGACAGATACAAAAATGTGTTAAGTAATGATGTTTAGTGATCAGGTGGTTAGAATCAAAGCTGGGTAAGCAGATCCCAGTGCAAAGCTCACCCATTTGTAGTCCAGCTTGCAGCTACACTCAGAAAAATGAATCATGGCATAGTTTATTGTTATTAAGTATTTACATCTATTTGATTTTATTCAAATTGTTTCATTTCTTTACAATTTACTTATTCAAATGTCTTCAGTTAAAATATATAAATATACTGTAGGTTATATATGATGAGCTGTGGATCAACCAAGATTTGTATAGTTAAAATTTATGAGACCGAAACAAATAGGAGTTATCAATGATGAGTACATAAATCTTCATTATTTATTCGAAACATGTTGGGTTTATTTGTATTATTACGTAAATATAATTATTAATTGTTTCATTTACATTTGGCTGACAAACACGCAGCACATAAAGTATATTGGCCTGTTTTTGTTAAATCTAAATAATTCTAATGGCTGGAAATTTTGTATGCAATGAGGCCTAAATCTTTCTGTGAGTGTAGGGACACAAACAAGCTGACACTAAGTACTGATCTAAAGATGATTGCATTGATTTGATTTTTTTGTTTTTGTTTTTTTATGCAGCTGAAAGCATGGCCCCTGAATTTTGATTGTCATCTGTTTCCTGCTGATTACTGGTCACCTGTCAACCACCAAACTCCAGTTTTGTGCTCTAGATAAATTCAGGGTCTCTTAAAACATCGTCTCCTTTTTGCTTGGCACTGCTACTCAGAATTAAACATTACTATAGGGTTTTGATCAATCAGAATCAAGTATTTAACACAGCAGGTTAATATATAAGAAAACTGAGTAGCACAATAAGGACTCTTGAGTTGTTTTGTGTAACATATGGTTCTGTTAAAAATGTTACAGCTCATGCAGTGGCCCGTTTTATGGCTTATAGTGCTAAACAAAGTCCATTTACAAGTTTGGCCTATATTTCAGAACACCAATGATATCAAGTTTGTAATCCACTGTAGAGGCAAACACTTGCCACAGATTCAGCCCTGTCAAATAACTCAGGGGAGGTTTTAAAGTCCATTAAGTTCAGGCACACAAAAAAGCAGCTGCTGCCCCCTTTGTAGCCTTGTGGAAGTGTTTGTGTTTTGCTTTATGCCTGGCAGCAGTCACACTTTCTCCCACAGAAAAATCAATTGGAAGCAGGTTAGCGGAGACTTTCAGTCACTAATCTGGACACATGATCCTTCAGGTCCCTGTATATGTCTAAACTGTGTTCCTGGGCTGGTGTTGTCACGGGCGCATGAAGATCTCTTTTAAGTTTATCTGGGAGGTTTGCCTTCTTTTGGAACATTTATGTCCTCGATATCTGCCGCCACATGTGGCATCAAGTGTGTGAGTGAAAAAAACAGAGAGGAAGGGCTTTTGCAAATAAAGAGAAGTAGTCAAAGGACACCGTGACTCACAATAGAGACACTCCCTTTTAAATGGGCAGCAGGGTAAATGGGAGCAGAGGGGTGGAGAAGAAAGGGAAACATTTAGTTCCTCAAAGCAGTGCTGAATATTTGATTCTGTTGCACAGGAGAAAATCTTTGGTGTAAAACCCAGTTTATTGGTTTCATGCTCAGGACATATCTCCCTGCCTTATCTTTACTTAGCCTGAGGTCATTTGGTTTATTGTGGCTGACCAGAATTGATCTAATCTGTGTGTGTCATTACAGGGAAAACATGTGATAACTTCTCTGAAACTTCAGATAGTGTTTCCTTATTTGGCTCGTTTCCCTTGATTTCTATATTTACATTTTTCCTCTGGTTTAGTCTTCAAGTTCAGGTTGTTAAAAGGAGAGAAGAAATTGAAATAAGAGTTCACTGTCTTGATAGAGCGTTGTATTTCTTGAGTGTGTTTCTTAAGGTACCTAAAGACATGAATAAATCTCACCATGTGATGATATCTCTCCTGCGTTGAAATGCCTGGAATTTACTGCCCTCATTTCCTCAGACTGACACAATAGGTGCATTGTTCTGTGGTAAAGGTAACAATAATTGATAACTTACTTCTCATAATGCACCCATTGGCTGGCCAGCAGCCCCTATCAGGAGATGATAAGTGGCCTTGTGGTAAAAGCGACAGGGCCCATTGGTGAACAATCTATTTTAATATCCAGCTTTCATTATTTTGAATGTATTACCTGTTTGTACGCAGACTGCTGCAGTGTGTTTCATCTTCTGCTTTCAGGCAGACATTTCTATTCAAAGCTGTTTCTGCTACATTAAGTGGGCTGAGCCTGAGAAAAAAAAAATATTATCAACAGCACCTAAAGTGCATCATAAAGCATTATTGATTTTCTGTGAAGAAATTAGAGGTAGACTGAAATTTATCACAGGACAGGAATTTAACTTACATCCATTAACTGATTGCAAATTGCTTTGGAAATAGAGAAAGTTTTGGCCATTTGTTATGAGTACAAGATACTAAACTTATCCAGAGAGAGCATTTTGTGGCACACACACACACACACACACACACACACACACACACACACACACACACACACACACACACACACACACACACACACACACACACACACACTTTGAAAATAAAGATGAAAATAAATAAGGAATTAAATATGAAATAAAATTATTATCTGATAGTGCTCAGAGAGAGGGACCTTAAACTTCAAATACAGGTAGGTCTTTAATTTGTTCTTCTTACCTTAAGTACCAGGCCTTTATATGGAGCAGCCTTTTATTAGAGGCAGGCCTTTATATCAAATCTGTCTCTGAGAATGACAACTGTTCATATGTCATACTAAGTTAGGGTCTTATTCACTAACTTGAGACCTTACATTACTTACAAAGCACCAAGGGTTGAATGCCCCTGTGTGCCAGTGATGTTAGCATCAATGTAGATGTCTTCATTTAGAGCAAATTACACCTGTGTTTGGGCAAATTAAGTTTAAGTTGTCGTAAACATGCTGACAGCTGTAATCAAAAAAAGCGACAAACAGTACAGAGATGACCTGTGATGTTGTTCTCCACTAATCAGGTGTGGTTACAGCCTAATTGTTCAGGATGTAAAGACAGTGGTGGGTGACTATTGTGATCAAGTTGTTTTCTACATTTCTGTATTCCATATCAGAAATATGAATCTGTCCTGATGAGTAATTGAATTCCAGCCTTTAATCACTCTTCAAGCTCATGGTCTCAGTTCTTCTTTGGATCCTGGCTGCAGATTAAGTACTGTTTCTTCATTGAGGATTTACAGTGTTTCTGTGTGAAGTCTAATGATTGAACAAAACCTTAATCTGACTAACATTTTGCTGGCAGTCTCACAGGAGGAGTTCGAGCTGTAATCAACAAAAACTGTGCAGAGCTGGAAAAAAAAATCCTGATGAAGAAATTTCAACTAAAGCAATGATGTATCATGACACAGTAATTTGAGTGACACCGGAGTCTAACTGATCAAATATTTAGAGGAACTTATTGGTGGTATAGTGGAAGAGCACATGCATATATAATTCAAGCATTACTCTAAATTGACTTGAAGCTTGTGTTTAATATGCCTACAGGAAATGTTGGTTGACATTAGTTGGTTGGTTTAAATTGACAAATGATGTAAGTGTATGTTATGTATACTCCTGTGAGTTATAAAAAGCTTTCCTTACAGTACTGCAGGTGCAATAGGAGAGTTAAATCCATGTTGCAGTTGCACAAGTTGTCCAAAAGGTGGCAGTCCTGCTTTCTTTTCAGCCTAGCCATGCTCCATTTAACGGGAAGATTTAGAGTGACAAACTAACCTTTACATAAGGCTCCTCTAAATTGCCACCCTCTGCAAATTGCAGTTCTGCATCACAGCTTTAAAAGGCAAAGTGGTTAGGTTTGTGTTTAAAAGTGAATGTCAGGGAAGTGGGAGAGCAACCATTGAAAATGATTGTTCTGCATGGTGAGGGCACCTCTTTACAGCTGCCTACCTGTGTCAGTTTGTGTGTGTGTGTGTGCGTGTGTGTGTATCTCATAGGATCAGTGCTCTTACTCAGGTGTGAGCGGGGGGGTAGAAGGGGATTGTTAGAGTGTGCTCATTATAAAGAGGTCATTTAACCCAGGGTTGACAGTCAGCTCAGATCAGCTTTTTACCATACCTCAGCAGCTGGAGTTCCTATGTGGAGATCCCAGTGGTCATAGGATTCCTGGAATTTCATGGTACATTAATAAGCCAGCGCCAAGAAGGAGTACAGTAGGCCATGCAGTGCTTAAACAAACTCTGAGACAAATGCAACAAATTTCACAGTATAAGGTTTTTAAAGTTTTCCTCATATCAGAATTGTCTTCCGCTATCACATCTGGCCATTTTCCTGCTCTTGACAGCTATATGAACTTACATTTTACTAAATAAGAATGCAAAAATGATGAATTACAAATATCTTAGCAGCTTTCCAGTGTTCTTTGCTGTGAATAAACACATTTCAGCAGAAACATTGAATCATTTTATCCACTCTAGCTGCATGATTGTCTGTAGACTGACTCTGCAGAGGTGGCTTCAAGCAGAAGCCACCTCTGCAAGTAAGTAAACAGGATTCAGCAAACTGAAAATGTAATGTCCTTATATGACACAAAAAGTTCAGAGATTTAAATTACACATGAATTCAAATCAAGAAACGTATCTTCATTGTGGAAATCCTGCTTCGCTGTGGGAGCCCTGCGACCGTGAGACAGACTTATCAGATCCACTGACAGCACTGACTGTTTTTTTAAGCACATTTTCTGCTTCACAGCTATTAGCACCCCAGCACAAATGGAGCTCATTTGGATGTAAGAGCCGTACAATTGGCTCCCAGGTCACTGTTAATAGAGCAGCCTCATATTTTGCCTGTTTTGAGATCATCCCTGATGATATGCAACTGTGGCCGCTGATGACGGCGATGAAGGCTCAAGGGATGTGAGATAGAAGCGGGGAATCTATTAACCCCGTGTGACCAGCTGGCCAACCATGACAGATTGCCCTGTCTCTACTTTATCAAGGCTTTTTTTTCCCCAGCATTTGTGTGTGTGCGTGTGTGTGTGCATGTGTGTGTGTGTGTGTGTGTGTGTGTGTGTGTGTGTGTGTGTGTGTGTGTGTGTGTGAGAGAGTGTTTGTGTGTGTGTGTGGGGGGGATCAGGAACTTTTATCTACTCTGAAAGCATCAGAGTGAGCTTGACGACTCATCTGGTTGCACCTCCGTTTTTATTATTGAACTGGTTTCATGGCTGACTGTTAACTAACTGGTTCAGCGCGTAGGGTTCTCTGTCTATGCCTGACTGACTCCAGTGTGTGTGTGTGTGTGTGTGTGTGTGTGTGTGAGTTCACACTCAGTGTCCCTCTTCACTGTGCGTCAGTGACCTGTGGGCTAATCCACCCTGTGCTGTAGAAGCTTTGTATTAATAACTGACTTGATAATTATATTAATTCAAATCTGCTGGGCTTTCTTTTGTTGTGCTATCTCTGACATGCAGCCTTGTGAATGGGTGTGCAACCCCCCCCCCCCCCCCCTCCATCCCCAAAGTGTCTCTGTCTCTCATCATCTCTCCTCTATACACTCACAAACTGCGTCTAAATCCTCACACTTTTCTGGAAAAGTCACAGCACTCTTCCTTTTTTACCGTCATACAAAACAATAGTTTTTTCTGCTGTCTTCATGCCTCTTGTCTTTTCACCCACGCTCTGTCTATTTTTAGTCCACTCCTTTCTTATTCCATATTTTGTCCTTTTTCTGCCTTTACTCAGGCTGCCTTTCAGTAACATACTTTTGCTCACTTTTGTACTCATTCAATAGTTTCTACCAGCCCCTATATGTCTGCGGGATCTTCTTCCAAAACTCTGACAATTTTCCTCAGTAGCTCAAGGCCCTTCACACTTGGAAACTCCTTTAAAACTCTGTATAGTTTTTTTTTTTCTTTTTGTAATCTTGCCTGTTTTTTCAGGAAATAAGAGAAATGCAGTTATAGTTAGATTTGAATCATCACTTCTATTTAAAAACCATAGCCTGTGCAGTCAAACTTAACAAGGATACAGAGTCATACACGTTATATAGAGAAGCAGCGATGACAAGTCCTGACCACATCACTGGTAATGGCAGTGTATGTGTGGGTGGCTTTGTACTGTGCTTGAGTTGAAGGACCTCTTTGTCACTTGCATCTGCCTATAATTAACAGAAAAATATTCACTTAGCTGGTGTGTGATATGATGCACAATCCACAAACACATTCGTATGAGCTGCTTAGCTTTGTCTGATTTTGTTTTGTCTCTGTTTTGTACCCTGAGAGGCTTTGCTGCTGCTCTCCCTGCCTGGGCTTTTCAAGTATGGAGATGAAGGAGAGAGATGAAGGATCCTACCTGGTGATTTGAACTGATTTTATGTGTTTCACTTTTAGTCATTTAAAAAACAGGTCAAAGAGAAAAAGACTCAACAGTAAAGTTTACCTTTTCCCTCTTTATGTCCAGAAGTAAACTGTTTTAGTGCAGATGTGTAGCTCCTTCTAGCACCATCTACTGTAGCCGCCTGGCAAAATTTTGAAATCCTTTTCTAATTCCACTCTGCTCTATCAAAACTGTAGAGAAGCAGAAAAAGGTTTATGAATGCATTAAATCAGGTCAAACCTTTGGTGTCATTTCCTTACTCCAGAGGTGAAAAGGAATATCCAAGATTAACCCTTTTTCACCACACACCCTGCTGTCATCCCTTTTAGTTTTAACACCATTTCCTCCGGCTTTCTCCTCCAGACTGTTTCTATTGTTAGGCAACAAGTCCAGCATCCTTTCTCCCTTCATCCTCACCTCCTCCCCTACTCCCTCCCTCTCTCTGAGTACTATCATCCCACAGCAGCATTCTTGGCTTCCCTCTCTCCTTTCTCCTTCCTCGCCTTGTCCATCATTCATCCGTCCATCAGCTCAGCCATGTTCCCTCCTTTTGTTATTCATCCCCTATCTCTCCACAGCAGAGATTCTAGTCACTCTAAAGCCGTCATTTTTTTTTCTTTTTCACTGCTGCCCTGTATGTTTTTGAAAGGAGAGGTGCGGGTAACAATGGCAGCAGTGCAGGCCAAGTCTCCGACAACATGTCCTCACTGGTGACAGGGAGGTTTAGATATCAGGCTTTTTATATAAAGCCGCTTGGCAGGCTCTTGGTGTTGTCCCTGAAAGATATGAGGCAGTTTATTATAAATGATGAATACAACACCTGTCGGCTGTGGGGAGCTTTCAACTTGTATTCTAATTCAATTTTTTTGGTATCAGATTTAATGGGTAAGGAGTGGAAGTCTTGATGTCACACGAGGGCTGCTTGCTTTTTCCTGTCACTGCTTGTAATCTCCTGTTAGGGATTCAACTCTTCTATCTTTTGTGAAATACCTGTCTGATTTTTAATTTTTTTCTTTTTGATCAGGCAGAAAAAAATCCCCAAACTTAAACCTTTCATGATTTTAAGAATTTCCATGATATTTAAGGTGAGGTCTAAATTCAGTGTTTGGCCTCAGGAAAAATGAATAAAAAAGAAACACACCACAAGGTCAGTTTCACCTGGTTGCCATGGAGTTATCATTGAAAAGGATGTTGAAATTCATTTTTTTCCCCCAAATACTGTCCCGTCTGTGTTGACCTTTAAAGTGATGTGTAAATTTACATCTTAAAATTCCATTACGGTTGGAAATTTTACATTAAGGAAGTAAATGTAATAAAATTGCTGCTTTCCTGGAGAATTGAGGCTGTTGGTTCATACAGCCATTAATTTCTCTATTATCCATGTTGTCCTCTAACACTTCTCGAAAGACATTGGCTCTACTTTTGTAAGGCACACACCTCTAGATATGATTTGAGATATGCTACAAAACAGTCGATGCTACAGGTTTCTGGTTGTAGGGATTTCCAGTGGCAAGGGGCAGAGCAGCTGAACGCTATAAGCCTTGTGGTGGTCAAGCTGAGGAGCAGAATCTTGACATCAGTGTGGTGTTAGACTGGAAGCTAGTGAAGCTGATAAATAACAGAAGTGATGTGATTCATAAAGTTTAAGTTTGAGGGTGGATACATAAGAGTTGAGAGGGAGACCAAATAGAAAAAATTGCAGTTAAGAGGGTAATACACAGACTTAGTGACACTATTGATGCAGGTTCAGATCAATAGTGTGCTGTGGAGGACGACATCCAGACTCACAGAAACTGATGAGCAGTTTGTGCCGATGAAAAAATGATCAAGTGTTGTGAAAGTGGATTTAGTCCCAATGAGGAAAATCTCAATTTTGTGACAATTAGTTTTCAGAACATTACAGGAGGACCAGGGTTTGACTTCCTGTGGGCAATCAGAGGGGGAAGTGAGTAGGAGGAAAGAGGTAGGTTTGATGCATATGTGGAGTTGGGTGTCATCTGCAAAGCAATGGAAGTGGGTGTTCTGTTTCCAAAAGATATGGCCAAGATATGGGTGATAAATAGAAGTGGGCCCTGGACAGAACCCTGGGGAACTCCAGCAGTGGCTGGAAATAGCTGAGTTTTGAAAGTTGTGAGTTGAAGGTAGTGAGTTAGCATCAATTGTATCAATGCCCACTCCAACCTCATGGTAATAGCAGTAATGCACATTGTGACTGGTTTGCACTAGTCATCAAGTACCAGATTCAAGAAATTGGGGAAAATTGCCTTTTAGGAGATGGAGTTAGGTCCTTTGCTAGACCAACTAAAAAGCACTGCTCCGGGCTATATTGTCAAGATTGTCAAGATTCTTCTGGCTCCTGTGTGGTAATGTCTTCTCATCATGCCATGAATTCCACCTAAAAGTGAAGTGGTTCAAAAATCAACATGGGTCAGACCACACTGTTTATTTCAATAGATTTTTATGCTGCAGTTATGGATTGAAATGTCTATCAGAAACAACCAGGTTTGCCAGTTTTATACAGCTTTATCTGCATAGACTTCATGGTTATTTCTGCCAGTTATCTCCCTCAAGGGTAACAGTTGTTGTCAGCGTGATGTTACAGCGATTTCTTTGATTTGTTTCTGTTTTGTTTCTCTGGAGCCCTTGACTTTCAAAAGCCCAAATGTTGGTGTTTTTATTTTGCCTGAAGTCTGAGTGACTCTGAATACCACAGAAAAAAAAATGCTGTCAATAACTCTGAACCTTATCAGTTGAACCCTAGTTAATAGCATTAGGCAAAGATGTATTTATACAAAGTGAGGGGAACTAGAAGGTGATGCAAAGAAAAACTAAGAGGCTGAAAATCAAAAGCATCTAATGCAGTGTAACAGTCAAACAAGATGAGGGCATCCAGAGGGATGTGGTTAACATTTAAAAATGTAAACAGACTGACTCTGAACAACTGAAGGCATGGAGAGTGCATATGCAGATTGAAGAGTGAAGGAAAGGATGGAGACTCTGGAAGAGAGGATAGAAAAGGAGGGAGTCAGAGTGTGTTTGTGTGTGTCTGTGGGAGCCTTGTTAGTTATTGATCCCATTTAATAATCTTTAACCACAGCCTACTCTCATGAGAGCACTTAACTCTCGTCTCTCTCCCTCTCTCTCCAGCCCTCACAACCCCTCTATGCCTCCTTTTTACTTTCTGCTTGCCTCCTTTCCCTGTGTCTGTATCTCCTCCTCTCCCCGCCTGCACTCTGGCTACTCTTTTAACTACGAGGTCAAGGTGAAGTGAGGCTAAAGACCAACACAAATCCCAGCAGTAACCGGCATAGTTCTGTGTCAGTGCATTTGTTGCTATGGAGTCGATTCAGTCGTCTCTAAGAGGCCTGAGCTCATTCAAAGCACACCGGTCCAGACCCAGACTCTGTAAAGTTAACCCGGGTCTTTGGTGAATTGAGATCCACGTGCTCAGGCTGTTACTAGTTCAGACTTTTCAAGTGGGCCCTGAGGACTTTGGTTGGGCTTGCAGAAAGAGTTCCTCTTTGTCTTTCACAAAAGCCTTGTATAAAATTGGACCTTAGAACTAAAACCTTTTTGTGTCTTTGGGTTGAGGTGTTGCCTGTATACTCTTGAATCCTACAGTTTCAGTTTGGCTTTAGTTCAGGCTGAAGTGGCACTCACATAAAGTAGAAGCTTTCAGTATGTCAACAGTCTTCACTTTTTGTAAGTCCTCGTTTGAGTCTCGATTTTTATGTCAGTAAATCTGTTGTTAGCTTAAAAAGAGTCCTTCAGGAAAGCTCTTCTAATTTCAATCCATAAAGTTTAGTTTATTTGTGAAAAGGAGAACTTGCGATGTTTGCACAGAGCACAGCGTGTATTTCACTAATCTTATCAAGCAGGATCGGCATTTTAATATGATCGGCATGAATCTGCATCAGACCTCACAAGGCAGATATTACCATCATCTCCTCACACACACACACACACACACACACACACACACACACACACACACACACACACACACACACACACACACACACACACACGTGGTACATCATCTGGATTGTTTTCATCGGAGCGTCATTGAGGTGTTTGCAGCTAACAAAATGGTCCCACACCACACCTCGTCTTGCTTTCTTCATGTTTTTTTCTTCGACCTCTTTCGATATTAACCTCAATTTAAAAACATCTCTATTAATGTCAACGGGCTGAGGGTGGTTCATGGCAATGTCAGTCTTTAATTGTGTGGAATTTGGATCCAAGAACACGACTTCTTTTACCAAGTCTGCTGTGTCCCAGTGAAATGATCCAACAGGAGAAAAGAGCAGTAAAATTAAAACCTGTCATGTAACATTGATGCAAAGGCTCATTAAGGGACTCACCTTTGCATGGGGACTTGCAGTATTGACTTACAGGATCATCAAGTCCATATTGCAGAGGCACAAATGGTCACATAATGATCCAATGAGCATAACAGTGATGTTAGCCATAAGCCAGAGACATCTCAGTAACTAGCTGTGATCCCACCCCAGCATTTATTGGACATTCTGGAGCCTTTTTCTTCAGGTTCATTAAACAAGATGATCCTGGATCGTTATGGTGGTCCTGATGAGGAGTGACCTCGCCCCTGTGAGGGCTGAGATGACCACCATCATAGTAGCACTGTTTATGACGAGGATTTTTATGCCCGTATTGTGATCTATCTAAAACACGCGCACTTTTTATCAGCACCTTCTTTTGTTCCTCGTTTGAAAAATCCTGCATAATTAATCCATAATGTTTAATATCAGGAGTGCTGAAGAATCAGGAGCACAAACACATGAAATGATGGATTAAGAGATGAATACGCATGAATACACAAATGAGGGCATGAATGAAAAGTGATAAACAAATGAGCTGTAGGATGAAGCGAGGCCGGGAGGAGCGAGAACAATCGTCCAAATGATCTCTGTGGGCTCCTTTTAGTCGTCGAGCTTTGTTTCCTGCTCTTCTCTGAGCGAGCTCCTTTAATCTGTCACTCTGCTCCCTCGTGCTTTTGTTTGGCTCTTTATTTGGATGGCAGAGCTCATTTCAGCCGGATGATCCGATCAATAATTACTTTCCATGCCACACACATACACACACACACACACACATACACAGACAAACACACTCACACACACACACTTGGGCAATATTCTCTCAGTAACAAACACAAAGCCTTAGAAGAAACATCAAATTATGAAGTACCAGATTACATTCATTCTATTTGTACCCAATATATGAATCAACAGAAGAGTATCAGAGAGAATGAAATGAGAGGAGGGAGATGATGTTTGTCATGAACTTGGAGATTAAGCGTGATTTTACACCTACGTTTTCTGGTCCGGACTTTCAGACTGTTCTCTTTGGCCTGAACCAATTGATAAGTCTGAAACCACCCTCGGACCTTGGCCCAACCAAATGAGATGATCTCGGTCCGGACCAAACTGGACCACAGTCTGGTTCAGGCCCAGTGTCAAAACATCCGTTTGAAAGGTTAGGGCCTTAGTACACAGGAAGACAGGAAATGACATGAGGAGTAGAAGTGTTGGTTATTATGTTGACTGGAGATTGTTCAAGAAGGAGAAATTTTATAATATGGTAGATAAAGTTACACTTCACTATTGAAAGCTTATCTTTTTAAGACATACTTTCTCTCCTGTGTCGGTGTTGCAGTGACTGGCAGGATCGCATACTTTCTTCAAAACTCATAAGACAAACTCAGACCAGCCTCATGTACAGCTCCTCAAGTTGTCGCTGGTGGTCATAGAAAATCCACAATAATATGATGGTGGGAACGATGATTTCATTCAGGTTAACAACATTTAAGACCTGTGTTATTCAACGTGTTGATGTCAGATGCCTGCCACCCAATGACCAATCAGTGTAAACTACAGTTTTTCTATTTGCAATAATGACAGTGTACCATACCGTGAAACAAAATCACAGATCTTTGTCCAGACCTTGATGGTCTGGATTTTTGGGTTTGAAAACACCATAAATCCAAGGTTAGAATTTTGAGGGAACACTAAATCTCTCAACTCACAGCTACTGCTGTCATGACTGTCTGTTTGAGGGACAGACATAATTAACACAAATGACATTTGATTTTACTATAAATGTATTCTTTGTCAAACACAAACTTCATCAGTGTGAGTACTGTCTCATCACAACTCTTCAAAATACTTCCACAAGGTCATATATGGAACATATTCTCATCATATATGTTGGCACATGTTCTTGTTTGCAGTACATCATAGTTACAGTGACCGGTCACATATTTATAGGGATTTCCACATCTGCCGTTACTATGCTGACAATATCTCTTCTAAATTGTAGGGTTAGTACTAAATTAAGACAAAAAGTTAGACAAACAGATGTGATTTTTGTCTGCTGACTGGCTGCACATATGAGCAGATGAGATGTTTCATTTTTACATGCCAATCATGAGGTTTTTTTTTTTAACACATTAGCTCATCATTTAAGTAAACATTAAAAACATTTTTATGTAGAAGAGTGACATCCCCTATCATCAACCACTGACTCAAAATGTCAACTTTTTTTGACATTTCAGTCTCAATCGCAAACTGGTATTTTGACTTTTTCTTGACATTTCAGCTGTAATATAAAATAATTTTTCAATATTATTCTCAAAATTTCAACCATATCCTCCTTGTTCAACATTTTTTTCTCCAAGTGCATGATGAAAATAAATAAATCTTCCCCCTGTAATTATTTTTTTCTCATTCCTTGCTCAAATACACTTCTATACGAACGGCCGCTCCCGTGCACACACAAAAACACACACCCAGACGCACGCATACACCATTTATCACCGCTGTCACCCAGTTTGCATCGGCTTTGTTTTTTAAAGCCGGTTTGGAAATGTCAAGCTTTTTTCAAGATTTATTTTGCTCCTGCAGCACGTCAGAGAAATTAATAATCAGCCCATAAGTTTCGACCTGCATCATCATTCACCTCTCTTTTACATGCATGCACACACACTTTAATTGCTCATAATACTGCTCACCTTTTTTATTTCCCATCATTTTACTTCATTTTTACGACAAACGCTGCGAGTCACCACTGCAAACGTGTGGCACTCTCAGACCACTGAACTGTTTTTTTTTTTTTGGTGTGTGTGTTATGAATATGTCAGAGAGTCTGATTAAAGCAATGGTTCATAAACTTTCACAGCAGTGCTCAATGCACAAAAAACACACACACACACACACACACACACACACACACACACACACACAAACGCCAAATAAACAAAGTAGCTGGCATTTCCTAATTTCGAGGGTGATGTTAACTTCTCTGCAGAACCTTTATTTAGTTGATTTGTGGTAATGCTAAAGCCTGTGTTTGTGTGTGTGTGTGTGCGCGCGTGTGTGTGTTCGCGTGTGTGTGTGTGTGTGTGTGCCTCTCAGCTCTATGTGAAATAATAATGTGCTCAGATCTCTGGATGAAGTGAACAATACTTAACAGAGCCATGATAATAAGTATTAAAATCACTGGACCTGAAAGAAAACGTGATGAGACTCTTAATTATGGGGGGGGGGGGGTTGCAAGAAGAAAAAAATGAGAGGGGGTTGATTGAGACAAAACTAGAAAAAAGAAAACCCTTGAATGGGTTTAAAAACATCATGATGGAGGTGATAAAGGAGGGGAATAGATGTATTGGATGAGTGTGTGTGTGTGTGTGTGTGCGTATGTATTGAAACACTACAGAGATGGATTGAGAGAGAGAGAAATACTTGCACTCTAATCCTCCTCTCTCTTTCTGTGTTTTATTGGTAAGAGGCGGGGGCAGCCACGCGCACCCCGCTGAGGGTTTTGCACTCTTTGATTTCTTTCTTCAGCATGTCCACACACACATGCGCTCGCACACACACACAAACACACACGCACACATTGGCTGGAGTCAGCCCATCTTCCAGGATCTCATCATTAGGCACCCAGGCGGAGTAATCATCACCTCCCCTTCAGTCTTGTTCATTTTCATTGGACAAATTTTTGCCTTCAAAGCGCATGAGCTTGAAATGACACACGACCTTTTGACCACTGAATCATGAGCCCCTGATGTAAATGTAATCAGATTTAGAGTCGATCTGTTTATGGCTGCGGAGATGATGACTTTCTTTATCTTTGTATTGTTTTTAGATGTGAATACTTAAAGCACAAGGCTGTCCATATATGCAGATTATACCTGTATTTTGACTTCTTTTACACCAGAAGTGGATGTGTGTTACGAACTTGGTCGTGCAACCCCAGATCTGTCAAGTTGCAGTGCTGAGTTAAATGTTAAATTCAAACAGAATTTGATGGTTTGTTCATCATTTATTGTCTATTTTTGATTGAAAAGACAAGAAATCAAAAACAGAGGAGAAGGACCTGGCTGCAGACACAGAGGATCTCTGTTAGGAAGCGCAGCAGGAAGTCGGACCTCCACTTGATTCTTAGGCAGAGATTGTTGATAATGTGTGTAACTACATCATTCACTAACCTGGTTTAAGTCTTGACTTCAAGTTGAAATATCGAACTCTGGAAATCTGTTGATTTTTTACTGTCAAAGTTTGTAAATAAACACAACGAAGAACAACTTTCACTTCTTTTCCACTTACCAAGCAGAGGTCCAACCTTCCGCTGTGCATTCACGGTAGGGGTGGTAATCACTAGCGGCTCCACGATACGATATTATCACGATACTTGGGCCACGATATGATATTATCGTGATTTTTAACATTTTGCAATACAGTCAGTATTGCAATAACATATATTGCGATTTATATAATTTTTTCAACTGTTAAGCTAATTTAGCATTTGTCTTTCCTTCATGTTTGTCTTGTTTACGCTGTATTTTAGTTTCATGTAGCACATCTTGTGAACCTTATATATATATATATATATATATATATATATATATATATCTGTTGCATTAACTTTCTCCTGCTCTGTGATGTCACCCCTGCCAGTGTCATAGATTTGACTTCATATTAGCAATTAATTTAAAAAAATCGATACTTGGTAAATGAGACGATATGATTTATCACCAGACAAAATATCACAATACTATGCTGTATCGATTTTTCTCCCACCCCTAATTAATGGAGCTGTGCTGTCTGTAACCAGGTCCTCTGAAGTAAATGTGCATCTGGTTAGTAACATGACAGGGTAAAGATGCCGCAGACAAAAAAACTGTATTTACTTGTACTTCATCCAAGTATCTTCATCATGTGTGTTCTTCAAACTTTTACAGCGTCCTGCTTCAGAGGGATTACAGTTTCCTGCGAGACATCAACATCTGGAACCCCTTCGTCACCATCGGGGTGTATTCCTCCACTCTCTCTGCTGCCATGAGCAACCTCATTGGAGGCTCACGCATCCTCTACGCCCTGGCCAAGGACGACTTGTTTGGTGAGTATAACAACCATCTCCCACTGATGTTGTCATTCCAGGTTGCAACAACAAAGGTTAAATAAATTAAATTTCCATTCCGACCACACTGACATTGATCTCCTCCTGCAGCAGTTTCAGGCGTTAAAAATTCTAATATTAAACATTTTCGTGTCAAAGTCAGTGATGGTTTACTCTCTGGACAGATATCGTAAAAAAAAACAAAAAACTATCAGTTGAAAGTCACTTTAACTCTGACAGCGTCCCACTGTCTTTTTGTGTGTGTTTGTTTTGTTCGTTTGATGAATCTGTCTCAGAAGCGTTCATTCATCTGTGCCAGCATGCTGCACCTGAAACTCACAATTACTGAAGTATTGATTGATATTTGAATTTTGCAAGAAACAAATAATCCGATTTGCAGGATATGAACAGCTGATCCCTCAGATTGTCTTTCATTACATGTGAACCTTTGAACAAGACATTTTTAGGTTTCTAATTTTAACCATTGTGTAGCCGAACATGAAGTTCTAACATGCTTTATTTTTTATCCTCTTCTTTACCAGAAAGTGATTTCCAAAATTTAACTTATAATGATATGACAAGGACCTAAACTACAAATTAAGACTATAAACTCTGTAGACTATAAACGGCTCTTCCTTCTTTGCTTCTTCACAGATTGGTTTCTTTTTCACCCACACAGGACATAAAAAAATACAGTTTTTTTTTGTCTCTGTTATATTAAATTTCAGTGCCCAGACCTGCTGGCAGTGCAGCTTCTTATACTCAAACAGGTTTTAATACTTCTCCCTTTGGCCTTTGTTTGAAATAGTTTTACCTCCAGAATATTAAATTCAGTTGGATTTCTCTCATCGCCTCTCTGTGTGAATCGCGCTGCCTGCAGCTTCTTCAGTTTTTAATGATGGTGAGCAGATTGCCTATCCTGTCCTTTGCTCTTTTGTTAGGTCTATTGCAGATTGATTTGTACTGCTCATGCTTGTGTGTGTGTGTGTGTATCAGTAGAGGTATATGACTGTGACTTGACTTAGTGGAAGTTCCTCTGTGCATGGATCAGATGGAGCAGAGGCAGCTGACTCTTGTAACACACAAAGGGTTAACATAGATTAATGCGTTTAATTAAGAGTCGAACCGGGGAACCATAAATGTGTAAATGCTCTTGTAGAGGGATGAAATGGGTTGTATGACCACATTGTGCATGCTGAAATCTGTGTGTGTGTGTGTGTGTGTGTGTGCGCTCTCACACTTTCACCTTTCAACTGTCTTCTGCAGCCAGAGTGATGGATATAGTGACTCTTCATCACACACCATCACAAAATGATCACACACACACTCTCACTCACACTCACGCACACACTATGGGCTTATTTCCTCCCTTTAACTTACTAATCTCCAGCTCCTTCACCTCTGTCCATCCTCCTCATCACTCAGCCTCTCCTCTCTCAGGCTCATTGATTTGACTTTAAATTCTCACTGATTAAATTCCAATCCTTTATCAGCTGTGAAATTTAGTCTTACACTCAGATTCCTCTCACCGCCCCTTCTTGCCATCTTCTCCATCTCCCCTCCTCTCCCTCCTTTAACTCTTCTTCATGTTGTTTTTTGTGACTTTTTCTTTCCCTGTGTTTTGGTCCGTCAGAGCTGCCACCACTTCCAACTCAGATGCCATGAAGAACTGACACTATAGAGAGAAAATGAAAGGCTGCATGCAAAGTGTCTCCTGGCAAACCATATAGCTTTAAAAAGTATAGAAAGTGTAATGTCAGCTAACCTCATCTCTCTGGCTGTTTCCACCCACTCTCATAGTCTTTTCTGCTCTTTCTTTTTTCTGAGACGGCATGAAGTTAATTACACAAAGTTGGTTTAAATGTCACTAACAAAAGAAAATGACATCCCTGGTCTAAGCATAGTCAGATCTGTGAACAGCAACGCCAACACCCTCTGAGGTCTGATGGGCGAGAGTCTTTTTTCCTTCATCTGTTGCTAAGGGAATAAATATAACAAAAGAAACACAACACATGAGCATTGAATGGTGCAAGTGCTCACGATTCCCTTTGTATTCCATGAGTGGATGTTATTTTGGTGATGTACTGGAAAAGTCACAAAAGTTTGCGTCAGCATCAGGCCTGGCCAAAACAAGATAATGATTATTTATGGTAATGAAATATAGATAGAAAAGTTAGATCAAATTCGCCTCCTAGCTCTTTACACCCGGAGTCAGTTTCCTACACATTTCAAACATTCAGAGACATTGGAAAAAGTCTCTTGAGTTTTCAACAAGAAGTTCAACATTTTGGGAAGAAAAAAAGAAAGGATAAAAAATTACAGTTTTTCTGGTCGCTTTAAGAAATCCATCTTAGAGAAACTCCTCCATGGACAATTTGCTGGAGCCCTCCCAAAATTAACTCTTCCCTGGGGGTTGATCTGATCAACTCTTAAATTAGTGACGCATAGTACGAGATCCCTATAAATATAAAAACCTCTCTAGCCTCCATACAAAACTCAAAAGGCATGGCCGTGATAGCTGGTCAATGTCTGACCATGAAGAAACAGAAATTTTAGCACATTTCAGGGGTCACACCCCTGAAATCACACTTGGATTTGTTTCTCCTATAGAGTTAATGTAATCCATGTCAGATAGTTTATAACACCAGAAGAGACTTGTAGAAACACAAGATGTCAAGGTAACTATGACACACAAGGTCCAAACTGCCTCCAACATTACATGGAAGGTTAACATCTCTAAGCATTCATTGTGTTATGCCTTAATGTGACCTGCTGGAGACAGGCAGGAGACCTTGTAAACAGTGATTCAGGAGGATAACATCGGATTCACACGCTGTCCTGTCACTTCACACTTCGGTTAAGAGGTATTTTGACTGTCCTGTCATGGAGAAAGACGATGGCTCTGCATCTCATTATTAATGCACTGTGCTGGAAATTTCTGTTTATAAAGAGCTGAACAACAAGTTCTAAAAAAAAAAACACCTTTTCAAAAGGCCAGACAACACGGAGGGTACAGAATCTTCTGCAGGTCTGCGCTGACTGACAAGGAGTTTCTGTCTGGTTGTTGTTTATATCAAGGTTGTGGTATCAAAGGCTTGGTGATTTCCATAAGAAGTTCATCCCCAATTTGCGAACAGCTCCTCCCTTCTGTGGAATCAGATGGCAGCTGTACATCCTCTCAACCAGAAAACATCCTGTACTGACTGCAGGAAATGTAAACAAAAGCACATTAAACTCCTTAATAATGTTGTAATTAAGCAGTGTAACAAACATGATGAAACATGAAAACACAACAGGAGACAATTTCACACCGTGACTATGACACCAAAACCAAGTGTAAGCTGCAGTTAGACACACGAGGGTCTGTAAAGTAAGTCTGAAACTATTTCTAAGAATTGCATTAATTGGAAAAAGAGTTTGAAACTACATAGAACTAGGAAAAACTTTTAGACATAATTGTGTAAATTTAAAGTTTTAAAAAGGAGTAAACTTGTTCATTCGTCAAAAGTACACAGCTCTGGTTGTGTTGGTGCTGTGATTCTGTCTGACACCTGTCTCCTTAAAAGAGGCTTTTTGTTCTGAGCTGTATTAGACTGTTTAACAAAGAGAACTGTAAATAATGTAGTGTATGTGTGTGTGAGTGTGTCTGTACGTAACAGTCACAAAAGAAGAAATGAGGGTCAGTGTTCTCACCACATTCACTTGAATCCCATGCAAAGATAAATGAAGTTGAATTATCTGCATAATGCTGCAAATTGAAGTTTTACTTCATTTCAACCGACGGGACAAACAGTTGAGCAAGGCCGAACTTTTTTACTCCAGTCCTCTGCTTGTTAGCTCCTCCACGTCAATACTATTGCCTGGTGAGGTGAATAAATCTTCACAGTAGTGGGTTGGAGACAGCTGGCACACCTGCAGGAGCAGCCGCTAATTGTTGCACGCCTGCCGGACGGAGCTGGTGTGGGATTAAAAACTTTCTCAGGTTGTGCAAATCTCCATCGTGCTGTAGGTTTTCATTCATGGAGACTTCTTGAAGGAAGAGTGTCAAACCTTTACTGTATCAGCAACAAAGAGGAGTCTGACGAACAGCTCAAGCTGAACAATCAAAGTGTCCTGATGTGTATTGATGAGTAAACAGACATCCTGACGTCTGATTCATGCACTACTGAATGTTCTCCGGGTGCACAGAGTTCAAAGTTTTGTAACAGTTTGGGCAGGAAATCAAACTTTTTACTCTCAGATTGACTTTAAATTACAGTCTTGATCATGCAGCCTCTCACTCATGCTGATAGAAACTGGTTCATTCAATTTCATTATATAGACATTTTGGTATAAAGATTTAAATGTATTCACCTGGACCTTCTCTCATCCCTGCAGGTAAGGTGCTCTCTCCTGCCAAGATGACGTCCCACAGTGGTAACCCCTGGGTCTCCGTGCTCATCTCCTGGTTTCTTGTGCAGGTCAGTGGAAATCAACTGATAAAGATAGAAATAGAAATAGAAAAATCTATGCAAATGTGCTGACTAAAACTGTGTAGACTATTGTTGTAGAAAGATCAAAGTCCTCTAAGACAAATGTACAGGCACCTGACAGGGAAGCTATCTGTATTTCAATATATATAAACCATCCACAATGTTGAACTAAAGGCTAACATGCTAACAACACGCTTATAGATGACTATTACACTTTAGACATTTAGACTACATATCTCAGCTTTGAAGTTGGAACCTAGAGGGTCAAGAAACTTGCGTTACATTAGCCTCAAACTTAAATGTTTTAGAGAAATTGATAAATCAGGAAAAAATCTCATTAACAGGATCAGTGAAGCTCAGTTCAGAGGAAAGGACGACGAGATACTGTTGTGTTTTTGCTCAAAGATGCAAGGCTGACTCAGTATCAGGGCAGAATAAGTCAAGGCTCTTGTTTTCTGCATTGTGGAGACTTGTTATAGAAACTAACCTCAGGCAGAAATATGAGACAGACCTTCTGCACAACTCAGGAGAATTCTTTCTTCAGACAAACCGACTCGTTCAAAAATCAAAAGTTCAGTTTGGGCAGTTTGACGTCTGTTTTTCTGCCACTGCTCAGTCTGCTGCAACACAAATCTGCTCGACTTTTCTTCATCATCTAACAATGGCACTTAAAGTCACTGCATTTTTTACCACTGCTCTGCCAAACAGTGTCCCATGGCTGCAGAAGTTCCTTAGTTTAATTGATTTTAGGAATTTCAGAGTGTGTGACCTAATGTTGCTTTTTAATTTCTCTGGCTGTCAAACAACTGATCCAACAGAATGGGAAACTTCTTTTTTTATTATCTCACCAACGCCTGGACGAAATATTTTCCAATAGTCAGAAATCATCACTGAACTTTTATGACAGCAGACGACAACCATGGGGGACTTTTAGCCCAACTTCAGTGAGAGCACTTGTGATGAAGACTTATGTTGAACAATCTGCAAACTGATTTATTAAGAGCCTTTTAACTAATCACTACAGTGTCAAACTTATTTCAAATTTTTTAAACCTTCTCATGACTCAACTTCAAAACGAAACTGCTTCATTTGTGACCAGCCAGAAACTGTTTGAACTAAAGCTGAGGATGTGTCATCTCCCCAAGTTTGAGCTTGAACACAGGGGTCTGATTAAGTATTTCAAGGGCACCACAATTACTTTGAAAAAGCAAAAGTATAATAACTTTATTTCAATAATAACTTTATTTTTTATTTAATTTAACTTTATTTTTTAAGTAAGAAAAGATTGTTACTTTTCTAACTCCAACATAAGAAGGCTCCTTCTGTCGAGTGTTGAAAGTGTTGGAAAGAGGTCAGTAAAGAGGAGAAAATATTGGCAGAGGAGAGGAAGATGAGGGACGAGACAAAGAGGAGGAGGAGGATCTTAAGAGCAAATAAGCCCGGTTATTCTCACCATGGTGAGTGTAAAAGGCTGATGACATGTCATTATTTACTTCCTCTCCCTCTTATTCTCATTCTCTGTCCCTCTCTCATCCTCTTCTCTGTACCTCTCTTCACTCTCCAGGAGTGAGGAGGAGCTATTAGATGGAAATCGTTAGCTGTGCTGCCTTCACCAGCGAAGATCGTTGACTCTTAAGTTGTCTTTCTCTCTGCCTCTTCCTCCACCATCTAAATGAGTCACTAAAGTCTGATTGTAATCTCACATCAAACACTCACATGCTTTAGGAGTGAGAAGAAAGAAGTGGGAGGATGGAAAGGGAAGGCACAAGCTAAGACATTTTTATTGGTCAGTGAGGAAGAATTAAAAACCTGCTTGAGGAAGAAAACTTTGAGGAAGGAGTTGTTGTCTTGAGGCTATGTACAAGTTCATAAAATGCAAAGTTTGTGGACAGACAAAAGTCAACATAGCCGACTAATGCCGGGATTCCACTGCATGCAGATCCGCTCTGCTCCACTCCGGAACAGCAGGTGGATCACAAACACAAGCATACAGTGCCCACTGTATCTGATCCGCTGCCGCAAGCAGAGGAGAAGCGCTTGCGATATTACCGAAGTTTCTCTCGAGACTAGACAAGATCCCATGAGATCTTGCGTGTTTCACTGTGAGACATCGATCAGAGATCGGTGGTGTATATAAACATCCACATCCCACAACCCTGGCCCCTCCAATTATCACATGAAGAACAGTTCAGTTTAGAAAATTAACTGGATATTTTACTCTGGAGCCGCTTACAACTTCTGCTGCTGCTCGTGCTGCGCCGCACTGAATTGGTGCGTTGTGCTGCAGCGTCCGCCAATAATAGAAAGCCTTGCTTATCTGATCCGACCACCAGGACCCACAGCGGAGCCAGATGGCGGACGCATTGTGTGGAATCATGCACATTGATTATTATGCTTGTGTATTTGATCAGACTGCTGTTCTGGAGCGGAGCGCAGCCGTTCTAGTATGCTGACGATGATACTGTCATCCCTGTTGGCCAGCCAACCCACCTGACCTGACCCCCAGAGAGGATCTGTGTTACAGAACAAAGAGAAAATGATCTTTTTTACAACATTCTGAGTTATTTTGATGCACAGAACTCCCAAATGATGTCACTTGGATTAAAACCCCCCCACATAATATAGTGCTCTAATGTATGTTAAGAGGACCGCTAGGCTTTCAAAGCTGCCCTCATTTCAAAGAGTGGTTGCAAAATATTGGCCTGTTTTTAAAGGGTTAGACTGCCAAAATTTAGCCCCCCCCCGTTGCCTCCAGTCTCACGAATAATAGTAGTACATTTATTTTATGTCAGTGAGCTATGCATTATCCACCTTTGAACCCAAACTCTCACTTAAGCAAGCGTTATGCAAATGTGACCTGTGACCAGAATTTGTCCCTGAGACGTTTCTGGAAAGACAGCAGTTCTTAACCCGAAGTATGACTCAGCCGCAACCACTCAATTCTTTTGATTCAATAAAAGAGTCCATTTGTGGCCTCGGTTTCCAGCAATATCTTTGCCAATTTATGCACACTCTTTCCCAGTAAAAACAGTCTTTCAAATTCCCACAAGAAAACAAACCAGAAGAGGTCTGTCTTTCTGACGCACACACACTTTTTTTTTTTTGTATGTGTGGTTGCAGTGGTTGTCCGAGGCTGGTTCATAACTGAGTTGATGGCTAATTAATGCCCCAGTAGAACTGGACCCCAGGGGAGTGCTGGAGAGACACCCACTGACTTTGACTACCAGAGGACAGAGATTTTCTCACTCCTCTTTCTTGCACCTCTCCCCTCTCTTTGCATCTCATCAGTCCGTCTCTCATCTCACCTTTCTCTCTTTTTCTCCGTCCTCATCTCTTTCACAGCTCATCATTTTCTCCCTTTTTTTCTGACGGCCTGTCAATAATGTGCCATCATTAATCTCACTCCCATCATTAACTCCTCTCCTCTCTCTCTCCTTCAGTTTACTCCGGGCTCATGGTCACAAAGGCAGTGATTACAGAGTTTCTGCTTCATACTCTCCAAGAGAAGCCCTTGAGCTTAACAAAAAAAAAAAAGTCCGACTCCTGCTGGGTTTCTCGGCTAATCATACAACTCACCATCATTAGAGAGAGAAAGAGACTTAGCTATGTGTTTGTTTTTCAGTGCAGGAACTATGGTTCTATTGTAGCTGTGTTACAATCAGTCTCAGCAGCTCACATGCAGGAAAAAAGATTTTATGATGATGAATCGGACTTTGTGTTCCTCCACCAAAGTGTTGGGGTGTGTTTTTATGTGGAGTAGAAAAAGTGATTGAGAATTCCTCCATTCTTATAACTTGAAAGTGTTCACGCCTTTGAACTGTTCCATTAAAGATCTTGTGTATCCTGTTGGAGGCTGAATAAATAGTTTCCATTATATGATAAACAGATGATCGTTTGTAACTATGGGTATAGTTATTGGGGTATATACATACTCTTATAAGGACCTCAGCTGATGTGTGATAAAGTTTCAAGTCGGGCCTCACAACGGTTTTATAGTTATCATGGCTAAAGTCATATAGCAATAAATGTCCAAACCTTGACACGCAGGATGCTCCCCTGTTAGCCACTGGGGGAAGCTCTCTGTAAGATTACTGTACTGCTGTCACACTGTTTTATTGGTGCAGTCAGATGCAAACCAATTATTGACATAAAAACATGCTTAGCTGCATTTATCTGTTTTAAATTTTAGTTCTTTTCAAATTACTATATACATATGGTATGTAACAATATAATATCAGACAAGACTATACAGTGCAGTAGGGGTGGGAGAAAAAATCAATACAGCATAGTATCACAATGTTTTGTCTGGTGATATATTGTGTCATCTCATTAACCAAGTTTCGATTTTTTTCAAATAAATCGCTAATATGAAATCAAATCCATGATAATGGAAAAATAAAAACAACTGTTCGTCCAGTGAGGTTGGTAGAGGTGACATCATAGAGCAGGAGAAAGTTACTGCAATATATATAATTATACATATATATATATATATATATGTGTATATGTATATATATATATGTGTATATGTATATGTATATGTAAGGTTTGCAAGATGTGCTACATGAAAATAAAATACAGCTTAAATAAGACAAACATAAAGGAAAGACAAATGCTAAATTAGCTAAACAGTTGAAAAAATTATATAAATCGCATTTTTGTATCGCAATACTCACTGTATTGCAAAATGTTAAAAATCTCAATAATATCGTATTGTGGGGCCACTAGTGTTTCCCACCCCTTCAGTGCAGTCCAGTTCATCATGCATCACAATGGTTTGATGTAATAAATTACACTTTGTCCCCTTGTGGAAATTTGTCTTGGACTGAAGTACTGCACATGCTCAACTGCATCTATATTGACACGATACGATGATACGATACGATACAACTTCATTTTCAGCTTGCGCTGAAATTTGTCTGGCCTCCATGGCTTTACCGTTCTGGACACAGACAGGACACAGCAGTACATCATAATCATAGTACATTACAAGACAGGACAGTAGACAATAAGGGGACCCATCACAGCATCAGAAAGAGAAAAATAAAAATAAACATATCCTCTGAGTTATTGATTCTGGTTCAAAAGCAGAACGGACATAAAAAAAAATTGAAAAATCAGTTTTTCCCCAAATAGTACAAGCCTAGTTTTAAGTCCAATTCAGAATCAAAACCCAGAAGTCTGTTTGTCATTTCCTGCAGATTTCTTTGACTGAACCCTGGTCTTTATCCGAAGTTCAGCTGCTGCCTCAGATCTAAAAGAGGAGTTGGAGTCCACGTCCCCTAACAAGACTGATGTTATTATAGATAAATGAAAAGCCTAATCTTTGTCCACTGAGGATAATATTTCAATCAAGGTGTTCTGAATCCTGTACTGCCTTTTGTCATACAGTCAGAGCCCGCTCATTCCTAATTGGCCTGTTAAAGTTGGACTAAAATAAGAAGTTACTTGCATTAAAATTGTGTCTGTTACCTGCAGATGTTGCCTTTGTATGCAGATGTATGTTTGCTTTAGCTGCTCAGCACCAAACAGCACATAGTTAATGTGAGTAGCTGGTAGGTGACACATTATTTAGCTGCTAAAAATGCAATATTTCCTTTAAGGGTGTAAGTCAATAATGTGAACAAAGATGATACTTTCCTTAGCTTTCCTTATACAGATACTCTCATTATTTTCCACATAAATACCCTTTGAGATGTGTTTAATTTACAGCAGGATGTAATGCAGGCAGCTCCCCCTGCTCTCAGGTCTGCTTTAACTTGCAGGCTCTGTTCACACTTTCAGATGTCAGAGAACCTGACAGGGAACAGCGCTAATAATGAGGTGATCATTCGTCTCCACTGTTAGAGGTCACCTGCTACTCCTTAGTCTGAGACTCAGGCTGAATCTCTAACATCCATGAGTTGTATTATAAAGTGTTTCTCCCTTCACTTTAGCTGCTTATAACTCTATAAGCACAGAAGTGGCTGGATTTTCATGTAACTGCAGACAGCGAACATACTGCAGCAGGTTAGATAACATCTTAATTAAAACTGAACATTAGCTTCAATCTGTGGCTCCCAAACTGGAGCCCGAGGACCCTCTGTGGTCTTGCACTGGACCTGAGGTAAATGTAGAACAATTGCATTTTCAAATATCTTGCTCCCTCGATGTTGGTCAAATCTACACTTAATGTCACCTTCCAGCTGCAGAGCAGACAGATAATCATATCTAACTGGAGAGAGTCTGCAGGGACCAAAGCTGGCATGCGGTGATTTATCAGGGGATTCTTGACTGGAAAGACAAGTTTTCATTTCAGATTAAAAAAAAAAAAACAATTTTAGTGAAAATAATTCTTAAATTTTTTCAGTGTACAAACACAAGATGCTTCTTGTTTTCTGGAAGTCCTCCATCCGCAGAGATTTGTTAACTGGTTCCAGTTGGACTTGTTGAGGTTCATAAAGAAAGCATGATGAGCTGTTAATCCCACAGTATTCTGATTAACAGTCCGAGCAACAGTGAAGCATTTAGGTGGATAAGAATGAGCTTTATATTGGATCTGCTGTTCTCAGAGCCTGCGCAATGTCAACAAACTAATAATACCATCTAGAGAATTTGAGACACAAGTGGCTCTCAATTTCTTCAACCCAAACAGAAATATTACAAAGTCAGGCTAAGATGCTGGTTTGTTGGGAGTTCATGGTATGAGTATGAAACAAAATAAAGCAATTATTTTCATAAAATGCCTTCCTAATTGAGGATAATGATCTCATTAATTCAGAAAGCAGAGTGAACGCATTACACATCTGCAGATACCCAAGGCTGTGTTCTTTCCCAGATTCAAAGGTAGATTCACAAACAAACAAACAAAACAATTACCTCATTTTACTCAAAGTTGCACATGAACATGCATCACTTTTTAAGACTTGATGGGTGCTGCCAAAGGTCGTGCAGAACAAATGGCAAAAAATTGACCTCTGTTTTCACTGACATGTTTGTTTACTTATTAACCCCGCCCTCCCATCTGTCTCTCTCTTTATCCTTTTTCTCTTCTGTCTCTTTCTTTCTCTCTTTTCCTTGTTTGATTCCTTCTAGCTGGTTCTTTTCTCTGGGAAACTCAACACCATCGCCAGCATCGTGACCATTTTCTTCCTGCTGGTCTACGCTGCTGTGGATTTGGCCTGTCTAGCTCTGGAGTGGGCGTCTGCACCTAATTTCAGGTACTCACACACATTTACACCCTTAAAGCCCCTGGAAATACAGCCTGAAACAAATCAAATTTATACCTGTAATAAAAGTCAAGAGTCTCATTGAACATCTATCGAGAGAAAAAGTAATTAACTGATAATACAAGACCTATTAAAAAACTGCACTTTTACTGGTTGCACTGTGTCTTAAGACTGTGGGGGTGTGGCCAATCAAACCTTGACTGACCCAGCTCTGTATGCAAACCCACTGAGACACTCAGTCTGGGCTGCAGCTGTGCACCCTGTGATGGCTCTTCTTTTGGGGAAGGAAAACACAACAGCCTCCACCCCTAGTTGCATAGATACGGACACAAAAGTTGAGAATAGTTTCCAGGACATCACCTCGTCTTTGGGTACAGACTGCACAGACTGATAGAAAGTTAATGTAGAGAGTTTTCCCAGATTGACAAAGCTGGCACACCAGTATCTCTGCTCATCAGCGCCATCTGAGAGTGTTTTCATCACTGATTGTGACCTGGTTGCGCTCCAAGCTGACACCCAACCAGGTCACAATCAGTTATTTTTCCCTGTGAGAACAAATAGGCAGCAAAGCAGACTCTTGGACTCTGAAATATCTTTCTGTTGGGTTGTTTTGATGCAGTAAATTAGCATTTAACAGCTCAAGTCTACCTCTATATTTATATCGCTTCATTTTTATGCACTGCATGACACATTTCTATATGTTCATGCATTATGTTTGGTAATTGGTAATCAGCAGAGGAAAAGTCTGCCAATATAATTATCAGCCATCAAAAGTGTGTCACATTGAATGTTGTATCCATGACTACATGGGGGTGTTTTGTAGTGTCATAAACAGACAGCAGACATGTTAGTGAATGTCTTGACATATAAAAGAGACTATCTATCAATCATAGTCGAATTAAATGTTGTTTGTCTGGTTTATGTCTGGTTTTAAAATAAACAGACTGTCACAGATAGAGTATCAGGTCAATTCAACTGGAGAAAGTTTGTGTTCTTTACAATAATATGTCATTGCAGTATCAATATTCACCAAAATATTTTTAAAAATATTGGCGTATTAGAGATTGGATAAATTCAGTATCCTGCATCCCTAAATTTGTTGCTGTTGAAAATAAAACAGGTTGTCCCAGATTTTAGTGTTTCATGAATGACAAAAAACAATGGTTATTACAGTAGCCAGACCGGTAGGAAGAAAAAAGATGAAATTGATGATTAATCGTTCATTTATAGGATTAATCGATCAAGGGACTTGATTAAAATGCCCCGTCCTAGTTTGCAGGTTACTGTCCATTACACCAAAAAAGAAATAAAAGAACACAATAAATATCTTGAAAATAAAGGAAACTGAAATTATAAAGCTAAGATTTTATAATGTACTGACAAAAAGCAGAATGAATTTAGTAGATACTTGCCCTGTCTTGAGATTCTCCATAACCTGTTGTACTTGTTCTTCGAGACACACTCTCAAACACAGCTCACCTGTTAGAAGGAAGGCCTCAGATTGACACTCAGCTCTGTGAGTCTCTGTTAGACATTTCCCTCTCTAAACACACTCCTTCTTTCTCTCCTCTGTTTTTCTTCCTCTGTCATTGTTTATGTATCTGTGTACGCAGCTGGTTGTGTGCCAGCTGGATGCTGCTGTGGGGACAGAGTACAAATTAAAAGACATAAAACTGGCCGCTGCTTATAGCCCCATATTGGAGAGGGACCAGCAGTAAAACTGTGAGTTTGTGTTTGTTTTTGTGGGGCTGTGGCCTGAACTGGATGCTCTTGTAACAACGCATGGAGATGCTTAGAGATGTAAATTTACAGTGTTTGTATTTGTGGATGTATATGCGTGGATTGTTTGGACACTTACAATGATCCTGATTTATAAAAGCCCGCTGAAGTCATTTTCACACAACAGTAACACAACCTGAGGACGGAGAGAGTGCAGATAAAGCTCGATGATTACATCATGACATCAACACGGCCGCAGCTTGGCATTCGATTCACTCGGCAAGGTTTTTTTTTACGAGATTTTCCACATTTTCTCTGTGAAGTGTTTATGTCATCTCTCCAAAAATACGCTGTCATCCAAATCTTTCATTTAAAAAAAAAGTTGTTTTTTCTAAAGGTATGCTTTCCCTCGATTAAACTTCTCCACTGGCTGTGAAATACATTTGAACATGACAACTGCTCCACTTTTTATTTGTTATATAGCAGCGACACTGTTTAAACACCATGCATCACTTTATTGTTGTGACAGCCAGCCTCCAGCGGTGCATTTGGTGTTTGGTATTTCTTAACATTTATTGTCTAAAAAAGACATGCGGGTACATCTGCAGTTTCCCAGATCCAGGACATCTCAGTCATAGTTGCTGAATTCAGAACAAAGAATCAGACAGTGTAAACATCTTGTACTTTTCAAAGGCAGAGACAGAAAAAAAGGGGCTTGAAATATTGTTAAAGCTCAGTCAAAGTCTCACTTTTTTCTTTAAATCAGAATCAGAATTACTTTATTAATCCTAAACTGGGAAATTATGGAAAAGCTTCTCAGATTTATTGGTAATGAGTCAAATAATGCCCATTTTTAAACCTTGTATCGAATGTAGAAAATAGGTGATTTTTATAATATATTTGAAGAATGTTAACGAAGAGCCGACATGTATCAGCAACTCACAAACTGCATGATGCAATAAAATAAGGCATGAAAACAAATAAAACCTCTACTGCTGGGATGCTATGCTGCACAGTCACCTATCACAGCACAAATCCTGCCCAGCTTAAGAGACAAGCAAGCTGACACCAAGTATTGATCGAAAGATGATTTTATTCTTTAAAAAATGATTTCTTATTCAGTTCAAAGTGAAAACAGTTGCACCTCCACGGTAAGGCGTTTCTGTAATTCATAGACTTCATATGTTAGTTGTTTCAAGCCAATCAGGATCAATCATTTAACTCAAGCAGCAATAACAAGCATGCATAATGAAGATGTAGTTATGCAGTTTAAACATTAAACTGTCAAACAAAGAGTGAAGGTCAATTTTTATTTATATATATTCTTAATTAATCTGTAATGAACAACCTGAACGTGGCATTTTCAGAACACTCACTGACTTATGGAGTAAGATTCAGACGTATGAAGCCCGTGCTACGCTTTTGGCATATCTTAACAAATAAAACAACTCACACATTTGAAATCATTCGAAAAGAATAATTAAAACTCCAACTGAAAGTTAGAATTTAATTGAATTTTCTGACTTAACTGAGGTAGTTTATAAAAGATATGTATGAAAAGCAGATAATAGGCTTAATGAGGATAAAAAGTGGTGAAATAATGAGTCCTTCTGTATGGATTTTCAGCAAGAATAAAGATTATTCAACTGTGGCACCTTTTCTATTTTCAAAGGCTGGTGTTAATTAAACTTATGCTCTTATATTGATCTACAGCTGCTGGATTGTACTCATAAGAGTAGTATTCACATGCAGAGGGAGAAATAAAACGTCCTCCTGTTTTCTTACCGGTGAGATGAGTCGGTAAAACAAAAGCAGGGAAAGCACAGAGAGTATATGTAATCCGGTTCATGTCACTAAGACTGACCAGTGAAGCAACATTTTGAAAAATTATTAAAAAGTCATTTTTTTCACTGCTTTCCTTTGTGCCAAAATGTCCTTTTTGGCTTCTAACATGACAGTGCAACAGCATGGTGAAAGGATTTCTTTCTTTCCTGAGCTCTGTAGACATGTATTTGTGAGGAATGAGATGAACTCTTGCCATGTTTTGTCTTTGAACTCACCTTTTATGCATATATTTCATTCATAGATTAAGCCCATTAACCAGTGTTTTTTTACATTCAGCCCCATTATTAAGCAAGTCTGTCATTTTAATTGCATTTCTTTTACTGTTAAAAAACAGGAAATAAGCAGGGTAACACCCTCAAAGAGACGGTATAAATAAAAAACAGTAGGTCTTTGGATGTACGGCTTTCATGTTTGCATTGTGTTTCTCTGTGGGAGTTAGGTTATTGGCAGGATGCAAAAGGAAGTGTACATATTTACTTTAAGATGCTCGAAAAAAGAAGAGGAGTGCGATATTTTAGTACGACTGAAAAGGAAGCAGAACATGTTTGGATCTCTGTCACTCGCCTCATATCCAGATACACCTGTTACTGATGTTATAGATGGCTGCACCACATGTAGCAATCACCTTCATTGTTCCCAAAATGTATTATAAACACTAGTCTATACACCATCAAGGTATATTTATGTTACCTTAAGGAAAGAGTTTCTTTTATTACCACCAGACCACCACAGACTTTTAACTATAATCCTAAATCTTAAAGGTATTGAGATATTTGGTTGAAATTGTATTTGGCCGGAGCTGAATTAGATATATTTAGCGGTGTGTGTCTGCTACAGTGGGAGGGACTGAGTTTGCACTGAGAGTTTACTCATTATTGATTTGAGATGATGAATTTCTCAGAAAACGGGCACATCTCGGCTTTTGTGATGATAGAAAAATAAAAGGGGCTGTTTTCAGGTCATAGAACAGCAGTATTAAAGTCTTGATGGTTTAAAAACAGTTGTGCAGCAGGACAGCTGATGGGCTGTGCTGTTAAGTGAGGCATGGTTCATTTTCCTCTGTGTGTGTGCATCAGTGTATGGACTATTCATGCTACGTTTGAACAAGGGCTGCATGATTAATTGATTTTAAATTATAATCAGATTATTTGATTACGACGATGTTAAAAAAAAATTGAATTGCCAAATTGATTTTTTTCTCTATCATGTCTCGTGCCTCCGGGCCACCGTAGGCTTCCCCTTCCTGTGGGAGCGTTCCAAAGTTCCCACACACACCAGTGTAAAGAAACATGGCATTTGCAAAAGAAGGTGATAATTTCATGGCTAAATGGTGCAAGACCAAGTCAGTCCTTCGGCTTCACAGTTTTGGACGAAGCGCAAATCACTTCCCGCTGCAAAGTCTGTCTGAAGGTGGTATCAACCCATCCCGGAACCCGGAAGCGGCATTTCAGTTGACCATAAACGTTACTTTTTGATAATGGAGGAGTCTCCATGTGAATGCCTATCTGCATCTCTCGAAACAATTATATGACACATATGACAGTGTAACTCTTCTATGGCTCCTATGCGTGTCCAGCCAAAACAACCTGTATACGCTCAGTACTCTTCTTCTGTCTTTTGTGGATTTCCTTGGCAGCGTCACATCGCAACTTACTTGCTTGGCATATGCACTACATCATTTTCAGTGGTTTCGTTTTGAGAGATGATAAAATAACATATTATTTTGGTGAAGTTGTCACTAAATAAAAAAAATCTAAATCTAAAATTGAGTTTTCAGAGAAAAAAATCTGGATTTTATTTTTGGCCAAAATCGTGCTGCCCTAGTGTGAATGTGTCAGCCCACACAGCAAAGCTCTGACATACAGATGCCAGAGGAAGCTTTGGCCACATATGACTTGGTACAAACTGCATATTTTTTCCTTCAATAATACAACAGTGTAGACATGTAAGAACACGTACTCTTCAAGTAGCAAATAATCTTCTGAGAACAAATGAAAAATCTGAAGTGATTCCTGAAGGACAGAGCTCAGACTTCAAGCATCTCTGAATACTCTTTCTGCATTTTGTCTAAAAATATTCATTCTGAAGCAAAATCATGTCAGACTATATCTTTACCAGCAACTCTATGACTTAATACACCAAAATACTCACCATAATCAGCACAATATTGATTAAGATAAGATATATTTTCTCTGAAGGAGGTATTTTAAAGTTCCCCATTTTTTTGACAATTATTCATTAAACATTTGCTGATTTCAGGTTTATAATCTGAATTTTAAATCTTTAGTTATCTTTCATATTGAGCAGGTAATGAGGGTCATATTCACCAAATGGGTATGTCCTGCAAACACTGTGGATGTGTGTGAAACAGCTCTCATTTCCGGATTATGCTAGGAGCTTTTTTAACCACCACCTTGATGAGATGGTTCTTCAAAGCTTCTGCAGAGTTGGTCAATGTTTTCTTTTGTTATTTTGTCAAATAATGAGACAAAACTGCCCAAGGCTTGGGCGCCTGTTTGGCCCTGTGGTAAAGTGATGTACTCCGAACACAGAGGCTAAAGCGGTTGGCCATTTCTTACGTGTGATTTCCAACTCCCTTTCCACTGTTCCCTGCTCTGTCCATCATGCTTTCTTCTCAGTAAAGGCCTAAAAGCCCCAAATAAACTTTGATAAAGGAAATAAAATGTACAAGGCTGCTCAGAGGGGCTCCAAATGGAGAACTTTGAGATTTGTTTTGCTCGCTCGAATCATTCAAGGTCTGAGAATGAAAACAGTGAGCTGCAGATGAGTTTGATAATTCCTCATTGAAATGTTTTGATTACAGCTGCCACAAGAGTGCACTATCAGCATCAGAGTCCAGAGTTCGGCGTATTCATTGTTAGGAGTTTGTTGTTGAAGAGAGAGTGCAGAACTTTTCCTGCTGCAAACTCTGAGTTCCCAGTGTTTCCTCTGGTGTCCTCCTCCTCGTATAGCAGTGTGTGCTATCAGCTCTGGCCTTGTTATCACTGCGTGACCGCTGGCAAAGGCTACAGGACACAAAGTTAGCAGCAAAACTTTTCCCACCGTTGATCTGTCCTCGCTCTGTCAGCAGGGGGGGGACTCAGGGGCCCTGGAGCTGATAAGACGGCTTTTTAGTCCGGCTTGCTGCCTGTACTGGGCCTCCTTCGTCTTCCCCTGAGTTTGTTAATTCTGCTACTTCATTGTGGCTGTGTCACCGGGCGAATTTTAACTCGGGTTGTTTGTTGTGCTTTATTTATTTATTTCTCCGGCTCTGTGTTTCTTTCACTCCGCTCTCCGCCTGGCTCTCTCCCACGTCTCTTTCCAGGCAAAAAGAATTAAAAGCCATTTAGCGCCGTCTCTCCCCCTGAGAACTGCTCTGTAATTAGCATAACTAATTTAGCAGAAATATTTCCCTTTCTCGAAAATTTGCTGTTGTGTAGGAGAGGGGAGGGATGAAATTATGATGTAGCGGAAAAGATGTCTGCTTAAGTGTGTGTGCGTGTTCGCATATGAAAGCATACAACAGAAGTGTGAAGGTATGCAATTTAAAATAGTGTTTGTTTGTCTGGAATCCAAGTCACGCTGTGTGTTTTCTCTGATTACTGATGTGCGAGTGCATCTGCCTCTTGGTCTATCTCGATGTGTGTGTGTGCCTGCGAGTAAGTATTATCCCTCATTTGTGTGTGTTTGCAGTTTTATCTCAGTGTGTGTGCTTTGTGTAAGGAGACTTCTGTTGGCTGCAGCTTTATCAGTGGTGACTCCAGCTGTGCGCAAGTGTTCCTCTGGGGGTGCTCTGTGTCCTGCTGCTGATGCCATACTATCACCAGCCTCTTGGTCTCGCAGCTTAAGCACGCATGAACACACATGTGCACACACACATTTGTGTAGCATGGTGCAGGGTCACTGGACAGGATCCAGGACTCAACTGAGCACCCCGCTCTGATGCCAAAGGATGTTTGCAGGAAGCAGTGGGCTCAGTCACACACAGGCGACGACCTTCAGTCAAAGTGTTCAGCTCAGAAAAAAAAAAAAAAACTGGCAGCTTTACAGAAACACACATTTGACACTTTTTACTTTCACCAGCTTGGTGCCATCTGAGGTCCAAATTACAGTCACTTTTTCTGGTGCATCCATGATTGTGTCAGTAATAATCTGGGTGAACTGACCAGCTGAACCATTAGCTCCAAAACAAAAACACAGTCTGCACGGCCTGTCCTTACTCCAAATAAAAGTCACACTGCTTTGACAGATTGGCCAGTGTAAAACAATCCAGATGGATCATCAGCTGTGTATGGATGCGTTAGAGAAAAAGGGTAGTTAGAGACTCATTATCTTTTAATGGAGGGTTATGACTTTATGAGGGTTGTGAATGAAGGTGCATGCTTCAGCTCTCAAAGGCCATCTTTCACTCTGTCCTGTGCAGATACTAACTCGGTTTCATTTGTCTCTGTTAGATATTAGCACTTTTTGGGGAATCCTAAGCTGGATAGCTAATGTCGTATTTCTCCCAGGCTGCCATCTCTGGTCTGGAGCAATGAAGCAGATGCCGAAGTGTTAAAAACTGCAGTTCCCCGAGTGCCCACTTGTTGCTGGCTTTCTCCAAAACAGTGTTTTAGCTAGTGGGCCAAGACCCAAGGTGTTCCAGAGTCTTATTTTGGTAGGTTGTGATGTGGTGTTATGTGTCTGATAGATGCATATACAACATATACAAGATACACAATAAAGATATACAACATGGTCTTGCGGTGTTACCAATAGAGATGGGTGATATGAGCTCAAAAATTTATCACAATAAGATTTGCCATTCTGGCGATAACTAATTAAAGTGCTGATAAGAAATATTATAATTTTGACTCATTTTGCCTTGAGAACACCAGTTGGAATAGTCAAATAAGATACTTAACCACAAGTTTAGTGGTAGGTTATGTAATGACAACAAATCTAAAATGTGAAAACGTCTTCAACATTTGTTTAAAGCTCTTATTACACAGAGTAAACAGCAGCAGATCCACTGTCCGATGTCAGGCATACCTAATTGCGCTCATCTAAACCCCATGCTTGAAGGAAATCCCTCATGTGGATCCTCGTTCAGTAACGAGCTGCTCAGAAACGTCTTCTTCATTACCTTCAGCCATGTTTGTTATTCTGCTCAGTGTGGGCTTTGGCTGTGAGTCCATCGCTTGTGTTTATGTCAACAACTTTTATTTATCGTATTTATCATGAGATGGCAAATATTTATCTTAGGGGATTTTTCTGATGATTTATCGTGAATGATAATTTATCGCCCATCCCTAGCTGCCAACAACCTCCAGTGTAAAACCTCTTTTGCAACATACAGGTAAAAAAATAAAAACAAACAAGCTTTAAAAACACAAAGATGGCTATATCAAGAAATCCACTTATACAGATGAGAAGAGGGTGGTATACTACATGAGCTACCTGAGGTTGTTCCCATCATGCAGCTGTGTTTAGAGGTGATCTGATTATGGTTTGATACCAGACTGATCAGGGGCGATCCTAAGTGGTTTCTTGAACCAGCCCAGTCTCCACTGGTGTTGTGCCAGCATCAGGACTGCCTGACGTAGCGTCTCATACACTCACTGACCTCTCACTTATAGAACCTCCTCCTTACTGCTGGCAGCTCTCTTGAAAGAGTGTGTGTTTGTGTGTGTGTGTATTTGTGTATCTGTGTGTGAGGCTAAAGTTTCTGTCCCCACTTCCTAAATCATGACGTGATTTTTTTGGCTTAACGCCGGGTCTCCTCCCTCCGTCTGTGTCGCTCTCTGTTTCTTTTTCTTAATGTCTCTAAGGACTTGATTGGCGGCGATTATTTCATGCTGCTTTTGCTTCGTCAGCTAAGTGACATCAGTCGAGACGGGAGAATAGGCGAGAGCGAGGTGACTCTGCAGAGGGACCGCCCCCGCTGAAGACGGAGGGGCAGTAGAGACAAAAGCGATAGGTGGGGGGCGGCAGGCCTGGTGGGCGAGCTTTTATCATAATTACAGCCCCTCTCCAGTGGGATGGAGAGGGGGAGAGGATGAGAGTTGTGGGCACCGGCGATACTGAGAGATCAAGTCCAAAAGAAATAAAGAGAGGAAAATTTAAAGACAGCAGGCCAGCGGCGTAAAACAGTGAGGCTGGGGAAGGGCTGATAAGTCAGGATGAAATAGTCGACCACTTATGGAATGACGAAGCTTCCTGCTGAGTTTGAACAAGCCCATGTCTCAGTGGAGAGATGGTTCTTCTGTTCTGTGGGAGGATTTTACTCTACAGCCTCAGTAACGCTGGTCATTAAAACTCATGATGAAACCTGCCTGACTCTGGCCTAAAAGCTGCTGACTGTAGCCAGCATTAGAGACCTTAACCAATCAGATTGGACTGCTCAATGAAGCTTTGAGTCTTTTTTTCTTTTTACAAGGTTAGTGAGACATTTTCAGCGTCTCATCAGATGGTGTTTTTTGGTTTGGTTTCTTTGGACACTGTGTTTGTGAGTTGATATTTATTTTTCCTTGAAGTAAAAGTAAATGACTCCGTTGCCAAAAAAGACCTGCAGGATTTAGAAGTGAAAAGTTTAGGAAGTCTGATTATATTTCAAGTTTTTAGATTTTTACACCTGTCTGATTCTGTTATCTTTACAATAACATGTTAATATTTACTGAGTGTCTTCCATGGTGTACGTTGAACAGCATGTGCAGGCTGAGGCTGGAGGGGGCAGTTTTGGAAGGGCCCAGTGTATCAGCTGAGGAGCAGACTGATGTTGAACTTCTCCACTCTGTGTTTTGATCAGTTTTAATCACTGGATCTGTTTGTTTTTAGAGAGTTGAAGACCTCTCCGAAAACAGTCTGGTGGGAAAACTTGGAGAACATAAACTGCATAGATTGTGTAACACCTCCATGTAGGCTCTACTTTTTGAAGCAGGCTTTTGATGCCTATTGGCTGTGGTCGCCATATTGGAAATACTCAAGTTATCTTTTGGTCAACCTAACAAAGAAAAGAGGCAGAATTGAGGCGAGCTGTGCCTCGAATGAGGCCAAACTTGACCTCAGAATATTCAAAGCTATTGAGTCATAAAAAAACTGTCAACTATGAGCTATTCAGACTAGGGGTGTCCCGTTACAACTTTTTGACTTCTGATATTATACCGATATTGTAGCCTTTAATATTGACTGATACCGATATTGGTCCGATATTGGCACAAACTTGTGCATGACAAGTGTTTAACTCAGCTGCAATGTCTTTTCTTTAAACAAAAAATACTTCCACAGGGCCAACATCACTCTTACTCTTTGCTACTTTGTTAGTACCTTAGTACACACTGTTGTTGTGATTACGTGGACTCAGCTTGCTGGATAAGAGTGCTGCTAGATAGAGGTGCCTGGGATTGGACTGCTTGTATTGAAGTACTGATATCTGAGATTTTAGATGCAGGCCGATACAATCTGATATATTAATTTTTTTGCTGATATCGGAGCAGTATCTGATATCAATATTGTATCGGGACACCCCTAATTCAGACCATAGACCTGTTGGGCTCTTTAGACTGGATAAAGAGGTTTTTGGAGCGGCATCAAAGGACTGCAGCTTTTGGGGCTTCCTGTTTTAACATAAGACTTTGTTGATAACACCTTGGGGCCATCATGACAGGGTTTGTATGAACCACTAATCCTGTCATGCACTTTCTTATTGTGCTTTTTCAAACTATTTTCTTCACAGGGCTTTCCTTCTCTGTAAGAGTTTGTTTCTTTCAAATCCATGTGCCTTAAAATAATCTCATAAACTCAGGATCAACAAGCCACAGATTCCCTTTATTTACATCTGTATTCTCCACACAGCAGGCCCATGGTGCCCAACCCTGCTGATGTAGTGCTGTTTTTTATGCCAAAGGATACCAGAGGGACAAGAGAGGTAAAATTGCTCATTTCTGAGCTTGATGTTCAGAAAGCACAACTTCAGCAACATTATGATTCTTACTCTCAGTCCCTTTTATTGAGGTGATATAAAAAAACATCAAACACCTGGACTTGAACACAGCCATGGAAAATAAGCTCCAGTGATCATAAAGAGAAATATTTTGCTCTCGGTACATCTGATGAATACTTGTAGACCAGAAGGCACAGAAGTAGTTTTTTTTTTAGCTCCAGTGAGAAGAAACTTTTGATTTGTGTTCATTTCCCCCCCTTTTGTAAATAAAGCCGAACCTCTTAGTTTGACTGATCCTGCCCTTCATGTTTGTAGGTGACGTTTTCTGACAAACTGTTTCACCCTGCTTTCTTTTAACAATGAAACATGTCACTGGTTTTAAACATTTTAAAAAGCTTTTTTAATTAAGCCAATCGCCATGGTCTCACACCTCCCCTCATCTCAACGGTTACAGGTATTCAAAGTCTAAGAATACAAATAGTCAATATTGTCGTCATTTGCTATTATAGGTCATAAAGACGCATCACTGTTGATTTCAGTCTGTTTCATAACCACTTAAAACTTCCTCTCAGGAGCTGTTAAAATTCACTCTGTGTATTCCATCACCGTAAACTGCTGTCCCATTTTTCAGACACTCTTTGTTTCTAATGTGCCACAGTCTGTATAAAGAAGTAGACTTGACCTACCGTGAGATTAAACTAGTGAACAAGATCAGGCGGTCATCATGAAAAATTCACTGTGTTAAATATTGAAGTGTGAAGGAGGGTCATTTTCCACAGACCTCCATGATCATTCCTGCTGCATTCACCTCAGTACGAATACAGATTCAAAGCAGCATCTTCAGTGTTTAAAACCTGAGAGGCTTCTGGTTTTCTGTCTGTTTAGTGTTTTCATCTAAAACAGTGATATCAGTATGCATGCATTCGTCAGGCTTCCCTAACAAGTCTTTCAAGAGTCTTCAGCTGGTCCAAAATTCTGCAGCTCGAGAAAGAACAGAACCATCAGAAGGGAGTATATCACCCCTGTATCAGCTTCTCTACACCGGCTTCCCATTAAATTTAGGGCAGAATTTAAAATTCTTCCTTTTACTAACAAAGCTCTTCATGGTCAGGCACCTTGATATTTAAAAGTTCCCTTTTACTCCTCCAGAACAATGCCATCGAAACATGCAGGACTGCTCATCGTACCTTAAGTCCCTAAAAGTGGTCTGGGTGGTAGAGTGTTCAGTGATCAGGCCCCTCTCCTCTGGAATCATCTACCAGTGGAGGTGCAGAGGGGCAGACACCTTCTCCACTGTTAGGAGTAGACCTAAAACTTCTCTTTTTGATATAGCTCACAGTTAGAGCTGGTTCAGGTCTGGGCCAGCTCTTAGTTATGCTGCTACAGGTTTAGACTGCAGAGGGAACTGGCAAATTGAGCAACTTTCTCTCCTTCTGTCTGTGTCATTAACTTTGAATCATCATGTCCCATTAGAGTTACTAACACAGTCTTTTCTGGGTGTCCCTGAGCTCCATCATGCTGTAGCTTCCTCTGGATCACTGCCGCCGATGTTTTGCTGCCATGGATCTGTCTGCTTTCCAGCTGCATCAGTCTCACCTCTGTCTGTCTCTCTCTTTCTTCATCCCCTCTCTAAACCCAGTGCAGTAGCAGCAGATGACTGTCTAACATGAGTTTCGTTCTCCTCAAGCCTTCTGCCTGTTAAAATGAAGTTTTTCCTCTTTAAATTAATGTTACCTACAACCTTTACCTTACAAGCCTTACAGTGAGCACAGTGCAATAGTGTACCATTTTTCAGTCTTTAAGCCAGCCTCTCTGAAACTGTCTTTGCCGCCCGAACATCCACTTGTCACATTTCTGTAACATTACGCGACCTAGAAAAGAAACCCCTCCGGCATTTCCTTCATCTTCCTTCTTCAGATTTCATGCTAGTTCACTTCCTGTGGTGGAAAATGATTCGCACCACAGGCTGATATTAAAACCAAAAATCAGCATTGATAATTATGAATGTTCAGCTGATGTGTGATTAGTTTTGAGAGCTCTGGATTGAATGGAACGGTGGTTCACTCTTGACTGATTTCATAACACTGCGACTCATGGCAGACATAACTAATCAAGCACTGGTCACTGTATCAGGGAACAGTTTATAGAGAAATGAAGAAAAAAGTTCGCTCCACTGATGCAAATACTCTTGTGACCAAAGCAGACTTTTCCACCCCTCTTAAAAAGTCTGAGGGTTATTTTATCTCTTTAGTAAGCCAGCCAGTTATTGGAGCTGCTTTGTGTAATTACAGCTTGGACTAATTTAATGGCTGTTTATTCTAAATGCTGCCGTTATTATAAGGAAATTGGGATCAATTACATGATCCTCCAAATGCGAGAGTGCCTCTATTGAGTCTGTACTTATATCTGTGCATTAAAACAACCACCACTTTCAATTGTATATAAATGAGAGTGATGCTAACCAACACTGAATTTAAAGGTGTCTGCAGGTTATTATATATGTATGCTGTTTGCTTTAATTGCTCTTGTCACTACATTTACTCCACATTTAATTTGATACTGCAGTGAAGTCTTGCATTTGGAAGTGGTTCTGTAGGTGTGTGAGAGTTTGGGGAATGTGAGAGGCAGTCATTACGGCTGGTTTAAGACTGATATTGAGATTTCACTTAGGGATCAGTCTGAACTTTTTAAAGTGGTTTCTGAATAACTCCAGCACAAATTGAATTGTTGAAAAGAGAATTCATTTAGAAACTTTCATAAAAATATGATAACTTCATTAGTATTCAAATTAAATGAAACCCTCTTGTTGCCGGTATTTATGTCCACTTCTCTGAGTGTTTCTGCATGGATGACATTGGATGTTATTCACACTTTCATTCTCCTTGGCTTCTCTCTTTTTTAAACTTTTTTAGGATTTAGTGTTGATTTGGGCTCCACAGTGCAGACAAGCTAGTAACTAGTAACGTGCATCACTGAATTGAGTGAGTTGCAAGAGAATATGCGGCCATTGGAAGAGAGTGTTTAAGTCCCACTCTGATCGAATCTTTTTTAAATTTAATTTTTAAAAAATTTATTTATCGGTGGTCTTTATATTGTGATTATGAAGCTTTGAGCAAAATCACGTTACCTGTGTCATTCTCAAGGGCTTTTCGTCTACGGAGTTCCAGTAGCTCATTAGCAATTCACCTCTGAGTTGTAGGCAGAGACAGCGCTGCTCTGCACACTCCTCTTCACATTAGCTTACAGCCTAACATTGCAGGTGTAGTAGAAGTAGCAGGTGACATAGGAACTATTCAGCTCTCGGACACTAGTCTTTGGGGGAATAATGAAAGTTAATATCATAATGAGCTTTTTTATGAGCATTGCAATTTGCTAATGCACAGCCTGTTCGGCGATCATCCTCTCTACTTCTCGGAGTCTGGCCTGCAGAGCGGGGCGGCAGGGGCGCGGCTTGAAGTTGTGACATAGAAAATCCCACCGTGTCTGATCCTGCTGTTTGGGTCTGCCAGAGATTCACTGTGATTTGAATGAAGAAATACTTAGAAATACAATTTTGCTTTTACTTTTCTCATGATCTGTCCTGTAGCATGTGAGTGGGTCTTAAAGGAAATCATGTCAGGTTATAAAATCTTGCTAGACAGGTATCAGCACATTTATGCTCGCTCAAAGCTTTCGTTAAGCTTCTACAGAAACAGCTGGCTGATGCCACTGAGGTTTAACCATGTTTTATACAGCCCATATGTTTAACAAGAAGAGACAGTTTCAGTCTGAACAAGAGCATCAGCCTTAAGCAACTGGAATAGACAAAAAGTTTGGACATTTGACAAAACTATGATAGCAAAGCTGGAAAAGTATTCAATGGTAGTAACCAATGGTATGGATGCAGACGTATGACAGTCTTTTCTTTCTGACTGATGTTGTTGTCAGAGAATGTCAAAATATTACAGAAAAAAGAGAACTTTCATTTCCCAAAGCTACTTTTTCAATGTTTACTGTCCAACAGAAAAACTCAAATACACAGACTATCTGAACTGTCAGATTAAGAGCAGAAAATGTTCACATTCAATATTCAATGTTAAAAACTGAATAAACTGCCCTTTCTTAACTACTGAATTTCCCTTCAGGGATAAGTAAAGTTATTCTTATTCTGCTTGAAAAGTGACTAAAACAATGAATAACTTCTGTTTCATTTTGATTGGTCAGGCTTTTGAACAGTGCAGTACATTTGACATCAGTAATTACCTTCGAGTAGAACAGAGGGGAGTTCTAAAAACAAAGTTTGGTTTGAACTTTGTAAGTCCAGTAGTTTTTTTATTTTTACAGTCTTATACCACAGTCATGTTGTACCTAACCACTTCTAACTTTGAATTTCACATTTTTCCTTCTACACATTTTTAAACAAAGCACTCATAATAACGTGACGCTACTTTCAGGATTTGATTCCTGTCAGGGTTTAGAAGCATCTGGAAGAGTGATTCGGACCATCAGGGGACAGTGAAACTCTCCTGTCAAACCCAGACTTATGAAAATCTTTCATGGGTGTAGGTGGTATTAAAAAGATTGACTCACCCTTGGTAAAAGTTGGTTCACTTTCCAGATGGCTCAGTTGCTCTTATGAAATTCCTCTTCTTCGCTTTTTTCGTGAAAGATAAAATTGTAAATAAACACAAGGCCCTTATTTGCTTGCTCATCATTAGCTCTAGAGAGCTTTTATATACTCTACAGATCATTCAGGAATAAATTCATTCTTGGTTATTACAGATTTATAAAATAAAAAGTTGAAAAATTGAATCCTTAATAAGGTAGGATAAGGAAGATCTTTCATCACAGAATCTGGACCGTCTTAATTTGGAAACCAGGTTCTCTGATATGCCCCGTGTACCTACAGTATGTGTGGCATTTTTAAAAGCTTGCATTGTGAATAAAGTTATATAAGTTTCATGTTAGTTTTGTGAAATTAATTTTCCCCTTACTGAATTAACACCTGAAGTTATCTGCCTGTCCATAAGGCACGTTGATATTTCTGTGCCATTAAAATGTAAAACAGACTAAGTGTCAAACTTTTGTCCTCTTAAAGAACTAAAAGGGATCAGACTGTGCAGAAGATCAAACATGATACAGATGGGAAAAAAAAAAAAAAATCTGTGCTGCTGTCTGACAATGGGCTGGATAGCGTGAGAATAATGTCAGTAAGTAGTAATACTCTGACTAAAGATATATTTCCATGCCCTTGCCAGACTTTAATAATTCAGCATGAAATTCCTCTTTCATTAGCTTATGTAACCCCAGTGCAGGGATAACCCCAGCAGGAGAAATTTCATTTCATTCTGGTCATCTCCCCGCTGAAGTCCTCTGTGGTTTGGGAAATTTAACTCAGTCTAAGAACGAAGATTTAGGAGATTCCTCTTTAAGATGTGTTTGATGGGAGCTTGTAGCCACCAGGGGATTTTCTTACCTTCTTTAAAAAAAAAAAAAAACAGAGGAACAACACACTTTCAGCAGACGTGTGATCACAGGAAACTTACGCATGCTTGAAAATATGTGAAAACTGTCATTGATCTTTCAAGACTGCATCAGGAAGTCTTTCTCTCCACTATAAGGCTACCTTCACACTGCAGGTTATGATACACAATTTGGATTTTTTGTTAAATCTGATCTTTTTGTGCGGTTGTTCACATCACAACACCGAATGAGGCATCCTAATAAGAACGGAATGCGTCTGTGAAGTGACCCGCATGCACACAAAGCACAAATTGGTTTCAGCGCCTGTTTGTGTTGTCGAACAATGGTGACGTTTGTCGCATATTGATGATGTATAGGTCGGATGAATGCGACCTGAGTGTTCACACTGCAGTCACATCGGATACATATCTGATTTAGATCCACTTACAATAGAGGCCTGAGTCGGATTTTACAAAATCAGAATTGCACTGTTCACACTTACATGAAAAAATCTGATATGTGTCACATATGGTAAAAAATCAAAATTAACCTGCAGTTTGAACATACCCTTATTTTCAATGAATTCTGCTTAATTCCATACCAGTTTGTCTCACACTTTGCATTTGTTGTCGCTATTGTGTTTGAGATTTACGGAAAGGTTTGGAGGCAAACTTGGCTCACTGGTTTAGTTTAATCAAGTTTTACTTTCTTTTGGGTTCAAGACACTGGGAGATACTCCTTTCTTTAAGTCCAAAAGATGGAATCTTCATAAATTTGTTTACTTTGCGCAGGCATCTCAGGATGTGCATACCTTATGTTTAACTTATAACATCCCATTGTCGAAGTTATCTAGGAGCGGGAGAGTCCACTGATTTTGGCGGTTAACTTTATCTGATTGCATGAGATTTTCACAGGATTTTGAAGTATCTTGCTTAGTCAGGAAAAAAACATTGTCTGAAAAACAGAAAGACGAAAAAGAATAGTACGAAAAACAGAAAAAAATCACATGAAAAACAGAAAGAGAGGAAAAAATATTACGACAAAAAACAGAATAAAAAAAGATTGCGTAAAGATTTGTTAAAATGTCAAAATAAAAAATTTGTTGGTATTTTTCAGGATACTTTTTTAATCCTATTGAACAAATGTGTATTCATCTGGCACTCTGGACATAAATGTACATCATTTTCATGAAATGAAACTCTGTTAAAACGTGTCAATATGCTGATTCATTAGGACTCTACTTGCCTTTAAATTGAATTGTAAAGTTGATTTGTCACTTGAAAAAAAATTCTTGCCTCAAAGAAAAAAAATTCTGTTTGTTGAGAAAGAGGCTAACCAATTTGTAGAGATCAGATTCAGATTCACTTTTCAGCACCACAGTGTGATGAGCAATACCAGGTAAAGTGATGATCATCTCATGGCAACGTTCAACAGAGAAATACTTTGATAGTATTAACATTTTTGGTTTTGAGTACATAATTGAGGGCTCCATTGATCTGTTATGATTTTCTTATACCATAAATATACAGTACGTTGCAAAAGTTGAAAAAAACACCAGTTTCTTTAGCTGTAGAGCAGCCCTATTTCTAGCAATTCCATCATAAGTTCCTTAAAGCAGAAAGAGTCATTTGGTTTTTGAATGTGATTCTGTCTCTCTGTCTCTACAGATGTTTTTTCCCTGATCTTTTTGTTCACCGAACTATAAAGAAAAGAAAAGAAAGTTAGAGAAATACTAAGGCTTGTATCCTTATTCTGACCTCCCCACCTCTCCTCTTGTCTCCCTCAGGCCCACCTTCCGTTACTTCACCTGGCACACCTGCGTGTTGGGCATAGTGGGCTGCGCTGTCATGATGTTCCTGATCAATGCCATCTACGCCTCAGCCAGCATCGCCTTCATGCTGCTGCTGCTCCTGGTGATTCACTACCTCAGTCCCACGTCCAGCTGGGGCTACATCAGCCAGGCTCTCATTTTCCACCAGGTCTGACACACACAAATACACACATACAAACACACACTCAGACGTACAATCTCAATACTGCATTGTCATTACCAGAGCAACTAAAATCTCATCCCCTCAGCTTTACAAGAGCCTGTTCCTCTGCCAAGCAATCGTTCCATCAGGTTTATAGAGACATGCAGACACACACACACACACACACACACACACACACACACACACACACACCAGCAGACAGACAGACTGATGTTTGCTGCCTCTCCCTCAGCCAAACCCCCTGCGTTTAGCGCACAAACACACACACATTTCCCTCTCTGTCTTTTTTTGCCTGTGCATAAACACTACACTGCCTGCTTGTTCCTACAGCAGCTATCTATCATGTTTATATCAGGTTTACCAGACACACACACAAACACATCTGCATCTTTTCCCTCAGCACAGCTCTCGACATTCATCATACACACACACACACACAGACCCACACATACAAATCCACAGAGCTTTACATCATCCAGCGCTCCGTGTCCTCTATCTGGCGAGCCTGTTGCTCTCAAGGAGAGAGGGCACTGTTGCCAGAAGGGCCCGCTGCCGAGGGGATCGGCTGCCAAGGCTGCGGGCAGGGGTTGTGGGCAGGGAGGGTGGTGAGGGTGGCTGGGTTTGCCAGCAGCTTGTCAGGAGGCAGAACATTATTACAACCACTTAACTTATTGAGCTTTCCCTCCTCATCCGCCCTTCCTCTTTTCCTTCTCTAATCCTGTTTTTCTTCTGGTGTTTCTCTGAACCCAAAGCTGAAAGAGTGGCACAGAGAGCCACAGCCCCCGCTCTTGAATCTGATTGGTCAGCCTCTCCTTTCAGCGACAGAAGGTGATAGGTAAAGAGAAGGTCAGACAATATCCCGAGGATGTAGTTCTGGGTGTTCTGAGATGGGTAAAATTTAATATAAAACCCATCCAATAGTAAAACATCTTGCTGAGAAATCAATGATGAAATATTTAAAAGATGCCTGTTTGGCCTCAGGGAAAGGGCATGAAGCCGTGATCCCAGCCTATCATCAGAAAGTAATGAGGAGTCGGCTTATTAGTATCATGGATAGATTAGAAGCCAAGGGGCACCCAGACCAGACCCCGAGTATAAGTGACTGTTAACATTTACTGTTCGAAAGACCATCAGTTTCCTGAAATGAGACACTAAAGAAAACCAAGATAACTGGAAACATTACAGAGAGGAGCACAAAGGGAAAGGAGAGGCAAAACAACAACTAGAATATCAAATTGGTGGACATAAGGACAAGAACTTACAAAAAGGGAGCACAAAATGAACACAAAGAGTTCCCAAAATACAAAAACATATAAATAACAAGAGAAACGGACACAAAAACACTCAGAATTATCACGAAGTGGATCACAAAATAGGAAAAACTCACTTCAAGGTTGTTCACAAAGACTCTGGAAGAAACTGAAAGCAACCGCAAAGAGAAGCATATCAACCATAGCATCATAAAATACAATTAAGGGACACAAAAGACTACTTAGTGAGCCCAAAGTCCACAGTATCAGCAAAGAGATCACAAAGAGAATTCACCACAAAAACACAGCAAAGTCCTGCAAATTACTGCAAAATGCAAGATGAGGTCAAGAAGATACATGAGGACCAACAAGGGAGGCCAAGAGAGCACAAACAGGCTGCACGATGACAAAATCTATGTAGATCTAGATAACTGTACTATAAGACTGTCTGACAGAGCACACATCTTTAGGTGCATTAAAGCTAAGTTTGTACAAACTCGCACAAAGAAATCTAGAATTATTACAGCTCTAAAAAGTTCAGTTTTGTCACCACAAAGTGATTGAAGATGATTTTAAGAAGGTATACAAGTTCCAATTGGGAAGCATGAAGAAATAAAGAACAACCTTTTAGCGCTGTTTGTATTCATGTGAGTACAGATAACTCGATATAAAAACTTGGGGTGTCCCGATACAATATTGATATCAGATATAAGTCTGATATCAGCAAAAAAACTAATATCGGATTATATCGGCCTGCGTCTAAAATCTATATCAGCACTCCTATACAAGCAGTCAATTCCAGACTCCACTCCAGCACCTCAAGCTAGCAGCACCCTGATCCAACATGCAGAGCCCACGTGATCACAACAACAGAGTGAACTAAGATACTAACTAAGTAGCAAAGGGGTAAGAGTGATGTTGGCCTTATGGCAGTGTTTTTGTTTAAGTCTGAAAAAGACGTTGCAGCTGAGTGAAAATCTTGTCATGTACGATTGTGTGCCAATATTGGTATCAGTCAGTATTGAAGGCTATAATATTGGTATCGTATAACAAGTCAAAAAGCTGTGTCGGGACACCCCTAATAAAAACCCATCAGCAGCTACTAGAAGTTTAGAAAATGTGCCAAAAAAAAACTCTGAGTTTCATGGAGACACAAAATTAAAATAGAGTGCTGATTAAATAAAAGTCACTACAAGAATATCCACAAGGACCAAAAGACAGACAAGAGCAAGAAAAGATGAAAACAGCCATAAAGACTTGAAGCAAATGAGTCAATGGCAAATTATACAAAAGCCCCTAATAGAGAAAAAAAAAACTCCACAGAGCAATGCAAAACCACTGTGTGGAAACGCACAAGAATCAAAACAGCTGTAAGTAGACAAAAAGAGAAGCAAAATGATCATAAAGAGACAGAAGATGGTTTTAAAGCGATACAAATACCAACTCAGAGACACAAAAGGTACACACAGGGGAGCACACAAAGACACAAAATGACCACAAACACTCCTGTAGAAGTGAAACCTCAACTACCTGGCATGGATCCCAGTCCTGTTAAAAGGATTAGGCTAATTGGTCTAGCAGGAGACTTCAAGTGTGTTCACATGTACATATCTGTAGCATGTCTTCCTCTCCTTTTCCCTAAAGCACAAGCATGTGTGGCAGGGCGCCAACTGGGTGACATTGAAGCAGAGACGAGAGACACAGTCGCTCACACAAAAATAAAACACACTGAGAGATAACGGGCGGCTGACAACAGTGTTTATGAGAAAAAGCGAAGGAAGGGAAAGACGAACCAAGGCAAAGAACGCTGATGGTATCATGGCAGGGAAAGATACGGGCAGGCAGAGGGGATGAGTGATGGAGAAACTAAGTGATGGATGAGAGTGACGCGACGGAGAAATGATGATAGCCTGATGGATGAGAAGACGGGGAAATGGCGAGATAAAGAGAGACAGATGATTAGATGAGTGGAGGCAGTTGGACGAAGCCTCTGAGGCCTCGTTTTCTTGGTTTTTATGGCAATTACGGAACGAGAGCATGAAAACGGTTATGGCGATTATCGCGGCATCAATGCTAGAAATGGCTGCATCTTCACTTTTGATTGATGGCTGTTTAAACACACGTGAACCCTCTGCAGCCCCAGGACATTGACCCAAATTTGAATTGGTTGAGACGTTCATTACTCGTATGATTTTTCTCATTCTTTATGGGCTAGAAAATGCAGCATGAAAAACAGTCACCGTTTTATAGTATAAAGAGTCGAAGTGAGAACAGATTAAAAGAGTTATGGTTTCCATTCAGTACTCAAAGAACTGAATCTGGCTGTTAGACCAACAAATTTCACATGTGGGACATGTTTCCCCTGAGCTAATGGTCATTAATTCCCTTTACGGTTGAAACGGAGAGATAATCATTCCTGGGACAGCGTAGGTTTGGATTTAATGTTTGGTTCCTCCTGATTACACACCTATAATGGTACCTTGATGTCGACTCATCTAAGCTCTAACAGAATCATAATGATGGCTCTGTCAGAGCGTGCACTGCAACGTACACTCTACAGATGGGCATGTTTTTAATGTATATGGAACAGGTTTAATGGCCCTTACTGTATTAGCACACATGCTCAAGTGTGCACAGTCATGCATTGAAACATTTTGATTCTGCTTCACTTTCTAGGCGTGTACATGCTGTCCTCCTATTATATGTCTTCTGATAGAGACACCATGTTGGAGTAAAGTCATTCAGACTTTGATCCCTCCATAGTGGTTTTACCCAAGTGGCAATGAGAAATGAAGCCAATGCAGAAGTGCCAAAAATTGCAGTGCCCCCTAGAGGTTGTCTGCAGAAGAACCAGAAACCATGTACACACTGAGCCAAATTTTTAGAGCAAAAATAAACACAACAAAATAGAGCCTGGTTAAAAAAAACTGTTTTGGTCTGCAAGCTCAGGGGTCCCACAGCACTGGCTGTAGAGGGAGTGAGTTTATGTAACTAATTTATGTCGAAATTATCAAGGTTAGATGATTGGCAATCAGAGGCTCTGCTGACTTGACTGACAGGCTGCCTCACTTGCAAGGAGGCTTAAAGCCTGCCTCAGATAGGCTGAGTCAGCATTTTCAACCATGGTGACTATCACTGATAGGCTTAAAAAAACTCTGCTTCAGAAACAGATGGTGATGTTATGAAGGCTACATCCAGTCACGATAGTTACACAGAGGATACCAGGGTACAAAGGTGGAGACGGTCTCTACTAACAATTGGATCCTATTGATTCCCAGATCTATTAAGTTCTAACTTCTGATAAAAGTCACTGAAACTGTTTGAAACTCCAGAACCTTGACTAAAATGACTTTGCAGTATAATATATATCTTTGCAGGTTGTTTATCTGTTACAGAACCTCCTCTATATCTAATCTTTTAAAGCATTCCTTTAAGGTTTAAGTGGTATTTATATTCACATATAGTTCTCTTTCTTAACTTTCTGATCATTTTATGCTTGCATCACAATTAAATCACTAAATCAGCCAGGCTGAGCCTCTGTGTGTTGGTTAGATTACATACTTATATCTGAAATATATACAGCACCTGCATTTCATTTTACTCCAGATTAGTTCATTAAACCAGCCCTCATTATATTCTTTAACTAGAGTGATTAATTCAACAAATGTATTTTCCTTGTGCATAAGAAATGATACAGCGTATAGATGTGGAAGTCATTATTGGGTTTATTAAAGGCTGTTGCATGAACCCTGTGTGAAATCTTAATGGACCAATGATCTAGAAAAAGTTACTTCCCCTTTCTGCACACGTCTCCAATCTGGGAGGGAGAGCAAAACACACAACAGACTTTTAATGTGTGGAAGAGCTTGTCTTTATATACGACCAATTTCTAATTACTTCATTAAAATTCTGCAGCGATTTTAATGTATTAGAAATGTCACAGTAAATCTCAGGGCCTGCAAAGATGTTTTATTCAACAAAATGTAAGAGATCTCTTCTGCATTGTGTCAGATGATGGGGACTCCTCTCTAAAACATCAGTTTACTCCCACATATGGAAGTAGAGATTTCTGAATATCAGCTGCTATAGTAATTCTGTGTTGTCTCACAGGTGCGTAAATACCTCCTAATGCTGGACGTGAGGAAGGACCACGTGAAGTTCTGGAGGCCTCAGGTCCTGCTTATGGTTTCCAACCCTCGCAGCAGCGTGGGTCTCATCACCTTCATCAATGACATTAAGAAGAGCGGCCTCTACGTGCTGGGACACGTCCAGCTGGGAGATCTCAGTAAGGATGATAACATTTATTCAGACCTCACAGGTGGACCTGCAGCTTCGTGTCAGTGTTTCTTGTGTAACAATGCTGCCTCTTCTATGAACGTTATTTGTGGCCTCTTCAAGCTAACACTTTAAATCACTCATGGAGTAGATTCTGGGCTTGTGTTTTGTTAGTCATAGGTCTTTATTTTTTATCTTTGACAAGCTCTTTCAACAAAGAAACACAGGAGCTGAAGCACTGCAGGCTGCATACTAAACTAGCGTCCCTTCAGAGATCATTAAGACATTTCAAAACGACACTTCAATGTGTGATGGTATTTTCTCCTCTCAAAAAACGTAGAGTTATGAACCAGTTAACACATTAAATAAAGCCGTTTTGTGTTTGAAAATGATTCTGATGCGTTTCAGCTGCAAGAGAACCTCAGGAAGTTTTGCAAGGAGACCTGTTGCTTGTTTGTTGCTGAGTTTGGTTTGAGATTAGGATTAAAGTAGTGCAAAGCATTCATAACACTTAAATCCAGAGCAAAGACAGCAGCTGAAGTGTCTTTTTCTGGGGAAAAAAAGAGTATTTGAAACCAGTGTATGAATACAGCAGCCCTACTTCAGAGAATAAATATCAGTTTGTATTCTCTGTCCAGAGGCTTCAGGGTTTTTTTTCTTAAGACCTGTCGAGCTTGCTTCCTCCTTCTGTTAGAAACCACTTTGTGAGCCAGCCTCCGCCCCAGCTCCTCCTTTTTATGCTCATATGTATCATAGTGATCTGCTCTGTTCTGTACTCCAGAGGTCTGTGCTGATGCTCTCCCTGCCTGTGCTCATGTGGAAAGGCAAGAGGCTCTCAGATTGGAGCCATACCACCAAGTACAAGACGCTGCATGCAAATAAAAGCTTAATTCGACGAAGGAGTTCTGAACAAAGTTAAACATAACACCTATGAGACTCACACGGGAGTTAGAGGAAGGAAACAAACAGATGGAGCTCCAAATGAGCAATAAATCTGACTCTATTGACAAACCCTGAGTTGGTTACAGCCATATTTAGCTTAAACCCAGCAGCCATGATGGATCAAACTCTGTCTGCGAAGCATCATCATAAGTTTGTCGTTTCTCTCTGAGCAATCACAGAAACAGCTTTTGCTTCCAAACTTCTCTTGCATGACAAAGTAGGTTCATCAGGAGTACTTGAGCGTTTTCTTCTGCACCATTTCTCATCCAAAACAGCACAGTGTGACAGGCCGACTATTAATTATGAGCAAAACAAATCAGTGACGGCGGTGGGATATAGTTTTGTCGCATAATTTAACATTATTATGATATTTAGAAGCTGCACTGACAAAACTAAAAGCTTGTTGTTTTGGCTCTTAACTTCAACATTGTTGTAGAATTTTAACAAGATAAAGCTAAACTATTCTTCTGGAGAAGAAGTCGGAGTGCTGCCACTTTACAGAAGTGTCTCTGTTTAGAGCTGACTTTAAAGTACTTTGAGGAAATATGTCATTATACAAATTAGCAAAATGCGTCCTTATTTCACTGTGAGTCATTCAACGGATCTTTTTAGCATGCTAGACTTTTCCCCATGATCCCCACTGCTGCTTTATTTCGATGGAAGTAATCACTCACACAATGCTCCGGAGGCGTCTCCTTTCTCTCTCAGCAGAAGAACACTCTCTTACATTTTAAAGGAAGCGGGGTCACTGATTGTTTTCTTTGTCTTATGAGGATTTTGTTGGGGGGGTTATATCTTGATTAGAGACTGGGACCGGCCATGAATAGAGTCTTCAGAATCCAAATCCTCTGAGTGCTTCACAGCGGCAAAAGATGACATGTTCATTAGCGAGTGAAGAGCCCCTCTCTCATTTTGAGTACTGACGAAGCACTTGGTCTTGGAAAATATGAAAAAGTCATTTGTTCAGATAATTATTTTTAAGAGGACTATGTTTTTGAGGACTTGGTTGCGGCTCTAATGTCTTTAAAGATTATCAATTTATTCTCACAGATGTTTGCTTTCAGGCTGGTGCCAATTATATTTATAAAGGGCGTATAATGAAAAGAAAATGAACATCGCAGCCTCCTTCACTCTGCGATATGAATTGTAATACAAAAATATTTACAATATTTCTCCGGGAACATGCTGGATGGTATTCATAAACAAGTCTGGGCTCTGTTTAAGTGTACAATGCCTGCATGGACACGTGAGGAGAAAACACATGGAGCGATATTTGGGAGAACATCTTGTTCTTGACAGACTCTCTCTGTCACACTTTTGGTGTTTACATGTAATCTACAGTTTCTAACTATGCTTCAGTGTTTGCTTAATCTGTTATTTAAGATAAAAAAGCTGCCCAAACACACCTGAGGATTAAACACATTTGGATTTACAACCCTGAGATATAAAGATTTTGAATACACCCAAGTTTAATGTCTGTTTATAATGTACAGAGCATTGAAATTGGGCCTCGACCAGCCGGGTGACTTTGGCTTTTCAAAATAAAAGTTCAGGCTCTGTTCTTGCTCTGCACATGACTCCCACAACACAACTCTAAAGTGAGTCACAGGTAGCATAAACATAAAGAAACAGCACTTTATCCTGCATTCTCCTAAAGACCAGCAGAGGGTGCCTCACAGGTTTCAGAGAGAAGTTTGATTGTATGAAACTAAAAAGGTAATTGGCCTTTTTTTTTTTTTAACCACATTGGTAACCTCAGATTAGTTGATTTGTCACGACACCGAGGTTTGAATTTTGATACAACACCAGCAAAAGCAAAACAAACAAATATATATATGTATATGTTATGAGTGTGAAACATTTTGTCGTCATTTTGTAGGAGTCAACAGTCCGTAGGGTAGTTGTTGGAGAAAGTTCATGGAGTCTTAATGACTTCGCTGTCTGTCTCACCACCCTTAAGGTCCTTACACACCAGGGCCGATGCGAAGAATGCGAAATTACGAAATATTTGCGCCTGACTATACACATTAAGCCCGATGCGATTCTGCAACTTTCCGTGTGGAAAAAGATGCATCCCGAGTGGAAGCGAGAAGACTGACACAACACCAGACTGACTGTTTTTCAGTTCTGATTAGACACTTGTGTTGAGATGTCTGTCTGTCATGATAGCATGTACTGAGTCGGGGCCAGTATCAGATAAGAACATTAAACTATATCACATGAAAAAAACGCTCCCGGTGTGTAAGGACCTTCAGACGTGAACGTCACCTGCCTTTCTTAGACGATCAAAAGACTTTCCTAATGTCAGTATCTACCCACCTGTGAAGGAGGAGAGTCAGTTGGAGAGGTTGTGGTGGAGGGCGGAGCAGCAGAGATACACACAGCAGGCAGAAGGAAGCACAGCTCCCCTCACCTTCCTGCACATTTTTGCTTTATTCACTTTACCTTCACTCCCTCTACTTGCAGCATTTTTTTCCCTAAACCTCGGTGCTTATTGTGACTGTCAATTGGAAAAATTAATTATCATCATGATTTTACCGCCACAGACCCTGGTTTCAAGTCTTCTTCATTAAAACACATTGTCCTTTTTGTGACCACTTGTCCTATTTGGGACACCTTAGCAGAGATTAATAAGTAACTACCTATGACACCTGTATATAAGGACAGAGGTGAAATAGTGATTACACAGCACATCCTCTCATCCAAATCTGGTCTCCCCTCGGCTCTACATAAACAAGATGGTAACAGGAACTGTCCATGAATCTTGCTGTTTGCGTCTTAAAAATAAATACTGCTGGTTTATTTATTTAATTTTTTTTTTTGGGGGGGGGGTGATGGATCACCTTCCTGCCTGTTGGTTCCCCCCTGTATTTTACTCTCTGTCTCACATTCTGCCTAACCATCACTTGTCCTCGTATCTCCCTCTCTTATTGCCCCCCTAGCCCCCCACACCTCAGGATCTTGTCTCATATCCCTCTCATGCTGTGCCTCTAATTCCAGCTCTGTCAGACCGACTCTTTTACTCTTTCCTCCGACTTGAATTTCCATTGTTCTCGGCCCTCTCCCTCTGAATACTAAAATGCTGCTGTTGAGCTGTCAGCTTATACCGTTTTGTTGTCTCCCTCTCTTTCACAGATACTTTACCCTCAGACCCTCTGCAGTCCCAGTACGACTCCTGGCTGTCTCTGGTCGACCATCTAAACATCAAAGCGTTTGTCAACCTGACGTTGTCTGACACAGTGCGTCACGGAGTCCAACATCTCCTCTTCATCTCTGGGCTCGGTAAGTGTCTCCGTCATGATCATAACATGTCTCAGTTTATAAATCAAAGATGGATGGTCGGCATGGAAATCTGGGATTCAGGTATTCAGATGTCAGATTTGTTTGACTTTGGCTTTAAATGATTTCCTGGTAGTTTCCTTTAAGTATACCTTTAAAATCATTAGGATTGTACTCTAGCTCCCGTGGTTATAAAACTCAGAAAAGTTTTAAGGAGGAATGAGAATAATTCAATCAGCAATCCACGCATGCCTTAAGGTCCTTACAAACCCGGACCGACGCAAATATACAACGGGAAATTACGAAATATTCGGAGGCGAATTTTGACGCGCCTGACTATACACATCAAACGCGATGCGATTTTGCGACTTTTTTGGGGGGAAAAAGACGGGGGGAAATATTGACGTCAGAAATAATCGCACAAAAAAAACACCCGGTGTGAAAGGACCTTTAGAGCAACAATTTCAACTGCAAATAAACAACCAGAGTTTGTTGGTGCAAAAGGGATGTCTTATCATGGCTGAAAATTTAGGATTTATTATCCCTGTCTGTTCATATAGAGTAAACTTTGTACTTTATTGATTATGAGTACAAACTCTCCATCCTTGCACCATGTATAATAATTGTAACTGTGTATCGTCGGTAGTCTAAACCCACACACCCCAGCAACAAAAAGGGTCTCCAGGATTAAAGTCCGGTCAAAAATTTAATCCATAGTTATCTTACAGTGTAAAAGCTGCGTTAGGATCTTTTTTCTGTCTCAAGTTCACTGATAGAATAAAACTGATTTGACCGAGGTCAAACTTTCACTTACGCATCCAAAAGTCAGTATATAAATAACGCAGACTATATAAGGTAGATGGATTCAAAGATTGACAGAATGACGGATGTGTGCCAAGATTTGTTCGAAATAAGTTTCAAATATTTTACTGACTTGATTGTTCTTTTTAGAGGATTCATTGTAAATATAACTGAATATTTTTCTTTTTCTTGAAACCAACACTTTGACTTCATTTGGCGTCAATACTCAAACCCCTCTCAGATCCTGGTCTCCAGTCACCAGACATCCTCTTATTTCAGTGATTTTGCGTCAAACGTCACTTCAGCTGTCAGTGTTTACACTTCAAATGAATCTTAAGCTTATTTTTTTGTAGTTTTCATTTTAGCTTCCTTTTCAACTCGTCAGTAATTTGGTCTCAGCTGCCACTTTGACTCTGAAGCATGCTCAAATTTTATAAAGACTATCTCGTTTGTGAATTCCTGCCTGTTTTTACGGGGGTGTTGCTCTTTCAGTAGTCCAATTCGTCCTGGTTGATTCAGTTTTGTTTTTGACACTCAGCAGATGTTTTCATGTTTTTTAATATGTTTTCCTCTAAAGTGGAGCCTCAGACTTGAATGAGATCTGCCTTTCTGTGCTTTTCATATTTTCTGTCCTTCCTGAGAGTTGTCACTCAGGTCTCACTTTCACCTCTCTTCCTTTCTCAATCACTCTCATATTTTATCTCACGCCGCACATTTCTGTTTGATTTAATGACTAACCCTCTGCTCCTCACTCAATTCAATTACTTCAAACAGTATTTGACTGAGAATTTGGAGAATGATTCATCTAACTCCTTCTACTTCTCTCTCCTTACTCTCCTCAGGTGGGATGCGTCCTAACACTCTTGTCCTCGGTTTCTACGACGACTGTCTGCCCAAAGACAGGCTAATAGATCCAACCGTCAACAACAACCAATATCCAAGTTCCATGGACTCCATACAGGATCAGGAGCAACAACCCCCTCTTTTCCACTTTGCCTCACTGCGGGGGTCCGGTGACAGGCAGGATTATGGTGATTTTGGGGATGGGAAAGCTCTTGGATCTCAGGAGTACGTATCAATCATAGCTGACGCCATGAAGATGTTAAAGAATGTGGTTCTCGCCAGATACTTCAACAACTTTGACCGAGCCCAGGCCCTGTCCCCGCCCTCTCAAAAGAGGGTGTATGTGGACGTCTGGCCGGTCAATCTCTTCCGTCCTGACAGCTGTAGCTACGTCGACACGTGCTCGCTCTTCTTGCTCCAGCTGGCATGCATCCTCAACATGGTGAGAGCCTGGCGCAAAGCTCGGCTCCGCCTCTTCCTATGTGTGGAGGAAGGAAGAAGCGTCAGAGGCTCCGAGGCAAAGCTGGGTCAGCTGTTAAAAGAGCTGAGAATCAAAGCTCAGGTTTTCCCTGTGCCATGGGACCACCAGGTGGCGCTACACTGGCAGCGGCAAGGCGAGTGGAGCAGGAAAACCCAATCCCCGGACAGAAACAAGGAGCAGAGTAAACTGGGATCAGTCAAAGAGGACGATAACGAGGAAGATTACGTGAACAACTTCCCGAGCAACGCCACTCGCCTGTCAGATGACTACCTGTCAGCTGTCAACAAGCTGATCAAAGAGGCAGCCAAGCCCGCCCCTGCTGTGCGCTTCCTGTATCTGCCCCGCCCTCCTGCTGACACTCGCCGCTACACCACTTACTTACACCAGCTGGAGCTGCTGACTCAGGACCTGGGCCCCACGCTGCTTATTCACGGTGTCACGCCGGTCATCACTACCGACCTTTAAACTATCCTCTTCTCCAACATGCTGAGGGCGAGACAGTGTGTGGACCACTGATGGTGCTGCATCACTGTGGACCTCAGCGGTGCTCTAATACTGACCTCTCCACCCAACAACAGACTGAGGATCAGAAAACAGCCTTTGAAAGATGATCTGAAATGCCATGATGTTGCTGACTGAATGACTTCATCTGCACTGCCCTGAATTACGTAGACCAAATCCTGTAGAAGAGCTGCCTATTTTTAGAATATTTAAACTGAAGAGCTGATGTTTGAATGAACTTAACCACTTGAAGATTTTAAAATCTACATTTTTATCTTTTCTTCCTTTTCCTATCTTTCTGTCCTAGTACTTCAAACTCGTGAATCAAACCTCTAAATGAGTTGTGGTGTTTTACTGTTAGGTCAATCCACTTTAAGCACAAAACAATCAGACTGTGACAGAGGGTACCGAAGAAAGGTCAACTGTTTTAGAGGACTGCCAGCCTGGCACACAGGCCAGTTAAACCAGTATCAAATAGACTGTAGAGTTGTAGTTGTTTTCCAACTTAAATTCCCCAAAAGTTTGGACACTTTAAAAGAAACTGAAATTTGTGGGTTGCAAAACATTTAAATATATTTTATTTGGTTAAGAATAGCACAAAGATAACATACCATATGCCAACACCAACTGTTAGGGGGTTTGAGAAAAATCTATGCTCATTTATATCAACATGTTTGCGATGTGCTAAATATTTAAATGGGCAGCAAGGTTATTTTAGCATCATCAGGACACTTCTACTACAGAGCCAGGCTGTTGAAATAAACTACTAAATGTAGTTTGGCAACTTCTTCCCTGAAAAAGGCAAGTCTAGATGGCAGCATTTGTTTGTTGTCAGCCGTGGCCATTGTGCATAGGTTTTCACTGCTGCCTTTTTTCTACAGATTTCTCTGAATTTTCTTAATATTTTAATGATATTTTGTACCAAAGATCATGAAACCTCAGTTGTATGCTTCAGGAACAGTATTTTGAAACAGTCAAAATATTTACTCACGCAGTCTCTCACAGAGTTGTAGACTTCTCTCCATCTTCGCTTCTGAAAGACCCAGCCTCCCTGAAATTTACCCAGTTAGGTGAATAATCTGATGCAAATAAACAGCGTTAGTTTGGAGATGTTCCTTTAGTTGTTTTTTAGTATGACAGAACTTTTTTATTCTGTCCATTCCAAACTTTTTGGAAACTTGTTGGCATCAAACCTAGAATGAGCATAAACTTTTAAAACATTTGATATGTTTCCTTTGTACCATAATATATACAGTATATAAATAAAGTCTGTTTTTTATCAGCAGTTTACACAGCCATCCAAACTTTCTGGAATTGGGCCTGAACCAACCTCCAGTGTTGCGGTTACTCCCCAATGATCTTCTGACTTGTCGACCCTCTTTGGAAACTTTAGGATTAATAGCCGGCCTCTGTCACAGAACTTAAACTGAATTAGTGGTTTCTCATGATCCCCCTGTTCCTCTCTGATTTCTGCTGCCTCTTAAATGATCATTCCACATGTCTTTAGATTAAAAAAAGTGCCTTAGTTAGTCAGGGAGGGACCATTTGGACTTGTTCCATCACAGACAGAAAGTTGGACTGCGACACACCTTGGAGTGGTTCATTGCAGGAAATCTGCTTTTCCATTTTAGGAGTTTGAAATGGAGGAAATGGTTGAACAGTAATGGTATGGTGCTACTATGGAAGCCTTCAAAGATTTATTCCAAAACCATCTCAAGCTGAAATTCCTGTTTTTGTCCCAAATGCACTTTTTTTTCCTTCCCTTCTCATCTGCCCTCTTTGAAGCATGTTTACAGCACCACTAACTGCTGCATCATCTACAATATTCTTGATTATTAAATATGTTTTAGATATTTTGTATTTTTAAAAATGATTTTACCAGATATGGACCACAACACTTGACGAGCCTTAATGTCAAAGTGCCTCACAAATTTCAATCGTTGATCACTCCCACAGTATTTAAAGTGAACCTCTGTGGCTTTTGCTGAACTCATTAAAGTTTATATTTCAGGAAATACTAAAATGTCAAACTTCTGAGTTAAAGTTGAGCCCAGCTGAGTTTGAATGAGCCAGTTTAACCAGGTCCAGCCTGTATACAACATAATCTTGATTTTAGCTGCACAACAAGATGCCATCTGTCATCTGTGCTTGTTTACATCAGGGTAGTCATAACATTGTGGTGTCAAGGCAGAAGCCATTTAAAAGAGCTACTTGTACAGTTAGTATCTCAGAGCTTCGGTGATAAAATATTTAGCATTTCGTTTAACCATCTTGTAATTTAACCATGCAGTCAACTTAATGCACACTTTCTCCAATCTTAACAACACAGTAGAGAAAAGCACCATGTCTGCAGTAAATGCTCATACTTACTCATTCTTCAGACCCTGTCCCATCCAGCACAAATGTTTCCTTCTAAGATACGCTCCCTATCATGAGGACTTAGTGGAAACCATAATGAATAAGTCAGCTATTTTGTCTTAAAAGAGACACAAAGCAGTGACAAACTGTCATAACACATAACAACTTGTTTGACAGCAAAAGCAGCACAGAATCACTTTAAGAATCAGTGTGTTTCTTCTAAATCTGTGGTTGATGGAAAATTTTAACCTTAAGGTATGGATGCATTTATTTAAAGATGACTGGTATTTGTAGATATATTGTTAAAAATGATCTAAACGGTTTGCATAGTTTTATTTTTTAGTCTTTTCAAAGTTCAAGAAGAGATTCTCTCAGTTTGATAGATTCAGTTACAGTCTTAATCACTTCTTTGGGGCTCAGATCCACACATGACGGAAAGCCGGTGCTAGGATCTGGACTTCTTCTAATACCCCTTTGTCTGAGATGAGATCTATGTTTACTTGTGCAGCAGTTGGAACCATCTTTTTTCCACGAATGGGCTCCTTTTTGCTGCACTTCTTCACAAACCATTGACACTACATTTCTTCAAACCTCCTTTCTGTATTTCTGCTCCTGATTTCACAGAGGTTGATAACAATTCCACAGGACGTTTGTTTATTGAAGAGATGAAATGCTCAGTGTTTGATTTCCTGTTGAAATCTGAGAGAAAAAAAAATGTCTGTACTTTACGAGATGTAAACTTAAATGACTGAAAAAAAGTTTGTATTGTGTTTGTTTTTCTTTAACTTCTCCAGGAGATTGTTTTTGTGAGAGCAGATCAAACTGAAACAAGTCTTCTGTTTCATTTCAGCTGAAGACCCGTTTGTACGTCTCAGAGCAGGGAGCCGAGGGGTTTTCTGTCCGCCGCGGTTGTTTGTTCGAGGTAAACTTTGGAAATAGAAGCTGTGATAGCTCAGCAGCTCAGACAGGGAGATAGTAGAGGGTGCCAGGCGGCCAAATTACCTTGTCCTACAGTCCCCCTCGCCGCCAACCAGGCAGAAATGGATTCCATCTCCGCTCTGAGGTGAACAACAGATTAGAGAAATAAGCCCAAATAACCATCGATATCTGTTCAGGAGGAGGGAGGCTGACATTTATCAGAGGGAAGAACCCCAGCTCCAAAATCTGTGTGCGAGTTTGTGTGGGAAAGAAATGGGTTCAGGACCAAGTTTTTTTCATGCTACCAGGGAGTTCATCGAATGCTCCGACAAAGATATTACTGCTGAAAACATGCAGGTCTAAACACTTGTTGACTAATTTACTCGTGTGAACCATCGTCAGTGAGAAACTGATGAGGTTACACCTACTACCTATTAAAGCAAAACTGAAGAACATCAAGAAATAAATCCAACCAAACTAGAAATAACTGAGTGTAATTTTCAAACTTTGTAAACCCATACTAAAAAATATGCTTTAAAGCTGAATACCCCCATTAGAATGAATGTTTATATTTTACCCAGCTGAACACCAGATCACAGAGTCTACAGGTAAACAGTGTCAGATTGTTCACAGGGTGTGGCTACCATCAGCAGAACTAGCACCACCAGCTTTTGGTCTACTGTGTAGTAACTACATTCTTGTGGTAGTTATGCATTAATTCAGTTACTTAGTGGTGTGTCGGTTCAAGCAGACACAGCCTACATTAGGAATGGGAATTGATAAGATTGTATAGATACAGACACCCTTGTTGATTTTGCTTGTTGATTGAACCCTTGAATTCCCATTTTGGTTGACTTTGGATTATTTTTGAGGAAAAAAAGGACCCTTGCAGGTTTTCTCTGTATCAGTAACACAAGTTTTAGTTCAGGCCTTTCAAGGTTGCCACATACTCAATAAAGCCTCTGATTGTTCAAAAGAAATCAGGTTATATCACTGGAATTAACACATTAACTTTGTTTTTAATGGATTGGATAAGAAAAGTCTCTGAAAATACACTGATCTTAGAAAAGCTCCCGAATGTCACAGAAACACACAGTTTCGTTACAGGAAAGCTGCCGGTCTAACAAGGTGAGTGGATTTTACAGTGAGTCAGAATGTTGAACCGTTCTACCATTAGAGCCGATCCTGTAAAAACAATGTTTAGTTCCATGCAGAAGTTTGCTGGACCGTTTCTGTCTTCTGCCCACCATGATTACCTCCTTTGTTCAAGTTTTTCTGATAACTACCTTTGATTTGTAATTCAGTGAATGGCATCAATAAGAAAACTGTCCATCATAAAGGCACATGATGTAGATGGCTTAAAACCAGTTGTAACCAGTTCTGATCTGGGATTGGTTACCCTACATATATTTCCAGGCTTCAAAACATTGAGAGGTGATGAGGGTGTCTTTAGTGTGGCGAAGAACCACTCAGCTGAAGGGCTTCTTTGAAATGTGTGTGTGTTCATCTTTAAACGTGAAGACCATCAAGACTGAGTGTGTTTTGCCTCCCAGTCTAATACTCTGCTCTGTCATTTCTGCGGCTCTGATCAGAGGAAACTTGTCTCTACTTTGTCACATCCACCGTGTGTCATAACCCTAACCAGCAGGTATGCCACAGGGACAAGCACACTCACACACACGCACACG